TGGTCTCAATCAAACTGAGCCGCTTGTTGGTACCTCAACCTCTCCTATTTCACCAACATGGAACCGGTTTCACTCCAGTTTGTGCACCTGATCTAGAACCATTCAGAGCAGAGTTTCCTGAATCTGAAGTGTGAACCGAGGTGGGTGACTCGTATTCTACAGGTTGCTGTTCGTTTATCCTTAATTGTTCTGCTCATAACTGGAGGAAAAGGTTCAAGACCAAGACCTGATTATGTGGAGAAACACAACTATTAAAGCGGTTTTACTCCAGTTTGAACCAAAGATCAGCTGTGCCTCCTCTCACAGAGAAGCTCTGAGCAGTGTTTGTCAGTGCTCAGTCTGACAGCATTGATCCCACTGACACATAAACTCCTACCATAAATATTGTAGTTGCGGACTGGAGTGATACTGGTGGAGCTTCTGAACAGCGGTGGTTGGTGGGACACCTCAGACTGAGCGAACGAACGCCGCTGCCAGACTTTCCATGAGGTCATCTCTGGCCAGAAAACCTCTCTGAGTTTATAGTTCTGCTAAGAGCCTCCGAAACCGAGCCGGAGGATGAATTTTTATTGCACTTAACGGCGACGCATAAACACTGCTCTGCTCTCGACGTGAACGCAGTGAGGTGTCATTAAACGAGACTGATTGTATGAAAATGTAACTTCACGTGTTCCAGATAATTGGGGCTCCTTCTGTGCAGCTGAACGCCTCTGCGTCAGTGTTTTTGTTAAGCAGCAGTGCTCCATCAATCAAACGGTTCCTCGTTGACAAATGAGGCGTCACTCCAAAGCCCCTCATTATTTTCACCAAATGTGAGAAGGAGGCACGCGAGCTGTAAACATAGCAGACGCTGAGCAGCAAAGACTTCCAGAATAAATGCAGCGGCGCTGGGGCCTGCTCGTCAGACAAAACAAGCAATTAGAGGACGCTGCCTCCGTCTTCAGGACGCTGCGATGGACTGAAACTGAAAGGGTAACCGCGGTGTCTTAAAGGTGCAGTGTGCAGGATGTAGCGGTATCTAGCCGTGTAGCTGCAGATCACAAACTCTGTCGCTTCACCCTTCCCTTCCAAGCGAGACGGTGGCTGTGAAACGGACGAAAACGTCCTTGAAATCCTTGAAATATAGCGATTAGTTTTCCAGTCAGGGAAACACCTGCAGTTTGATTAAAATGACTGGAAATAATTTATGTTGTCCTGGATACTATCTATATTTATATTTTGTTTGAAACTTGTTTGTAGGATAAGCTGCACCCTGTGACACTTGGTTTATCAGCTCCCATGTCAGTCAGTCAGTCAGCCAGTCTGTTCAGACCAGACGGGAAGTGAAACAGACTGAATCTTTTCAGCATCCAGTCCAAATTTTCTGCAGCAGAATTCTCAGAGAAGCTTGGTGGAAATGCTGTAAATGGTCGTATCTACATACATACAGCCTGTTAATGATCAGATATTGTTGTTGTTGTTGCTGTTGCTGTTTTTAAAACCGGCACAAATCACAAGTTTCCAATTTTCTTCAGACTTTTTCCAAATACATGTTTTTTTTTTTCATTTTCTTTAAATCGATCAGCGAGTCCAAAATGTGGCCCTAACAGATCGTTAAGTTAATTCCAACATTATTACTTGCGTGGACGCTGCCCCCCCTCAAGTTCCACCCCTGGCTGGAGGCTGGTCCAGCAGTCATCTGTTATCATGTAATAATTCATTAGTTTAAAATAAATGTTGAGATATAATCACTGTGAATGAATCCGGGACGAAGGTGCTGCGGAGCCGATGCTGTCAGAGTCTGTCAAAAGAAAATAAAGCAAAGACCCGCCGGGGTTGATGGGAAATGTGGTGTTAATTTGTAGAATCGTGAGCGTGAAAGGTACTCGTGCTGTTAGACAGAGGCTATCAGCAGCCTTTGATCACACATACAGAAAACGTGGTATGGAAGTGTCCTCGTGTTGTTTATGCTGCCTTTCATTTGGTCCTCATAGTGTCTTTAATCAGATTTCCACTCAGCAGGGTCGGGCAGACTGTGCGTGCAGTTTACAGTTTATTCCTAATAACCTTCAGTCTGCAGCAGTTAGAAAGAAAAAAAATGGACCAAAACATTTCATCATGCTCAGATATGTTTTGAATTTTGCCACCATCAAAGATTTGAATCTCGGTCTGTATTCTTTTGCAAGGTCCAGGGAGGAACTTCAAAGCCGCTGATAAGCTGGACCCTCGGAGGGGAACAAGGCTGTTCCGCCCTCCTCATCCCTTTCCAATTAGACCGCAGGAGCGCTCTGATTAAAAACACCAGATACGACATTTTGTCAGCGACGTCAGTGAGCTGCGGTCACTGCGCCGACTGAGGAAAATATGTAAAAGCTCTTGTTTAGTCTCGAATCGACAAACCTTCTCGTCAACATCGATTCATCTGCACATTATTTTACAGATAAATCGTCTGCGAAACATCAAAAAGAAGTGAAAAACAAGCCCAAAGTTATGTCTTTAAATTGCTTGTTTGATCAGACCAACAGTCCAAAACCAGAGAATATTTACTTAATGTAATAGTTATATCATATTTTTCATTAAAAAAATGATAATAAAATAAATAATTGTCTCAGCTATCCGTGAAAGCAACAATTACACAATGTTTTAACTATACTATTGATGTTTTTACCACCTTTCAGCAGTTAATCTAAAGTACCTGAGAGGATAAAACCAATAAGGGTTAGGGTTAGTTATTTTAAAGTTTAGAACCAGTAAAACATCACTAATGCAGAACTAAAAGGAGTGCAGACGTGATGTTGAGGCCAGCGGGTATTTTAGATTTTTCCTCTCTGATAATCTAAACTGTCTGACAGGGATCATTGCCTTGTAACTGGTAGCTACAGATGAGTCACACTTGAGTAGAGATGAACTCATCTGAGCAGCCGAATCGCAGATGATGAGGTGTTTCCATGGAGGAGATGTGATGTTTACAGCTTATAGATGATTAGTGCGTCTCACTCATGTGCTCGACTATTAGGCTTTATGTTTGTGGCAGTGATTCAGGGGGAAAATATCCGAAGAGAAAATAGCAGGCCAGAGAAGTTAGCTAATTCTCAGCAGTTCCTGAGTTCATGGTCATAAAAAGAAGCATTCAAAGAGGCTGAGGAGAATAGCACTTTAAGACACTTTCCCCAATTTCCTCACTGCCCTATTTACGCCTGCCTTTCCAAGTTTCCACTCCGGGATGGAGGTCTTTCCCTCGGAGAAACAACGCTGTGCAGATGAGACAGTGGCATGCCCCGCTCTGAGAACTGAACTCGGCCGTCCTTCGTCTGCGCCTATTAAAGCTTCATTTTATCACTGATTTAGACGTGTAGGGGCACTAGAGCTGCCCAGATCCCACAGTAGTCAAGTGATGTTACCCTATTCTCCCACAAAGTGCCCCTCTAGTTCACCAAACTCTTATTATGGCCAAATATAGGGGCTCCTCAACTGAATGTCTCTCTAAATGGTCTTGAAGGTCAGTCTTGTTAGTGTAAGCGCCACTCTAGTCCAAATGTGCTTCGAGTTAGTTAGTGTCTGTGTAGTCCCCCTAGGGCTTAACATTAGTTAGGTTCCCTGTATTCAGTCAAAGTGCTTCCTAAATTAAGCTGAAGTCAGTTCAGGCTCCCCTCTGGTTGATCCAAGTGCCTCTTTAGTTGGGCCGAGTGCCTGTCTGATTAATGCCCTTAATTGGTTCCCAAGTTCCCGTTTGATGAGACTGTGCCTTCTTAGTCTGTCCAAGTGCCCCAATAGTCTGTTAGTGCCTAGGAACTAGATCAGCCATTATGGTCATCTGCAGATGTAGTTGATCAAAGTGTTCAGTCCATGTGTCACAACTGCCCTTGTAGATAGCCAATTTGCCCCCTCTGTAGGGCTGGGTACCAAACTTTGATACTTTTATGGTAAAAGCATTGTTCAGGAACTGGTATCAAAGTCTTGGTATCTAATCTTTTTGGAATGATACCCAGTCCTAGTCTAGTGTCTCTAGTCATCTTGACTGCCCTTCTAGTTAGAAATAAGTTCCTCATGTTGGTCCAAGTACCCCCCTAGTGTGGCATAGATGCTCGTCTAGTCCTTGTGCCCCCAAAGTCCACCTCTTGTCAGCTCAACTGCCCCCAAATTCCACACTACCCCGTCCATCTCCAGGTGTAGTTTATTTAAAATATTCAGTCCATGTGTCCCAGATGCCCTTGTAGATATCCAATGTGACCCCTCTACAAAACGTCCATACTGTTATGGCACAGAACAAATTGTGTCGATACTACAAGTATCGTTAAATGTCTTGTCATTGAGTGACATGCTTCCTCCTTTGGAGTGAGTAATTGTACCGTATAATGTATAATGTATTCTCTTTTTGTAGTATTGTTCAGGAACAGAACAATAACCAGTCCTGTTGTGCCATATGTGCCCTGAGTGCCCTTTTATTACCTTTGCCAAGGAGGTCACGTTTGTGCTGTTTTTTCTGTAGGGTTACAGAACCCATTACATTTTTCACTTTCATCAACATTGTAAGATGAATCAGTTGTAACACAGACAGAGCGGTTGTGCTTACAGATCACAGGAGACTGGACTACTGGACTGGATGGAGGTCTGCAAGTTTTCTTGGAGTTTGGCTCAAGAACCCTTTTTCTACGTGCCGCTAAAGTGCCATTCAGGTAAGTCTAAGTGCCCCACTAGTTTACCACTCTGGTGTTACCTGTACTAGAGATGTCCATGCTTTATCTTTACCCCAATCCCTTACAGCAGTGGTTCTCAAATGTTGTGGTGTCAAGGAGCTGAGATGTAGTCTTATATATTGGCAGATTATTAACAGTGAAGACTGTGAAACAGAACAGTAATTCTTATTCATTCTCTCATTGGGCCAACTTTAGTCAATAAAATAATAGTGACTTACTCCTCATTTTTCTGGGGACCCCCAGACCCCCAGTTGAGAACCACTGCCTTACATAGACTAACCCAAGAGAGGTGTTCCAGTGAGACTCACAAAAACCACACAGGTGTAAATTTTCAGTAGTTTTATTGAAAAATGCCTCTTCTGTTTTCAGAAATAAATAAGAAAATAAGGCTGTGGAATTCACAATCTGCAGTTCAAACATGAAGCAGCAATACCATTTCCATAGTCTTGCACGCAGATTTCGACTGCATTCGATACTGAGAAAAATGACAGGAATGACAACAACTATATTCTGGTTAAAACAAAATTGAAATGTAACAAAAAAACATTACTAAATATACACCACAGACATGCAATTCCACGTTTTTGTTAAAATTAGCTGTGACGGAATAAAGGAAAACTGATAAATATTAAGTCTAGAGATACAAAATGAAAGCTGTGTTTAACTGCCATAATGAAACTGAACCTCCTTAGAAGACAACACTGAATGAAGGATTATATTGAACATACTGGATGAACTGTGACAGATCTGATGTCCCGACATTGTGAACAAACATTTTCTTTCTTTTTCTTTAGCTTTGTTATAATGAGTGCACTGTTCAACACTGCTAGTTAATACAAACTTGATGCAAATATGTTACAAGCAAAAGACACAAGTGGAAAAAGAAAGCTCACAGGTTTTTTTTTTTTCATGGATTCTTAACACTTTTCTTCTTCCATTTTTTTAATCATTCGCCCACAACCTCCCTCCCTCCCTCCATCCTCACCCTTCACCTGCCACAAAAATGAATATTCACATACGTTTTAAGGCATTTAAAGGTATTTTCCAATAAATTCGAGGTGTCAAACCCCGTTTTGTTTGTGTATAATGTGCATAAATTCAACAACAAACACAGGTTGAACAAGGAAATAAAAAAAGAAAAAGAACATGGCTGGTCTTATGATGTTGGCCTATCGGACGCCTTTCTTGATAGTGATCTCTTTCGACGCTGGTTTTGCAACACATCCTCCTCCTCGGGGACTGGGACTACTCGGGTGTCGGGTTCAGGTGGGTATTGGCCTGCTCGGAGATAGCGTTTGGGCCAGTTGAGCACAATTTGACAAATGGTCTCAGTTTGTGTCAGCATGCACAAAAAGAACGAGTTAAAATGTTTTTCTGTCTGACCGCTGGCTAAAGCACTGACGGTTAGTTAACAGCAGGGGCGTGTCCACAGCGTCCCCGGGGATGTTTGATACAGCAGGTGTTATCCCCCTCCCTGTTGGAGCTACCGACGGCCCAAGACAAGCTAACAACTTTAGCTTGGCTAAGTTAGCCTGTTTCAAAATCATTGGCTCATGGACCTTTTGGAAGTCAGCTTTCTCTTTTCCTGTGCTTAGATAGCTTATGCTATGCTAGCTCAATCAATGTTGAAAAGACAAGCACATTATGAAGATGGTTAAACGATAAACGTGACATATGGTATATATAGTTACATCTTAGTTAGCATTTTGCGGACATAAGCTAACCTAACGTAGTTGACTGATCTACATCAATGGTTTGCTGGCTAGTTAGCTAGCATTTTGCTACAGAGCAAAACTCTAGTTAACTAATCAACATCAACCCTTATCTAACTAATTACTAAAACTATACAGAAGCTAACGATTAATATAGATTAGCTGGTTAACTAACATTAGCTAACTTCAGATGTAACTATATACTGTATATGCCGCGTTTATCTTTTAACCGTCTTCACAATGTGCTTGTCCATCACAAAGCATATCTAAGTCGTTTCTCAACTGTTATTGGAGCAAAGAGCAAAAAGGGGCGGGACTTAGGCAGAGTCAATTAACAGATGTTTGTTAATTTATCGTAAAGCATTTTTATATTTAACCAGCATGCTGTTGTACCAGCTAGCAAACCGAGACAATGAGTTTATTGACAGAATTAAGAGGCGGCAATCTGAAAGGATCTGACCCAAACGATCAATCAATAAATTGTAAAATGAATCAGATATATCACAATAATCTGCTGTCTGAGCTTCTTAGATGATATCGCTTAAATCAATGATGTGATTTGTCTTTAAATTAACCAACATAACAGGTCTGGACCTCCAATATTAGACTGTAAAATAAAGTGTGAATGATCCGTGAGATAATTAATATTCCATATATGATGTAACAGATTTTACCTCATTGTCAGGTTGAGAAAATACGGCTGACACAATGACACAGTTATTCATGACTTTAGTTACTGTCAAATATTGGAAGCTAATAAGATTTAATTAGAGATTAATGGAAAGGAGTGAATGCTCACCTTCGTATAAATGATCTTTGAGTTATAAAATAAAAATATTGTACGTCTCTTCCTTCCTGTCGTCTTCCTCACAATGAAACCTCTCTCTCTCTGAGATATAATGGAGCAGTTATTATAGTTTTACAGTACAAATCAGCATAAGATTCTATCAGAATACTGTTGTTTTTATCATTATTGATGAACTATCTCTTAACTTGCACTTGATGATTGGCCATCCAATCAGCCAATCAACTGTCAGGTGCAGTGGGTGGACACGCCCCTGGTGACCATCTCAGTGCGTTTCCCTTTGGTTGATGTTAGAAGTCGAGGTGTTAGTCCAGTTACAGTCACTCAACAGTTATCAACGCTGCCACAGAATAAAACATTTCTACATAAGGGTTCATCTACCACCGGCCCAGAGAGGGAGGGATTGCATTGTTAGTATTTGATCACATACAGATACAGTACAGCCGGTTCTGGGGGACAAAACTAAAACAGGAAGAAACTGATTCTGTGTTTGTACATGAAGTGGCAGATCTGAACCTCCGGGGTCACATGTGCAGGAGGGATTCAGTTTGGCCCTGAGCGGTTTAAAACAGCTACAAACACATGGGCAGGAAAATAAAAATCATTTAATAAAAAAAAAAAAAAAAAAAAAAGGCGTTTTTGTTGGCATTCAGCAAGCAGCAGGTTGTTGTTTGCAAGGCACAAGCTTTAAAACTACAGATGTTAAAGACTAAATTTAGTGGACTGGATTCAGACATCATTTACAGGCACAAATTAGTTTATTTACACATGTCACCTCGAGAGAAACGCTGCTAACAGAGTTGTTGCTGCTGTAGGTGCTGGCGATGCTCGTTTCTCTGTTACAAAATCCACCTTTGTTAGTATTTGTTTGTTGTTGTTGTTGTTGTTGTTTGGTGCATGCTCCTCCACTGAACATTTGGTTTGGTCTTTGGCTTCAAGATGCAAAACAGGCCACTAAACAGGTGGGTGCCATCACCGCTGCTGCTGGTGGGTTTGTTCTACTGGCTGTGAGTCGTTGTTAGTACTGGTTTCCCTCTTTGTTGTTGTGTTGTTTTTCAGCAAAGTTTGTTAATGGTTTCCTTTGGCGGTTATCCTTTAAACAGCTCTAGAGCGTGTGAGCAAGTGTTTCAGTTACAGGACTTTTGGGTTGTTTTTTTTTTTTTCAGGAAGTCAGTGAAAGCAGCACAGGCGGCATAGAAAGTCTACTATGGTGAACCTGGAACAGGCCAAAGAGGATGGAAGGTGTCAGTCAGGTCAAAGCAGGAGACAGCGAATAAACAACTTCTAGCTTTGTCTAAAGATTAGTGACTACAAGTTTCTGTAGACTCCACGCATGCATTAACCCTATTGAAAAAGACAGACCAACATTTTGGGAAAATCCTTGTTTGCTGTCCGATGCCCCTGAACGCTGTGTGACTTTGGGTTGGACCAGAGGGACTCTGATGGCTGTGAGAGAAACGTGGTGAAATCGTTGGTCTTAGATCTGGTCTGTGTCAGAGATTCAGGACCAGAAATGTGACTGAACAACTAGGAATGGGCATTTTAAGTAATTCCCATATTTGAGAGCCTAAAGCAAACCAAACTGTATTTAGTATTTGTAACCTTTCAGCTAACACAGTTCATTTTGTTCAGACTTTGCAGATCAGACCTCAGTTTCATCACACTTTCCTCAAACATCTTCTCCACTCTGATAGTTTGTATCCGACTCAACAGTCAACTCGTGGAAGCTTCCTCCGTCCCCGAAGTCTAACAGCATCTCCAGTCAACATTCTTGTTACGATCCAACTCAACTATTCTTCTTTTGTCCTGCTAGCATCATAACGGCGCTTGCTAACACTGCTAACATTAGCAAATGAGGTGGTACATAACTCGTACTGCACTTTCGTTTCATTCTACTTTTTTTTTAACACTTCCAAACACCAATTTTATGACTTGCTGCTATTCGGTGGCTTACGTTAGATGAGTGATGTGAGACTGAAAGCATTAAACATTATCTATAGTTATAGCTAATAGGTAATATTATCAACTGTTTAAGAACTTTTGGAATTGTCCAAATCCTAAATTCAATCAAGAATAAAGACTCTATAGACACATTCAGCTGACTGTTGGATGAATTAGTTACTCACCTTTTAGTTATTAAGATTTGACTGCTTTGAAGTTGTTGGAAGATGTACTTTTTCTCTTTTGATGGAGCTAGGCTAGCAGTTTCCCCCTGCTTGCAGTCTTTGTGCTAAGCTAGGCTAAATTCTCATTTGACTCTGAGGGAGACAGAAAATAAGTGTATTTCTCAAAATGTTGGAGTGTCTTTACAGCATTATGAAATACCCAGCAGCTGACCATTAGCAACGTTTAGCAGCTACAAGATGTTATTCTACTCATTGCTTAACACCGGGCTACCGCGCCCCGTGACCTTCCTGATACGTACCTCCGTATCCTTGCCCGTTGTAAGGAATACCGACACACTGAGAAGAGTCACAGTATCCAGGAGGTCCGGGGGGCCCGCGGACTCCGGCGTATCCTGGACGTCCGGGGGGGCCACGAGGTCCGGCTGAGCCTGGAGGGCCTGTAGATCCTGTCCTGCTTTCTCCTTGTGGACCTGGTGGACAAACACAGACTCATTCAGATCACAGAGATGCACTGGAGGAAATAAAGCAGAGCCTAAAGCTGCAGTTCCTCTAACAGCCACTAGAGGCTGGCTCCAGCAGTGAGTCAGTCAGTCAGTAGATAATAGCCTAAAGGGTGAGCTTCCCATGAGAGAGAGAATCCTGTCCTTTTGGTATCATGTGAAAGTATGTGTGCGATGTAGCTCCAGTAAAGGGAGGATGCATTCTTGTTAGTTGTTTAAATCCAAACACAGCAATCAGCCAATACAGAATACAGAGTCATACTCATTATGGGATAACTTCAATAACTTAATGAAACAGATGAAATGATCCATTATGAAGCACATAGTTTGCTGTTGACTAAGACTCTTCTCAGCAGTTTATTTGACTTTTAAGCGACAGCTCTAATCTTTAACTGCAGTATTGCTGGATTTGAAGCTCACCTCATTAAGATGGATGAGGTTGTGTCAGGTTTGTGAAGCTTTAATGAGATGATTTGCTTTTAAAAAATGATTCTCAGAAACACTAAGGCCCTCCTCCATGTGTTTATGATCATTCCAACAATAGAAATCAGTTTACAGCTCTTGTTATTTCTGATTAATTTACACATAAATTCAACTTTTATTATATTCTTGTAAAAAGTAAAAACCGCAGGAGGTGTTTTGTGATGTCTAAAAGCAAACAGATAGTTGTGGCTCGGTGTCAACATGCTCAAACTCTAGCTGGAAACAGAGTTTTTTAACTGTTGCAACTGCTGCTGACAGTCTCGGGTACAACATTTGGAACGAAGAAATAAAAGAAACTAAAGTATGAGAGGAAAAAAATGGATCTGCTGATCCTTTTTCCCCCTCTGCGTTATGTCTAGACACGGACAAAGCCGGCTTGGAAAGTTTCCCTAATGGTTTGTCTCCTCCTCGCCGTCCTCAGCATGTGTTGTGAATGAACCGAGAGCATTCCCTCTCTCCCTTTTCTCTCTCCCACTCTCCTGCTCCCAGTTTCCACAACTTGACCCTGTTTTCTTTGTTTTTTCCTTATTCCGTCTTACGGGCCGGATTGGGGTCTGGGTGCCGGATTACAGCGGGACTGGATGGAGGTGTGATTAGTGGAGCTGCTCGAAGGCTCTGGGCGAGATGACATCATGATTCTGTGGTTGTTGTTTGAGCTGAGTTTTTGCAGGACGAGCTGCAGACATTTGTACAAATGACGTCCTAAAAGTTTGTTCTGAGGACGTTGGTTCACACTGGGTCAGCTCCCAAAGACTACTGGCTTCATCTGAAGACTACCAGTCGACCGAACGTTGATGATATTAATTTAATGATTATAATCTGTATATTTTAACAGCTGCCTGTTAAATGCTCACAGAAATAGCGGTAATGATTCTAAATTGTATTTACTTCAACACAGTGTAACATCACACACGTCTCATTGTTCAAAACATGGAATAAATAACTTCAAGCTTCACTTACAAATGAACTAACTCGCTACAAACTGTGTCTTCGTCCCCAGGGTCAGAGTCCTGGTTGGAGCCGCTGGGTCCCCTGCTGCTACACCAGTGTTTAAACTGCCCCAGTCCTTCCAGTCCAGGCAGTGTTGGAACAATCCTCTGATACTTGACAAGGTGCAGCTCCTATTTGTTTTTGTTTTTCTGCGACTATCCGACTAATGAGAAGTTTGTCGACTAACAGTTTATTTGACTATTGAGTGACAGCCCTCATCTTTAATTCCAGTTTTGCTGGATTTGATCCTGAGAAAGAGTTTTAACATCTTATAAGTCACCTGAAAGTTTGTAATCACAATAAGCATGTATTGATCTTCAATCAAAGACGAGGTATTAAAGTAGTTTGTGCAGTTTTTTGTTGTTAGCAGCAGTGACGTCTAGCTATGGAACAGTTGGTAAAAGAGAGGAACTTGAATTCAGAAAGTAAGCGGTTGTATCCCTCTGAGACCAGCTTAACTGCCTCGTTAACTCATCAATGGAGGACCAATCGTACGACCCAAGCTCCCAAACAGTCACATTTTTATAAGAAACAACCAAATGTACACAATGACTGAAAGTTATTTCTCCGTCCAACGTCAGCAGTAGAAGCTTTATCCTTTTTCCTGAGTGAAATCAAACATTACATCAGCTTTTGCTCCAGGCTGATTGATCTGATTAATGGAGAGTCAGAGACATACCTGCGGGGCCTCTCGGTCCTTTCTGTCCGATTCCTGGCACTCCTCTTTCTCCTTTCTCTCCCGGAGGACCTGAAGGAACCAAAGGAAGCAGCTTAAAGTTTCATAATCAGCTGTCTGTCAGTACAAAGAGAGTTTTCTGTCCTGTTCGATAAAAGATGATTACAGTAACTTCTTCCATTATTTCTGGCTGTGTGAACACGATGGATCTGAAACGTTACACTGAGAACGAAGATAAAGTTAATTTATAAACATTAAGATATTTCATATTTGGTGTCAGATCCTTTGCAGTCCTGCAGCCAGATTCACTTCCTGCTTGTTTTGTGTCATAACTCTGATGTAAAACAGGTAAAACACATCATCAGTTAGGTTGAGGTAATGTGACTGAACACTGTTCGGCCTGTGGTTCCTCTCACTGTATGTTTGGGATCATTTCCCTCCAGAATTGTTATAAAATCCGAGGATTGTGTATTAAAACGGCTACAAGTCAAACAGCCGCCGCCCAGCATGAATATAAACATCCTAAAATTAAAGCTGAGAGTCACTTTAACTTCAGCCAGAACAATAAAAACACGTCTCTGTCCTCATTCTGTCCTCAGCCTGCAGCCGTCGTCCTGTATACACAGTAACTGTTCTCTAGTGGAAGAAGTGATATGAAGTAGGACAACCCTCAGCTTCTCTCCCTCACTCGGTGCTGTTGCATAAGAGCTCCAACTTCTACTAATCCTCCTCTGCTCTGATGGACCTCATGTGTCTTCACTGCGTCACACACAGCCCAACCATCGCTTCGCTTTTAAGAGACAGAAAGTCTGTGCTGGGCATCAGGCACAATATCAGTAACAAACATCAAAGATATGTTGCTATGGTGATATTGATACAAAGAATGGAATAAAATATATTAAATACATTATTTTGTGAATATTACTTCTTGTAACTTATTAATTATTAGCTCCTCATCGTCCAGATTGTCCATGTTTCTCCTTGTCTCAGGGAGCTACATAACATCTGGGTTTAAATACCGTCATACGGCTTACTTTAACTCGAAGATTGTTGAAACTGACTGTTTTTGTAAGTTAAGTTTCTGTAACACTAGATCAGTCTCACTTAAAATCACATAGTAAAAGCTGCATAATCAAGAATATTTAACTTGAGTCTTGCTCTCATCCACTAACATGACATCCGGTTTGTCTGATTCCATGTGAACGCAGCGAGATGCTTCGGTGATCCAGAGAGGAGACAGGAGTGAAAATCTGAGACTACTCCAGGATATTTACTAATGAAGCCAAGCCTCGTTAGCATCTTGTGATGGTTTTGTGCTTTTTAAATAAAGCTGCTGCAGAGTAAATAATCACTGCTGCTGTTTTACAAATGCTTCCACTGTATTGGTTTAGCTCCTCATGGGGACCCTGTCGAGGTGCTTCCTACCTCTCTCTCCCTGCTGGCCGGGTGAACCTTGACTTCCGGGGAATCCGTTCCTTCCTGCGGGACCTGGCTCTCCGCGGGGTCCCTGCCTGCCGGTAGATCCAGGAGGCCCCGGAGGTCCTGGGCTGTTGCTGCGGTACATGCCGTTGGGGATCTGGTTCAGTAGCGTGTTGACGCGAGTCATTTGTGCTGCAGTGGCGGAGGAAGAGGAGGAGGAGGAGGAGGAAGAGAGGGGACAGAACAATGAGCGGAGGACTGACTGCGGCTGCTCAACGGTGCCAGAAACATTTCCAAACGCAGTTCAAGGGAAAACATTCACTACTTACCGTTTACTAGAGACTCACAAACTTGTCTGGCAATAGATCGCATCATGTTCTGAGGAGCAAAGTCGCCCTGTGGACAGAGACAAAGGATTTAACTCCGGTTTATTTTATGGCTTTACAATCAGTTGTTCTTGTTCCTGTAGTGTGATGTTGAGCTTCACTGTGCAGAAGGATGTTTGTGTAATAAGACTATACAACTCCTCCACGTCCTTGGCTGGATCAGGGTGATCATAGTCAGTTAGTTAAATCACACTGAACTGCTTTGGACTCTTTATTTCTTTTTGTTTATTAATTCTCTGCTATAATTGTCTCCTTACTTTTGCTGTGGTTGCAGATGTCCGATCCAAGTCATTTAATATTGAGTATCTGCCGATACTGATCCAATTTGTATTTTAGGGAATGCAGTGCCAGTGCTCACTTCCAGCACATCAAAGTTACTAAAATCAATCCATTGTACATGTTAAATTAAACAGCTCTGCATTACATTAAAAACAAAATACCCGCATTGAAGCTGTTCTTCAATGACTTTTTAATAGTAACAACCCCTCTGTGGTCTTTTGGTCAGGTGAAGGCTGCATAGAAGCAACAAACTGGAGAGAGAGAGTTACCTGAATGAACTGTCTGTATCTGCTGACTGTTTATTTCCATCGTCTTTAGCAGGGATTACATTAATTTGTTACTTATTGGCTATCTATTCGCAGGGCTTTTGTTGAGCTTGCAGTGGCATGTTGAGTGTGGCTGTGTCGGCTCTCTACCGCTGTCTGTCTCTCCTCCAATCAGAGGCAGCCCCACCCACGGTGAAATCACAGTTCTCAGGCAGAGAGCTCAGATTGGAGAGAATTGACGATGGCTGCACTGTGCACGAAAGCTTCAGATCGAGTCAATAAAACTCAACTCAAACACAAAGTTCACTGAGAAAAATTTCTTAAATTAGGTCTGCCAATTGTTTCTACAAAATTCCTGAAACTCGGGAACCAGTTGTGGGAACAACTGAACAATACCTCGTCTTATTTTGTGATATTTAGGCTTCAAAAATATTCACATCTGATATGACTTGTTGTAGAATCTTTTTCAAGTAAATCATCTCAAACATGAGACATGTTTGGAGTTCAAACATGACCTTTTTGAGTTTCTAAGTTGTTAAGAAACCTGCAGGTACTCACTCTCTCTCCCTTGTCTCCCTTTGGACCGACAGCACCCTGAAAGCAGAAAGTCAGAACTGTTCAATCATCAGAAAACCATCTAAAAAAATTTAAACTCTGCTGGCCGGTTCCTACACACCGGCCATCACAGCAAGGACACTTACAGGAGTTCCAGAGTCTCCGGGGTTTCCTGGTTTTCCTGCAGCACCTGGTATTCCAGGAGATCCTGGAGGTCCCTGAGAGGAAACAGAAAATCAAAGCTCAGAAGGCGGCAGGTTAGGATATATAATCACATTAACCATAAAACGCTTCTTCTCTTTAAAATCCCCAAACAATCATATTAAAGGATGAAATAACATCATTGGATCCTTTTTGTGATCAGAAAATGTAAATCCTGCTGGAGGAAATCAATGTTTCCTCTGAGAACTCCAGTTTGTCCTTGAGCAAGGCACTTGAATGTCTAATTGCTTCATCTGGGTTCATACGCAGGCCGCAGCTCTCAGGTGAACACGTGTCAAAGCTCCCAACAAACCATTAAAACTCTTACCATGGGTCCCGCGGGGCCTCTGGGTCCGGTCGATCCTTCCTTGCCTGGAGGGCCCTGGAAACACAAGAGGAAGACTTGGGCTGATACGGTTCATGTTTAAAGAATTCGGAGAACATGGTTGCCATTAAAAGCAGCACAGGTGCACTCACCCTCACTCCAGCTGCTCCAATTGGGCCGACGGGACCGGGAGGACCAGGTGAACCCTGCAAACACACAACAAAACAAACATTTCACCCTCTTTTTCCTGCGTTAACTATAAAGGTCACCTTTGATCCGGCCGTTCATACCGGGTTGTTTCAGCGCCTGCCTGTCCAACAGTAAATCTCTTCCTTTTTTTTTGTGCTCATTTGCTCAGAAAGTCTACTCACTTCTTTTACTGCCAATCCTCTCTGGTCTTTGATGCCTCGGCATAACGTTTACAGGGAACATAATATATTCCAGATCTGTTTTATTGGCTATTATAAACCAGGACCCGCGTGGTCTGCAACTCATTAAATGCATGTTGCTATAGCATCTGCTTCAACATGGTCACCTGCTGCCGGCCCACTCCATCAGCACCGTCCACGTGGAGGTAGGCGCAGTGCGTTTGTTTGAACACACAGCGGATTGATAACTGACAGCCTTCGTCACACTACAGGACTTTATGTCTTGTAATCGGAGTCTAGAAGTCATTGTGGTTTTCAAACTACATGCGGATCAGCAACAGGGGGGTCACACACTACAAGACCTTTTACAACCAGTCTGACTGGTCCCAGGACTACGTTTAATCAAGCAGATTATGTTTAATCAAGTAGTAGTTTAAAAACACGCTCACAAAGGGAAACCATTTACACCCATTACAAACTACTGATAACTATTCTCATCAGCCAGCGTCAGTAATCAATACACTAATTACTAAAGCATTAATCAAACTAATAACCTACAGCAGTCAACATCAGACAAACTTATCATACTTAGCAGTTATCTAGTGTTTCTGTAATGTAGACAAAACGTTAAAAATGATCCATATTAGCAGTCTGAATTAAACTAAAAGCTAAATATAAAGTGTATTTTGTACAAACATATATTTTGTCTTCTGAACTCACTCAGCCTCCATTGTAGCTGCAGCTCTTTCAGTCAGTAAAATAAGAGCTGGTTGGTTGATCAGATACACGCCAAATTGAACACCGACTCACAGAACCATTAATTTTAAAGTCAGTTAGTGTGAACTCGGCATTACTCATGTGTCTGAGCTCTGTTTGGAGGGAGGACACTCCGATGAAGGCTAAAATCTGATAAATGACAGGTTTGATCCGTGTTCACGTGTTCTGTTCCAACAATCAATGTCCGGTTGGGTGGGACAGGCTGTTTAACAAGTGGTAAACCCAACCAAAGTGGAATTCTTTTATCAACACCCTGCTCAACCAAGAAAACGGATCTCTCCCCCGTCCACATGAGGGAGGAAGAAGGTTGACTCCGCATTAACAAACACCACTCACAGAGGTCAGAGGAAGGTGGGAACAACTCTGCAGCTATAAACAGATTTAATGGAGCCTGACGGACTTCCACAGAGGATCACTGAAGGCCTGAAGCAGCAGAGGATTTTCAGCTCCTCAAGCATTAAGAGAGCATTTACCCTCTTAACCTTTAACCTTAAACTGTGCTGGAGGAGACCAGACTCACCAAATCACTGTTGACTTTTTTTATTAAAAGGTTATATATGGGATTTAAAACATTAATATAGCAGCAAACAACACAGGCAGAGGGAGTGAGTCACATGGTGTCTCATTCCCTCTGCCTCCATTTATATTTATAACCTTTAAATCTTCTATCATTTAGTGTTCTATAAAACTTTTTGTATTTCTTGTCGTAAAAGTACAACATGTGTAAGTTGTCTGAGTGACGCTGCAGCATTCGTGAGTCAAACAATACTGAGAGAAAAGCTTTGTAGTAAATGGAGAAAAACTTCCATCTCTTACCACCCCATAAAACCTACATATAAGCGGCTTCGATCCAGGAAGAAATCAACCAACATTCATCACTCCGTATTTCTAACACACCAACAGTTTGATCCTGTTTAGATGTCTTGAAGTTTCAGCAGTGACCTGTGCTGTTCTTTACTGTCAGTCCAACAGTTGCTTTATAATCTTAGGTGTCACATTTGTCTTCCAAATTCTGGATATCCCAGGTTGGACCTCGTATAAAACAGATAAACAGATAAAACAGCTTACATTAGGAGGAGGATGCAGCGGCGGACCGCAGGCCAACACTTTAACCAGCGCTGTTAATCAAGGCGACTTGTTCTTGGCACGCCCTCTGCACAAATTTAATTTAAAAGTAATATTCAGAAACACTTCTCTCCGAATCCTCCCCAGCTGGAAAACCGTCCGACTCCGTCCAGACGCCAGAGTAGTAGTCAGACTGTGAATTATCTCTGTTTCCTGTTTAACATCTTAAAACCTTCTCGAGCCAGAGCCGTACTTACTTTCTGTCCAGGTAAGCCAGAGTCGCCGGGGTCTCCCTTCGGTCCAGGGCGGCCCTGAAGGTGGAAAACAACAACGTGAACATTACTTTAAGAAAACAATAACGTGAAAATTTAGGAACAGAGGTAACTGTAAATCATTACAGTTAAGGGGGGAAAATGTAATCAGAATACAGTTACATTTAGTAAAAATGGGGAAGTTTTTCTTTGAGCAGAGGACACATTGTTGACATATAAATATCTTGATTACCATCTTATTTTCTAAGGTCACATCGTGATGTCTTATAGAATACATCAATACTTCTTACTGACACTTTCTGTTCTCTTTATTTACACATTGGTGTTGAGGTAATCAAAAGTACCGGAAAATGAATCAAGCTACTTTAATATTGTGATATTTGGATTAGGTTACTGACTACATTATTCAACAGTAATTAGTAACTGTATTGGATTACATTTTTAAAGTAACCCTCCCAACCCTGAATGCAGCTGTGAATGCCTGCACAAGACGGATCCAGAGTGGTCTAGAAGATTCTTTAGCCTTCAACCAGGTGTACACAGCCTAGTTAGGATCTCAATACGTAGATCAGTTAGTTGTCAACAAACATGGAACGTGTCAAATTCATTTTTAAATCACATCTGCGAGGAAACACTCACTAACTTCTGCTAGCACTCGTTGTATTTACGGGGCTTGCTTAAGCTAGCAAGAAAGGGGTCGGAGTTAAGTGATGTTTCCGATTGCTGGGCGATATTTTTGTTTCTTTGGAGTCAAACTGTACGGATCTCGTTTCCACCTACATTCTTCCTCATCCTGATTCTACTGTTAGTGTTTAGCCACATTCTTAATAAAATGGCCTCTTCCCTGCTATCGCTAACTGCCCGTGCTGTGTGACCTCTGGAGACACTATGAGGGAACATTTCTGTCTAATCTGGGTCTCGTCTCGGCGACGTGATTTACGGGCTTTCAGTGATTCTGAGCTCTCAGGTCTCTTTGGTATCATTTCTTCCCCTCAGACATGAAGGAATGTAAATCTGTGCCACAGAAACTCCCCCGGCTTGTAAATTCCCTCTCGTGATAAATCGCCAGGATAATACCTCTCCTCTGCGAGTGTGTGTGTGTGTGTGTGTGTGTGTGTGTGTGTGTGTGTTTGCGTCAGGTGTGTTTACGAACTCACAGCCTCTCCTGGAATCGACAGCCCGCTGGGTCCTTGAGGGCCGGGCAGACCCATGGGCCCAGGTGGTCCGTTGTCTCCACGCGGGCCGACTGGTCCCTGCCAAACGAAGAGCGGAGGTCAGATCAGAAATATTTAAACACAGGAGGAGCTTGTTGCTGATGTCTGAGTTTAACGCTGCTGCTGCGGATCGAAGCTCCCCAATGCATCAGGGAGAAAACATTGGTAAGTGGAATCAGATGTGCTCTTCAAAGCTTCTCTACTTTAAACAATCTTTGGTTTCCATCTGATGGCTGCAGAGTCTGACCCAGCTCACACAACGCTGTCAGAGGATTATTTCTTAATTAAAAAGGTGACGTGTTAAAGATGAGACAGATTTTTTTATTAATAAAGGTACTCACAGAAGGACCGGCCTCTCCTCTCTCACCACGGGGACCTTTGCTGCCGGGGGCACCCTGAGGAAGAGGAAGAGGAACATTTGTCATGTTAACGAAACAAAAACTAAAGGTGATGACTTTGACAAATATCAGTGGCTTTAAGATGGAAAGAATCCACCTTAAAACCCCCAGAAACCTGGTTTCAACACTTAATAATATAACTTTAAATGTTCCTGACAAGTATTCAAGTCACAAAATATCTTTCTTTATCTATTTATTAAAGGTCCAGTGTGTAACATTGAGGGGGATGTATTGTCAGAAATGTAATATAGCATGGGTATATTTTTATTAGTGTTTAATCACCTGAAAATTAGAATTGTTGTTTTTGTTACCATAATGAGCCGTATTTCTACAGTAGCCCAGAATAGACAAACCAAACACTGGCTCTAGAGATGGGACGTTAGCATTTTTTCGTGACCACCCAGTTTCTCCAACACACTGCGCAGCCCATTTTTATTCCCAGGTCTTCAATACAGATGCGAGTGGTGTTTAGTTAGTTGTAATACACAACTTCACCACTAGAGGTGAAAAAATAATCATCTTAAAGTCTCGACAAACATGGTTTCAAATCTCTAAAACGTATTAATTTGTCATAAATATGTTAATAAAGTTATTTCGGTTTCATAATGTAAGATGTATTCATTTTACCTATGAAGGATATGGTTTTTTTATATTTTTCTTATTGTCCAAAAAATCCCATGAAACCAAAAATGAACATCCTGCCACTCTTTTTAAGAAATAATTTTCCAGGGTTTTCCAGACAGTGAAGGACAGCACTTGCTCACAGTCAGTGTTTATTGGATTAGTGATTTTTTCCGCTGTGGTCGCTGGTGAACTGACTGCAGTTTAGCTCTAATTCCTCCAGTTCAAATCAATTAAAATGTACTTTATTTCACAGAAAATAATCTTCTAAAAGTGAAAGTCTGAAATGAAACACGTCATTAATAGGCTGTTTGCATGTTGATATAAACATCTACAACAACTCCACCGAGGCTCTCTGAGAATTACTTTCATGGCTACATAAAAATTAGACTTGACACAGAAAAGATCCCTGCAAGTCCGCTTTGTGTCTGGTAAAGGTTTAAGTTTAGGTGGGTGATCTGACTGAACAGCTAGAATACTATTAATAGAATTCAAGGACAACATAGATTATTTACGGGATATTTGGTCTTTTTAATCAATTTCCAGATGTTTCCATGGTTGGAAAACTAGTCTCTAAATGTCCAGGTTTTCCAGGACGCGTGGAAAACCCGCTGATAGACGAACTGACACATTGTTTTTTGGTCTTTTTATGAGATTTATCAACATTGATGAAGATAAAGAATGACGGCAGACTGATCCATCCTTCCATCTGTGCAAGCGCGGTCTGCAGGTTTATCTATCAACTGTCAGAGCTTCGTCACGCTGCACCACAGATTACCTCCTCTCTCCTCTTAAAACGTTTTATGAGCCATTGCAAAGAAGTTTCCCATGGTTAATGTGCCTCAGGGCACAATATTCTCCCTTGTACAACATACAGTGTATAAATAACCATAAATAACCTGACAAGGAAGAGCTTTTACTCACATGTAAGTTGTGATACCACAGTGGAAAAATGTTCCATTACAACTAAAAGCATTTAAGTAAAAGTATGTAAAGAGAGTATTAACAGTAAAATGTGCTTGCTGTATAAAAAGCTCTCTGGCTAAATTCCTAAAATTAGAGATAATTCAATAGTAAAATCATAAAATGTGAAACAAAGTAAGTCAAACTTTCCAACCCTGTCTCCTAGAAATCACATTCATATCCTCTAATTAACAGCAACACAATGCTGTTTGTATTCTGCCTTTTAATCAGCTTAATGACCAAACGTTCTGATTGTATCTGCAAACACTCACTGTCAACAGGTTTAATGTGTTTTACAGTTTCTGCTCGTGGCAGCTGAAAGATGATTCATGTTTTTATGGTTCTGTTTAGGCAACTCAGGAAATGATTAAATCATTTAAATAATCAGCACATGAAATATTTCACCAAAACAGCGGTCTGTCCTTAAAGGGAAACTGATTTTACACGTCAGAGTACGTCTTCAGGTGTTGGGGAGTTCTATATGTGAAATAACTTGAGTCGGCATCAGTTGAAGACTCTGAGTTTGAAAATGAAACCGATCTGTTGGAAAGATGTGATCTTTCCAAAATTCTGTAGCTACTCTGTTGCGGACAACATTAGCCGCTAGTATCATAACACACCTGAATCTCTGAGTGAACTGATAGCTTTGTAGTTGCATTGTGGGTAATGTAGGTGCCATGTTTTGACAAGGAAGAAGATTAAGGTTGTGTTCACTTCTCCTGGGGATCTTCTTTTTTTTTGGCTTTGACTTGGGTGGAGGAACTCGACTGGAAAATGAAAGTGAAACTAAAGTTCCACCTAGCATCGTTTTCTTCTGTACTTTTTTATAAATTTTTGTTGCGGGACAGTGCGGGAGCGCCATTCTCTCCCAGGAGGCAACAACGGGTACGTTCTGTTCACCGTTGACCAAAAACACAAACATGTTCATGCACAACAGAAAGACTCAGTAAAGCAGCAGAAACACAAGTAGTTAACTGGCTGTTAACAGGTTATTAATACATTGTTAATGTTACTGAAATGTGATCACTTGTTTATTAACAGGTTATTAATAGGTTTTCACTGATTAGAATAAGTTGTTAACATATTATTAATACATTGTTAATATTATGAAAATGTCCTTACTCTGTTATTAACAATGTGTTCACTGCTTATTTACAAGTTATCAACCAGGGTTATTAGGTTACAGGTTATTAACAAGTAGTTAGCTTGTTGTTAACGGGTTGTTAATATGTTGATTAACATGTTATTAAAAGGTTGTTAACAGGTTATCAACTGGTTTCTAAGGTGGATTTGGTGATTCTTACCACTGGTCCCTGAGGCCCTGGCAGCCCATTGGGCTCTGAGGTACAGGTGCAGGCATTGGGAAGAGACGGACACTTCAGCTCATCTCTCTGTTGGAGAAAGAAACAAACAATTTAATAGTTGAAAACAACTAAAATCATTATAGTCAGAAAGTGGCCGAGTGAACCTTCTGACAGAGAAAAACTTGAGCCAAAGGAAACAGACTCCAACTGATTTCACTTTGGATTGAGGGCTGAACATCTAACAGCATCCATGTCACTTCATTAGCAGCAGATGATTCATACATTCTCGGTTCACTAACAGTCGCTGACATAAACTTTGAGTGGGCGTCATGAAAAGGTGTCGAGAACAAGAAAGCAGATCCAAAGTGTTCTTCAAGAATACTACAGAATCATTTTGATCTCAAAGAACACAGTCCGTCTCCATTAGTGGTTGAAAGATATTTCCCAATGTTGCTTTTCACTCAGAGGTAAACAGTTTAGACAACATTTCTGTACATTTAACCCTTGCACAAGACAAAGAGCAGAGCTGGGAGGCCTTTGAGTGACGTTTTCTGGAGCCAGAACGCCAGAACAAATGTGTGGGCACAGTGACAGCACCCTGGGTGATTTTCCAGGAGGAGGGGTACATTTTCTGCTTCAGAGATTTCAGCATGACGATGAAATTAAGCTTTTGTGAAAGTAAAACCTCAAGAAAACAGTTTAGGAATCTAAAAACAGTCTCCTGGAGAGGAGGACTTTGAAAGCTGGAGGAACCTTCCAGCGAGAAGAGGCGGATACTGTATCGAGTTAGAAGGATAATATCTTGTCTGATATCCAGAACTATTACCAGCAGTCCTCTCCTACCAAATTAACTACAAATGTCACTTAAATCTTAGGACGATGTGCAGCTCCAAGAACGTTGACGAAATCTTTGGTCATTGGTCACAAACTTCTGTCCCGTTTTACACTGTGAGACATGGACGGATGGGCTTCGACAACGAGAGCGTCACAAGTTTAAGGAGTTAGCCATCTCGCTTTCTTTTCATCTCTGTTGCACATGCTCAGTATTGATCGCAGCAGGAAAGTTTATGAGCTGAAGAACAAAGCGAGAATTTCAATTATCCTCGAAACAGGAGTTTAGTTGGGTGGTGTTGAGACTACAGCATAGTTCTCTGGATCTCATTTCTTTGTTCAACATGTTAACATGAATATTTTCCATAATCTAACATCTTGAGCTTTTTCCATATTCTCCTTACAAGTGGACATAATATTAACTATCTAGAACTTTCAACTGTCTCAGGGTTTCCACTCTTTTTAAGAAATCATTTTTATAGATTTTTCAAGGAGCTTTCTTAACAATACAGAACAACACATTTGACTCTAGTTTAATTATTCATTTTTAATGATGCAGGAGTTATGATGAAGTGTCTCAGGTTCATTACAGTTAGGTGCTCAGAGTTTATGGGATTATGGGATTAATTCCAGGATATTTGGTCATTTTAATTCAATTTCCAGTTGTTTCCATGACTGGAAAACAAGGTTTTCCAGGCTGCGTGGGAGGCCTGTATCTATACATCTGTTGCCGGGGTTCAGAGCAGCTTAAATGTCTAAAAAGTGAATTAAACACACAAAGGACTTGTTTAGTAGACAGATCAGTTCATGCAGGACATTAACTTCTACACGGATGTGGGATGTACATTTCCACTGAGGCCACACTGATCATTTAATATCTGTCAGTGAAAGAGCCCAATCAAACAGCTGTCCTCGCTCTGCAGCAATTGAGATAATAATCCACCAGAGTTGAATCATTCTCAAAAATCTTTTGGACGTCCAACTGCAGACGTGCTGCACTCAGACAAAGCTCCATTTGTTACAGCGTCTCCGGAGATCTCTGCTGGGACCGAAGTAAGAAAGCCTCACGTTGAGAAAGGCCAGCCACCAAACAACAGCCTGCACTGTGTTCTTAAAAATCTCATGATGTTGCTGCCGCCACCGCCGCTGCCCAGATATTTCACTGCTTGCAAACAATTGTTCCTCTTTTTTTAACATCGCAGAGGTCTTGAGAAACACCAGAGATGATTTTAAAATAGGAGTTGATGTGTGAGAGATGAAGGAAAAAGAAAGAAAGGAACTTCTCTACAATGTATTCATGTTCTTTACCGCCTATAAATTATCACGAAAGTCTGTTCAGCATTTATATTTTCTTTCTATTGAAGCATGTCAGCGCTTCCACAACACAGTCTCTGCTCTGTCTTACACCGCTGAAACCTCTCTTCCAGTCAGTTATGTAGGTGTAATAAGCAACTGTTTACTAGCACGTTTGTCAGATGATTACTGCTTGTTGTGCTGTCCCCAAATGGCCAAAAAAGGTCGATGAATGCAGGTTTAATTAAATTAAATAAAAACAAAAGTTAAGAGAATCTCCACGAATCAGTCAAATCGCAGTGGACACCACAATCCGTAGTGATGAGTCTTTTTAATAAAAATAGAAAACATATTAATGTAAAGCATGTTTCACTCTGATTAATTGAGCTTCACTAGATCCACTAGAGCAGGGATCTCAAACTGCCAGTCCTTTATCCTCCTCCCTCGGGCCCCGATGTGAAGTCAAAAATGTTGTGGTTGTTGTGCCAGGACTCATTTGTTGTTTGGCTGCGAACAACAAAGATGATATAAAAACTTATAAAAACTACTGTTTTCATTGCAGTGGCCCCAATCAATCTGACCTCAGCACCGAAAGATACCGCCTATATAGAGAGCGACCATCTCTGTCTGGATGACTTTCACCCAGCACTGTTCCCCCGCTGTTCAGGTCCAAAGAGAAACCAAAAATCAATGTTGACTTATCAGGTACGAACTTCTCCTAAAGCTAACCAAATTGCGACCTCAGGGAGCTTTATTTTGAAAGTGTAACCAGACGTTTAAAAAGTTTATCCACTGCTTGTGAAACCACGGTCAAAGGACATTTACATCAGAGTTTGGGGCAGTAAGTCATCTCTTTTCCATTATTTTTATGTAAATTATTAAGATATTTAAACTTATATAACTGCCTATACACTCAGTGTCACCTCCCACGTCTTAGCATTGAAGTTAGTGATTCAAATTTAATCATAAGGTTAATATAACCAGCTGGAATTACTGCCCAAACCAAGAAAACAACACTCATGTTGTAAAATGTGTGAAATCAAAGCAGTTTCTTTGTACATTATGTTTTGCATTATATCTCAGGCTCTGTTGTTATCGGCTGGCTCACACTCCTGCATATCACATATACCCTGTTTATTTTTCTCTATGATTCGAGCCAGTTCTGATTCTGATTACGCCGCCCTGAGCTTTGATCTGCTGCTGAGTGTGTAAGAAGAACCGAGGAGACGCTGTGACTGGTGAAAGCTGTTTGGACCTGCAGCTGGGTGTTACAGCACAAACACTCATCTGCTTTTTACTGTCAGGAGGCTGTAATTACTTCTGCTATTAACTCAAACTAAATGTGTCATTTAACAGTTTTTCAGTCCCCCGAGTGTGGATTCTTTCTTCCTAAAAAATGCCTGAGAAAAACCAGCTGGCCTGACACTTTTCTGTAAGACGATCAGTCAATAAACCCAGGATGCTCCATAGATGTACAAACAAACAAACAAACAAACAAACAAACTGGCAGATGGGAGTTTTGGGCATTTTTGGAGATTTTCAGGACAAAGAAATAATCTTAGGATTGTGTATGAAATAAAATCGGTTTCAGTTAACCCTTCCTAAGTCCCGCCCCTTTTTGCTCTGTGCTCCAATCACAGTTGAGCAAGCCTCGGTTAACTTCCTCGTTTCCTGTACCTAGATATGCTTCGTGCTAGGCTAATCTATGTTTAAAGGGACAACCCCGTTTTGAAGATGGTTACAAGATAAAAGCGACATATGCAGTCACATCTTAAGTTAGCTAATGTTAAAATGCAAGATAGCTAAACTACATCTGCATTCACTGCTCTCACGTATGCTAACACATTATTTCCTTGCTCTCATTATCTGGGGCCGTCAATCAAGATATTAGCTGTTCTCATGTTCTCTGTTATCGTCTTCATCAGCCTCAGCAAAGTCATCAGCCGCTACCACCAGTGTCTGGACTCTCCCTGTAGAGTCTGAGCGCCAAAGACTGTCTGACAAGACTTAATTATCACATATCAAATGTTATAAACAACATTTATCTTTACTTCATTCACTTGTCTCTCCTAATTGAGCCAGCAAGCTACATCAATTGTTAGCTAGCTTGTTACATCCGATAGATCGTGTAAGCAAAACGCTAGCTAATTACCTGGCCAACAATTCATGTAAATTAGCGAGCTAATTAGATAGCATTTTACTTACATTAACTAACTTAAGATGTAACAGCATATACTGTATATACATGTTACTTTTATATTTTAACCATTTAATCTTCAAAATGTGGTTGTCTCTTAAACACAGATAAGCCTAAGTCCAAAAAAGGGGCGGGACTTAAAGATGACTCACATAAGATGACCTAACTATGGCCACAAAGCCATCATTTTCTCTTAATTTCCAGTTATAAAAAAAAACAGTGCATTGAAAGCACTCATCTGATCGGGCTTTTAAAATTCACACTCCCCAAATATTTTAGGCCAAAAAAAACCCGTCAGTCACTTCTATATTTTGGGATCCAAACAGATTCTGAGAGCAGAGGAGAAGCTCCTGAGCAGTTGATTATCTGGATACTGAAGTCGAAGCTGCAGCCAGAGCTCCACCGTCATTCAGCGGCTGGCTGCAGGTTAAAGAAGTGAGAGGAGGTGCTGATAGAGGATGTACACATTAAACATGTTAAGTGGAAAAGTCCGTGTCCGTGTTCCACGGAGGCGGGGGTTCCCTTACCATAGACGGGAGGTCACAACATCTGTCCCTGCTGGTCCAGCCCAAGCTGCAGACAATATCGAACATCTGGAGCTGGAACTGCAGAGAGGAAACAGAAAAAAAAAGAAAAGGAAAACATGGAAATGGTGTTGTGGTACATGTGTCTGTGATACGCCCTTCACAGCTCCCAGAAGACAAATACACAGCAGAGAGAATGCAGCACAGCCGAGTCCCATCAGCCCCGGCAAACACAGGAATCGGCTCATATTGCAACCACGCTGATGGCTCAACATACAGAATTATGTTCATTTTAATCCCCATTTTTATTCACTTCAGTCCTGCTAAACTTCCTCCCAGCCAACTGCAGATAAAAGCTGATCTGAGTTCAGCTTCAAACTTTAAATAACGACACAGTGAGCTGGGTTGGTGCAACAGCAAAATGTTCCTTTAAAATGAATAAATCGTACTTGAATTCAGGTCCTACCAGAAGCTAATAGTAGCTAATGTTAGCATGATACTGCTGGGTAGGCTATCGAGTTAGCTTACTTAGTTTAACAGACACAATGTCCAGTGACAGTTAGTGTGATTGAAATTAAGCTACCATTCCCCCTGAAAATAAATCTAAATTTGGGTATTTTTTGATAAATTAAAATCCTCTCTACTGGATAAATCTGATGTATTTCCAATAATTTATTTTCAATTTCTCCTAACTATTGTTGTTTTGCACTTTTGACTGCCAAACCCAGCTCTCCTCGGGGGAATTAACATATTCAAACAGTACAATTGCAGTGAAGCACGCATCCCTCCTCTCCTGTGTGAACGCTGCAGGATCCCAGCTGACTTACAGTTGCTGATTCTCCTTTGGAGCCGATGGACTTGGACATCTTGCCCAGAACCTGGTAGCCATCGCTGGACGTGTTTCCAGCAGCCTTGATCTCCTTCTCAGCCACTTCTTGGCAGTCGATGTTGAGTTTGACGCCGGTGGATGAAACCAGGATATGGAGCTTCAGAGAAAAGCAGAAAAAAAGACTTTATTGGCACATTCTTTGTTCTGAGACCAAGTCTTGTGTCTGGTTTTTATCCTGATGGCCTGCAAATTATTAGGTTCTGCTGAGTCTGAGCTCAGGGTGGACGTGCTCCATCGTCTCCGCTGTAGTTCTGTTTATTTTAAACACGAGAGAGGAAAAACCAGCAATCCTCTCTGCTCATTCAGAAGAACACATGCTCCATCGGAGCCACACTAAGAAGGAAATGAATCCGGCGCTTTGGTTTTGAGCTCCTTCCTGTTGCTACGAGCAATCTGGGAATTTAAAGTCACAATAAAATCTTCAACTTCCATGTTGTTGTATGCTCCTATTTAAAGATGCCAAATGCCCTAAAAACTGCAACTTTTATTACTGTTGTTTTTATTTTCCGGAAAACAGGGCATTTAAGAGAGGTTACTTCATAGCATACCAACGTTACAGCACCTTCCTACCCACATCCAACAAACTCAGGATGGATCTGATCGATGCTCTCTCCCTCACTTATCTAAAATCTCGTTGGAATTATTTTCCTGTAAATTAACTGACTGAACTGACAGGGACTGTGGTGCACTATATATTACATATGGAGGGATTTGGGACACATTACGTTGTTCTAATGCACCAACCTCTGGAGCACAGACACACCGTCATGTTCAGCAGTCAGATTACAGGTGGTGTTCAGTCGGGGCTGCACTAGTTGTCCTCTGAGGACAGCTGAGGCTTCACTTAATTACACTTAATTAGCTTAATTGCATGTTTCTGGATCCTGTCCTTCTGAAATAAAACCAAACTTCTCAACAGATGTTACAGATCTCTGCCAGCGCCACTTTACTGGGAAGAAGATGTGACGTCACTTTTCTGTTATCTGTTTCTGTTTCTGTATGTTACGAGGTAAAATGAGTGTTTCTGTCTCTGGAGTCTGGTGGAGAGTGATAGTGATATTACGGCTGTTTGTGGTTAAACTAAAGGTCTATCTCTGTAGGGATCCTTTCCATAATGCTGTCAGACACTGACAATAACAACCTGAGCTCAATACTGGACTCATTTAAAAAAAAAAAATGTTGTCCCCATTAGTCACAAAAACATTGGAAATCACAGTCCAAGTTGAGAAATGCTTCAGTTACTCATTAAACATGTAATAAAACGTGAAAGTCTGTGCAAACAAAAACCGGAGTCCATTGGTGCCACGACATAACCGGTCCACATTAAATACATTTCAATATTTCGGCTACATTCATTCAGTCGTAAGAGGCTGCTCCTCCTGTTAGCTTACACAAAAAGTACTAAATAGTTTAAATAGTTTACAGATTTTACTTTCGGGAAAACAAGGGAACTCATACCAGAGCGATACTTGGTATCTTGGAATCTTGGATCTTGTCCCCAGGGATGTTTCACAAGGGCCAAATGGGGTCGGACTGTGACGCAGTTACAGACGGTCAAAATACGACCTGGCTTTGCATTTGTTATTTTCTTGTCACGTTAAAGGTTGGCAAATGAAATGAAAACATCTTTTTGACATATTTGCTGAAGATTTCACTACATCCTGACACCAGAACACGAGACAGATAGTATCTCAGATAATGAGAACGTTTGTCAGATACTAAGTCAATACTTTAAGGAAGTTTCTCATTATAATGGCTTATAGAATCTTTTTTTCCCATCCCATTGGCAGAAATAGGCTTCCGTAGGACAAAGTGAAAGTTTCAGCAAATTTTTAGGTTATTTTTATAAAAGTTACCTGCTGCAGCTTTGAGCTCATCATAAATATTCAAATTTCACAGTAAAGTTCTCCCGCTGTCTTTACATTAAAGTTGGCTTATTGTGAAGCACATGCAGGAAGTGATGTCGTTGTATAAGTGCATAATAAAAGTATTCAGTGTGGATCCTTCTTCATAAGCTCAGTGACTGAAGCGTCTCTACATACCAGCAGCTTGATGTAAACAGTTCCAGCCACTTTTAAATAAACCCTTTACTCATCTGTTCTGATATTCTGCTCCTGCTTTTCCCCCAAAAACCCTGTTTCAGCTGGAAATCCATCGTGTTTCAAAAGCCAAAATTCCTTCCTTCTGTCTCATTGGACGGCACTTTGGGGCATCTGACGACTCCTAACTGTAAAATAACTGAGGCAGCAGTGGAGTTACACACACACACACACTACCACGATGCATTTCTGCCTTACTCAGATCTCCCTCACCACATCTCCTCATGATGTCATTGTGCGGTAAGCCACAAGCACCGCCTTAACAACAACCTTTCCTTGAGGCCGGCCCCTCTGAGGCCGCGGCAGCTCTCCGCGCGTGGTCAGCCGGCGTCCACGGACATGCAGAGCGGCGTTCAGCAGAGCGTGGAGAGCCGACGCTGCTTGAGGAAACACTGACACGTCCAAGGAGGACTCGGGGGAGGGAAGCACATTTACACTTCAGGTTTGAAGCTCGGCAGGTACTCCCGAAGCTCCAGCGTGTCGCTCTCAACACTTTAACAGGAAACACTCGTCTGTGGAGGGATACGAGTTTCTAATAACGGCACTGATGTGGTAGAACCGACTCTGCCAACATTAAAACGTGATCAGGCCAAAAGAGAACATTTTTATTCTCGTCAGGCTGGAAAATCCTCTGAGATGTAGAGGAAACTCTGATACATTGTTCCTGTAAAACACAACCTGATGTATCGCTCTCATGAGGCTCTCGCTGATAACATCAGCTATTACTGGCATCCGACCCACCAAAATAAAGGCGGTACTGAATACAGAACTTCATTCATTTTTCAAGCTGTTCTTCTAACTTTGGAAATCGTTAAATTTAAACTTCTGCTGTTTGAGAAAAGGCGACAACTACTCTAAACAACTATTCTTTTTCAGAGGATCCAACTAGAGATGTATCTTCTTCCTCTCTACCATCAACTATTAAACACACACACAATCACATCTTTCATCACCATCGCAGCTCAAAGTAGTCCCTAACAAATGTCCACCTGCTTGCTTGATACACTGAGCAGCTGTTAATTACTGAATCTATTTCAAATGAAACTGCATATTTGGGTGAGTTTTTAAAGATGAATGTCTTATGATGAGATTTGTTCACAATAAGACAAATCATATATAAAATACGGGAACAGCAGGAGGTGGACGTCTGTAAGAAATGAGAAAAAAATGAGACTTCCTCCATGTTCGTCAAATAAAACAGGAACCCGACAGCTTTCCTCTAACATTAATTTGGCCACAGCACAGTTTAAAATAGATTTTCCAGGACAACATAGATTATTTCCAGGATATTTGGTCATTTTAATCAATTTCCAGCTGTTTCCATGACTGGAAAACTAGTCTCTAAATTTCCAGGTTTTTTCTTCTTATTTTTACATCTAGACTGTAGTCTGAGTCTAGACTTTTAAATGCTGTATTGGACCTTAAATAAACCTCAACATTTATTTAAACAAATTCCTTTTTTAATCGGAATCTCGCTCAAACGTCTCTGAGATGTTCCCATTGGTCGGAGCATCTTTATTTCCCATCTTTTTCTTTCAGTTTTTTGCTCTCTGGTGAAAGTTACTGGCAGGACTGTTAATCTGTTTCTCTGCAGTTGGCACGGATCATCCAGTGGCGGCTGATAGTCAACACAGAGCTCGCAGGGAGGATCTTCACTCTAATCCCTGTTTGCTCCCGTCGGACCACAGAAACCCTCCAGGTATCCACAACAGATCTGTGTTTGCTGCTGTTAAACTCATCGCAGGAGGATTTCAGAGACCCGTCTAGGGCTGAGTTAGCAGGTTGGTAAAATGCTGCGAGGGGGAAGGGGATTAGCAAAAGTCAGACGTGGCGATGTGGCGGATATTGCCATCTTTCATCGACAACATCTTGTGCGACGTGAATCTGGCACGACAGCAGATCCAAACATCAGCCGGCAGGGATGTTGCAGTCGGGTTTAAGCTTTCTTTCTAAATCATGTTTCAAGAAAGTTCAACACGTCCTAGTCAGCTGTCAGGGTCCGCCACTCCCGCTGACTGACAGGCCTTTAAATCTTTACTAAGCTTTTCTTCAGTCCAGCTGTTTTTATTGTTGCTGGAGGGTCCAGCAACAGAAAAAGCAAGAGTGAAAGGGTCAGGACGTGCGCCCTGCAGCAGTGTCCTTGACAGGTTCCAGGTTTATGACTAACTCTGACCTCTGACCTCTCTGTGGAAGAATGGAGGAGGCAGAAAGAGGAAGAATTTCACCCTCAGGGATCAATTCTGCATCACTTTCACTTCTTCTCTGCACCTCTGTGAGTTTTTACGGACAGCAGATTTTAATCCCATCTGGATTTTACAAAAAGAGTCATTTTCATGTCTTGTGTTTGAAGAAACATTTCCTCAAACGTCCCTCTTTACATTCCACAACTGCCTTCGTACTTCCTGCCTGAGGGACGAGAGAAATTGCGGAAGAAGACACTCTGCATCAGATATAAATTACGGCTAAAGTAGCCCGGAGGAGTGGCGTTATCAGGGGGCAGCTGTCTCCACAGCGCATCAGGTAATCTAAATCTGACTTTAAAGTCTCTCCTGCTGACACAGACGTCTCACCCTGCAGCAGACGCCGTGTGCAGAGGCATGTTGGGAGGTAAACCCACAGAGCAGCAATAAGAATTTGCCTGTGGTCGACTACCAGAGGCAAGACCGAGTGCCTGCCATCCAAACACACTCCTCCTGAGCCAGGAGGCTGCAGGGAGGTGGACGGAGGAGGGGAGGCACCGCCTTCCTGCTGGCGCTCTCAGCCGCTCTGATGTAATTGTTTAATAGCAGTGACCCAATATTTTCCAGGCGAGCGTCCCAGCAGGGACTGCAGAGCATTTTTAATGGTCTCCCCCTTTAGAAGAGCGTATGGATCCTTGTGAAACTCTGTGATATTGTTATCCACACTGTGTCCTCCAGCAGTACGCTATCAGCACACACTCCCTCGCACTGGAAACTGTCCCCTCTGCTCAGTCTGTCCTCAGGCCAAACAAAAAGCTTGTTTTATAACGTGCAATAACCACAGTTTGTGTTTCTGATATTGGCTCTTTGTTGGATATAGAACTATGCTGCCATTTTACGGCCAAGTAAATAGGTTTCATCTTGCAAAATTGACTAAAAATCTCTTTTACTTACTTACTAGTATTTTCATGTCAGTGTCATTGAAATGTCTCCAAAGCGAGGTTAGTGTTGTCAAATAACCTGCCTGCAGTTTGGTTTTAATTCGATTTTTAGTATTTGATACAGCTTGTGCTGTATCAAATACTTAGATGTAATCATGCAAAAGTCTGATTACATGAGCGGCACAAACTGAAGCAACACAAGTCTCTTAACTCTTAAATATCTCGTAATAACTCAGCAGCGTTATTGCCCATCGCTTCACCTCCAGCTGGATGTTAAAACCCAACCAATCCAGCGAGAGTCTGACCGTCTATTGATCATTTAACAGCCTCCAGGAGGTGCAGATGGCCGCCTCCATCCGTCCATTAGACAGTCTGAACTGTATGTAATCAGCCTCACTCTTTACAACCTGCAGAGGACCATCTGTTGCCCTTGTAACGCTTCAGGAACACGTCTGTAGTTGCATGTGAGGTGCTCCGACTGTAATGTACAACACATTTGGAATCTTAGGAATCTGCAGTGTCTGTGTGACCTCAGGACATCCAGAGAGAACAAAGCGGGGCGATTCGATTTATGTGTCACGCCTAAAAATGTTATATAATTCGAGCATTAAAGACACATTTGACTGTTCATCTTCGTTCTGTTCGATATGACTGAAACCCAAAACACCCACATGGATTTCAACCACTGCTGCTTCAAACACTGGAGACATTTTAACGTCCCCGTCGGGTGTTTGTTTGCTGTCTGAGCATCTTTTTCTCTTCACTGTGAATATTGGTTACATCTGTCTCCTAAATTCAGCACTGATGAGTGACTGTGTACCTTGTGGAAGCTTCCGTGGAAGATCCTCTTCACTTGATCGGTGTCGAACGTGACCCTCTGGATCTCGCCACGCTCGTCTTTGTTGTAGAAGGACACAGTCTTGCTGGAGGCTGAGCAGAGAGACAGAAGAGACGTTACACACTGTGCTCTTTTTTTAAAGGAATACACACTGAGCAACACTCAAAGAGAAACCACCCTGAAAGAACATTTGTGACTTTGTTCCTTAAGTTCAGACCAAAGATTCGCAACAAGGCCGGTCTGCGGTAAATGTGTTATACTGCACAAACCACATTTTAAAATTTGCCCTATTTAAAGCCATGATTGCGTTGTTTCTATAGAGGTATATAAAAAAGCGTATATTGAACATATAACATCAGCTGTTATTGGTACCCAACCCGCCAAAATAAAGGCATATGTTGCAGTGAAAAACGAGCCCACAGTTGAAGTAAAAATGTGACAGGACCAACGTGCGGGTTCAGATTTAAGCTAGTTCCCAGCTTTAAAGCAAAATAAAAACTGTTAATAATTTTCTGCCGGATAAATCGATGAGAAGACATAAACATAAATAAATATCATAAATAACATAACAGAAATATGAAGCTGGAGCCAGCAATAGTTAGCTTAGATTAGCACAAGGACTGGAGGAAGGAGGAAACTGCTTGCAAGTTTAGCTTTGTAAATCTTCTCATTCAGCTCTTTGCCAGGAAGCGAATAAACACACTTCCCAAAATATCAAACTATTCCTTTAATACTGCAGTTTGTTTCTCCCTGTGGAGGATCTGAACCTCGGTGTCGTCCAGCGGCCGTTACTTAAGAACCAGAACGAGCGATCATCACCGGAGGATTTCTGTTGAAGCCGTGCTGACAGGCTGAAACTGAGGCTTTACAAGAGCCAGCTGAGCTCTTGATGATGCGAGATTCTTGCGGTAAAAGAAATCGGCTCAGTTATCAGTACAGACCAAAGCAGCCGGAGGGCCCAGCCACCTCGTTATACCCCACTTCTCATGACCAGATAGGACACAGCGAGGCACAGCTGCTCTACATCACCCCAGTGTGCCCTCCCCTTACCACACACACAGGGCTGGATAGGAACAGAGGAGGATATTTACGGTCGATAGTGACTCCGGTCTCTGGCTTGTGATCATTGGTGGACACCTGCCAGATGTCGAAGGCCTCTGTGGGCGAGTCAGGCAGGAGGCGGAACATCAGGATGATGGTGTAGGCGTGGGGAAGACCGTCAGGGTGGATATCTCTGTGCATGAGACAGAAAGAGACGACATGTTAGATTCAATGGAAATAAGTTTGGTGTTTACCTGAGAGCAGGTTTCAGTACAACCTCAGGATCATAGAGGGTCCACAGTCAGGTTCAGAGCTCCCTGAGGGATTACATCAGATAGAAATGCAAAAAGAAGTGGGATGCACCAAGACCAGTTTCAGGTCCGATACTGTGCTCATGTATGTCACATAACGTCTTGTTAGCTGAGCAGGTCGGCGGAGGAGTAGCAGTGTCAGAAAGTGAGGAACATCTAAAGTCATTTGCAGAACTGTAATGATAGTATTAAGTACGCATATCAGTACTCGATATTGGCAAGTACCCAAATATAAGTACTTGTACTTGCAGCGTTCCCATATTTATTAAGAAATCAGTTCAGAGTTTTCTTGACATTACAGGACCGTACTCCCTCACAAACAGTCATATCATTTACCGGTAGGTCTAGTGCAGACACATTTAACCCCAGTCTCATTCCTCCTTCATGAAGTATCTCACCACAGCCGCTGCATCTCCAGTGGATTGATTTCAGTTTTCCTCCTAACTGTAAAATCGCTGACTCAACGCCAAAAAGATCGCAACAAGTCCGTTCCACTCCCCGTCTGGTAAATCTGCTTCGACGCATCACAGCGTGCAGCTCATCCTACCAACAGCCCAGTTTCAAACAATGACTGGAGAACTAGTTTATAATTGTATCTATAGAGACCAAAGGTGTTTTGTGTACCAGGCTGTAAACATGTGGGCCTTATGGAGATTGACTCACTGCTGGAGCCAGCCTCTAGTGGACGTTAGTGGAACTGCAGTTCAATAGCAGCTGGAAAACATTTAACCAATGAGCAGAGTGACCGTTGTTGATTTTAGTGATGCATTTTGGTTCGAACTAATGTGGAAAAACACAAGTTTAACATCTCATCTGCTGATTCAGACCCAAAGAAATCAACCATAGGTCTGAAAACATCCTTAGAGGGTCCATGTTGGGCTAAAGGAGGTAGAACACTGAACTTCAACACTTAAATTAGTGATGTTGTACTCTAAATTAAGCACTACTTCAAACCGAACTAGCCTCTTTCACTTTTACTTGACTTTTCATCGTTTGCTTGTACATGTGAAAAGGATTTCAGTAATTTTTCCACCACTGGCTCATTTCTTATATCAGAGGATGTTTCTCATTTGTCTGTCTGATGTCACTACACATTTTGGAAAGTCAAACTTGGTAAACAGTCAGAACTCAAGCTGTTTTCCACCACTTTGGTGTTGCATGTGATATTCTGGATACGGGACGTCTGTGTTGGGCGTTGGGCCAGTATTAACAGTCTCGTTTGCGGTGGGGTTTGCACTCAGTGGCCTGACAGAGGCTTGTTGTGTAAAACAGCTTCAGAGAGGATTCAGAGAGGTCCCCGCATGACCTCGCAGAGCGTCGTAAATCCTCTGACCCAGTTTGTAAAGAGAGTGAGCGCAAACAGTCTGGACACAGCTGGGCAGGACGCTCCACGCTAGTGACAGGAACCAGTTGGAAGTGTTCGAAACATAAACAATGACCACAAGTCTGCAGGGGGAGAATTTCAGCCTCCTGCTGACGCTGCAGAGTTTTGAGGTTCAGGTCTATGAACTTTCTTGGAGGACGTCAACAACAAAATATGTTTGGTGTTTAAAGTGGTTTAAGTTGTGAGAACATTGTTGCTAGGTGACTCAATAATGGATTTTGCACAGTTTTCCTCTAAAATATATATATGTGATTTTTTTTGTACATTTCAGTATCATAACACCAGAAAATGGAAGACAATAAAAGCAATTAAGAAAATCTGAGTTGGATGAACACCCAACTTGAAGTATCCTCTACTAGCTATAACTGAAGCCAGAAGGCAGAGCCAAAGAACAACAGTTTCTCTGCTCAGTAATGTAGACCCATTGACAGTATATAATAAGTGCAGCTCCACTGGTTGCAAAAAAGAAGCCCAAAAGCATTGAGTATTATGGAGAAATGAGCAGACTTCTCAGTTGATTTGAAGCTCAGTAAACAGTTTCCTGATGTGTTTGTGTTCTCAGTCTCTAGTTTCAGTCTTCTTCCATACAGCATGATGTTCATTTAGTAACTGATGGTCCCATTTAGAGTAAAATAGACCATAAAGCAGGGTATGCTTTAGGGCGGGGCTACCTTGTGACTGACAGCTCATTCTCAGTGAGTCCGTCCAGCTCAACGCACCAAACTCAGATCAAACTGTCAAACAGTGCTGATCAGATCAGATATGGATCCAGATTCTGTTACTGCGTTGGTTATTTCTCTCCTCAAATCTGTTCACAAACACATTTTTTCTGTTCATCTGGAATATGAAAAGGTTTGTGTTTCCTGCTCCACAAACCAATGGTTGACGTCACAATAGGTTCACACAGTGTGTTTGTTAGCTCGTTAGCTGACAGTCATTTTCAAGCTAGCCACTGTTCCACTAGCATTGAACAGACATATTTTTCATAAAGGGTTTCTAAAATGCTGTAACATCAGATTTAGGTTTTCCATCTTCTGTACTGGGAACACAATTTAAACATCTCACCATTATAAACCTTGCGAGGCAGCTGGACTTGCGAGATCATAAAGTGATAAGATCACGTGAGAATCTATCTAGCCGGGCTTCAATCTGTGTGCTTTGGGTCTTATTCCAGCAACCAGACCAATCAGAGTCGAACTACTGGCAGCTATGGTCTTATTTCAGCCTCCAGGGCAGCTTTTCCTCCAAGACCTCTTTAAGTCAACCTCAAACTGACACCTGTGTGAATGTAAAGCAGGTTGGTGCTGGCACTGTTCTGCTCAACCAATCGACAGACTAAACAGGACAAAATCAGAGTTATAGGACGACGTGAGACTCACGTTGAGGGCTGAGTCAGGAAGGCGTTTTTGTGCAGTCTGTATGCTGTGTAGCTGTTGAAGGAGCCCGGCTCCATTGAGACGCCTTTAACGTAACCGTAGGTTTTTTCTGTCAGGTTGAATCCCTCCAGCATCCTGAAGCCTGAAACACAACAGATGAGAAGTTTTGGAAATCTGACTGAAAATTTGAAAGCGTTTAAAGCGTTTCTCCTATGTTAATATCTTCCTGCGTCATTGCTTTCACGTACCAGGTGAAGTGAATCCATTCAGGAAAATCAAGGGACACGCTGTGGAACAGGAAAGAATAATTAATTAATAATTAATTAATTATAGAACACAAATTCACAACAGTTTCCTGGATATTTTGTTACAATTTGTCGATTTGTCGTGCAAACGTACATGATGTTGCGGTTTCACAAATGAAGGTAATCAGGTTTTCTTTGATGGTGTCAAAAGCGTCAAAGTCGTCCACAACGAAGACGTGCCTCTCGCTGGGTTTGCTGCCGATCTGCTGCAACTCAACGAAATCCACGTCGGCAACACCGATGGCAAAAACACTGTAACCTGAGGACGGGGGCAGAGATACAGTCATAGACAGTTAACAGAAGAGTTTACTGGTACGATTTCTGTCTGCAGAAGCACCGAATTCTCTCTAGGGCTGCAAGATTATTTTCATTATTGATTCATCTGCCAATCATTGAATCAATTAGTTTTTCGGCCAATAAAATGACAAGAAATGTTGACCACAACCCAAAGATATTCCTTTTACTTTCACAGAGGCTCAAAGAAACCAGAAAATATTCACATTTGAGAAGCTAAAATCAGAGAATTTGGACAAAAATAACTCAAAACGATGAATTGATAAACAAAATAACTGGCAACTAGTTGACTAATCGACTGATTGCTGCATCTCTAATTTGTCAAGTTATTATATTCAGACTGGCTTTCTGGTGGATTATTTTGCACACTCAGTCTTACCTGCGTTCTGCAGCTTGGCAGCGTTCTTCTTCACTTCGTCCTGCGAGCGTCCGTCAGTGATTGCTACGATCACCCTGGGGACATTTCTCCTCATTCCATTTTCGAGAGAAAAGGCCTTCTCATAGGTGTGTTTGAGCGCCACACCTGCTCAACAGAGGAAAACCGTGTCAGAAAAACAACTTTCTGTCTGTCTGTCTGTCTGTCTGTCTGTGTCACTGCGCTGTGAGATCAAACCTGTCTTGGTATTTCCTCCTCTGTAGCGGATTTGAGGAAGTGAACCCATGGCAGAGGATTTGTTGTGATAGGCGTTCAGCCTGAACTCTGTCTTTGCTTCGTCACTGTACTGCACAAAAGACACCTGTAGGGAAACATCAGGGACATTAGCAAGAAACCAGGCCAGGTCCGGTTCGATATAAAACTCCAAATCACAGGAGGGTTGACCACCAGTACAGGATGTGACAACCTTGCCTTGGACATTTTAAAAAGGAAAAAAGTAAACTAAAGTAAACTGAAGTCAACTCAACAATAAAACAATGGAGAAAAATTAGTACTCCACATACAGAAATATTTTAGAATACAACCAAAAACTGCAAAGAAACAGAACAATTTTGTATTACACAAGAAAAATTATGTAAATGTTCATACTATTTTATGTATGAAAATATAAAATATTGGACAATAACATTAGCATAGATCAATATATACTGATATGAGAGTTTCATTAATCCAATCCAATATAGAGCTCACTCTCTCTGGAACACTTTAAAATAAAATATAATTGATTCTACTTTAAGACTACTACTTTTTTTTCTTTAGTTGTCAATTGTTCCCATCTTTTGTTTCTTTTACCTGCTTGTTAGTTTTGTTTTTCAGTTTTGTTTTGCTTATTAGTTTGTCGGATGTTTATAATTACACTGGATTTAATCTTTTTATCCGTACTGGAAGGACTTTTAATGAGCCCCATGCCTTCCTCCCTCCACTAAGCGTTATTACTGTAGGTTTTCTACAATGTTTTAATTGTGCAAATAAAAACTATTGCAGCGTGACATCAGTCACTGTCTTGCTGTTGGTTTTTGATACAAACCTGCATTCCCGAGGGTCCGATTTTGTCGAAAGCGCCGATCATGCCAGAGACAAACTGCACAACTTTGGTGAAGCTCTCCTCGCCGATGCTCCAGGAGCCATCGATGAGGAACACCACATCTGCTTTGGCGCCTTTGCAAACTGAGGCGAGAAAACAAATCAATATGGAGCTTTTTAAAAAGTCCACCGGCCAGACCTCAGGGCAGCATCGCAAACACCAGCAGAGAAAATGGCATCATCACACGGCATCATTATTGTTTGCGAGCTGCGGCGCATTAAAAGACTCAGCTGAGAGCATGCAACAAAACAAAACGATTGAGAAAAAATGACGAGATGGGGCCACGTATAGTAATTATGGGTTTCACCGATAAAAAAAATACTGGCAAAACATAACAAGCAACATTTGGTCACCAGAAGGGTAGAAAGTGAGCTCTCGTTAATGGGTTCCTCTCAGACGAAAATGAATTGGGCAAAAAAGCTTTGAATAATCTTTGCCTCATGTGATGCAGCACACTGTTGTAATCTCTATCCTCTCCTCCCAGTCAGAGATTCATAAACAAGTTTTACACAACAGCAAATGGCACAAACAGATTCTTTGGACTGCTCTGTCTTCCTTTTTCAACACCTAAGTTGTTGGTTCTTAACGGGCGCGTTCCACCTCACGCGCCCCGCGGGGGCCAGCAGCACATGTGGCGGCTATTAATCCACTGCTGGCACAAGTCAGATCCAGAAGGAATTGGCGTTCAAACCATCGCCTCAGCCAGAACGCTGCACTGAGGAGTTTCCAATCGAAGCTGAGCTTGAATGAAAAGACTCCATCCATTCAGGGCTGGGATGAGCGGAGAGTTTTGGGGCTTTTAGGGTAGCGACAGTGTTTATGGACACTGATGTGGTCCTGGGAAAATGTTTTAACGTGTTCAGTTCTCTTCTACGCTTCCTTAAGCTTCCACTGATACTCAGAAAACAACAAACTTTGCTAAATTTGCATTGATACTTGGGGTGGGGCTCCATTCATTTATTTCAACAGAAATTGCTCAGTGCTGAATGAAGTCAATAAAGCTTGACACATCTTCCACATATGCTTCAGCATCATTTGGCCCATAGAGAAAGTGCACTACAGTCTTTTGCCGGCCAAGCCACTACCTTCCGGTTTGGCCTTCCTTGAACTTGAACTTGAATAGAGATAAAATGATTCGATCGTGCATCTTTCCAAAAGTTATCGGACCAAATGGATCAAATTCTGATAGTGAAACGAGTAATTCTGCTCAAAAAAATGTAGCTACTGTTTTACAGCCGCTTCTTTCACAATGTAACCTCTTTGCTCTTCCTGGGGTCAGCCTACAATAGAACAGTAACCTTACTAAATAAGTTAAGAAAAAAACATAATAAGAGAGAAAATCAATTATATTCTGATCTGTGTGCTGTAGCAATAAAGAAAAACAACCAAAATCTACTCTGAGTTGGACTTTCAGCACTGACCTGCCCATCCTGGGGGGATGGTGGATGGAATGATCGGCGTTGGTGGGAGCGTTGGAGCTGGAGTTGGCTTCAGCACTGTGAGAAAGAAAAACAGTATTTGTAATAAATACAGTAAACAACAGTAAACATGTCATCGGATGAAGTCATTGTTTTGGAACCATCCTGTGAGGTGACGTTACTCTGAATCATGCTTCATATTTCACCCACGTTCCGATTGGAAGACGGAGCTTGTTATCGTGTTTTCTCTTGTAAATCGGAGGTGTCGGGCTCTGGAGGGATTTTATCCCTGTTTTCACATCAGCGATGTGGAGGCTGCTGAACATAAACACCTTACTGCAGTCTGACAGCATCGAAAAACTTAATTTATTTTGAATAATATCTCAAAAATGTCCAGTTTAATTAGAAAAACCTGAGCCAGCAACAATGTTATTTGTCAGATTCATCTGTAAGTACACAGCGCTACATCATCGACATATAAAACATGGATGTTGCCAAAATATCTTGGATATGGCCATCCATAAGCCTGGCTCAGCTGTCAATCATTACGTGAAACTCCCTTTTTATTTCTTCAAATAACTACTTAAAACCAAACTAAATAAAAATGAACACTTAAACAAACATCAGGTTGATAAGAACGACCTAAAATGACAGAAACCATAGATAAAGAGGGTTTGGCTTCACTTTCGAAGAGCTGTCATGTTGTCCATCTTTATATATGTCGATTAAACAGACATTTTCATATATTTCCATTGTTGTTTCTGCTGCATTTGAACAGCACATACGGTGCATCTCATTTAATATTAATCTGATGTGGCGAATAAGTGTAATAACAGAACACACTGCACCAGCAAATTTGTAAAATGTAAGTTTTGACCTGTGTGTAAATCATAAATAATGCCCTCAGTGGGGTAAATCAGGTCAAATGTTTACTCAGATCATAACTAATCCTATAATTCACCTACGGACATTTCTTTAAGGCAGAGTTCACCTGAATTTACCGTTACAATTTTCCAGTAGGATCCAGTCCAGAAACATTCAATCTCCATAATTTATAACTCCACTGACTCCCATAACTCTGACTTGGTGTGCCAATACCTGACAACCAAGTGTACCATTTCCTTGAAATGGTCCACTCTTCTTCTATGTGTGCAGCTTATTGCAATGTAAGGTTCAGAGTAAATTATACAGATATACAAATGCCCCAGTTGGTAAAAATGTACCCAGACAGCAGTAGCGTCAAATATTTTCGCACCCTCACAGCTCCATTTGGAGTCCCACCACTTATGACACCCATTGTGTTCTGGTCTTTACAACTCTCTTATCTAGACCAGTGTTTTTTGTTTCTGGGAGCCCTTTTTCTATCATTTAGTAAACTAATTGACATATTTTATGGATATTTTATATTATATATCATATAATTATATTATACTCAGTAACTGCAATAAGTTTGTGTAAACCAAGTGATTTGGATGAATTTTAAGTAGATTATTTCCTGTTTAGGAAACTATTTAAACAATTCTCTGTCTGTTTTATAACAATCATACTGACTTAATGGCCTTCTTTATTTTAACAAATTTGCAGTTTTCTTCTCCCCGACGCTTGGTCATTGTTCTATTAGACAATTTACTTTAGATTTCTTCACAGAAGTGAACCAAATGTCAGGCCTGCTGTGTGTATTTTTAAAGTTTTCTTACACGCCTTAAAATCAAGAAGGCCTTGCCACCCTCCATGAAGTCTTGGTGACCCCTAGATAATGTCACGGTTTACTGTCCACAACACTGGTGTAAAATCAATAAAAAAGCTTAAATGTTCCAGTAATTTTCTTTCGGTCTTTGAGAAATACTTACGTGTTTTCTCATTGACGCTGACTCCCGGTCCCTCCAGATTTGGGGTCTGAACGAAGACGGTGGCGGTGTACAGAGCGTCGGGAGAAAGTCCGTCAAAGCAGTACTGCGGCAGACCAGCGGGGATGGTGATCTCATGTTGGCCTTTACTGGAGGCTGCAGAGAAAACATGGAGAAAAATCTGTTGTTTAAACACTGATTCATGCTCAAACACTTTAATTAAGTCTTCCATATACTTCATGTAACGGTATATTCTGATGAAACGGCTGCTTTAGTAGCAAATTAAATGACTAAACTACTAGCTTGCCAGTAGCGCAGTACGGATCACTTATTGTTCATTTAAACATTTTCATGGGACTCATCAATCGGAGGAGGGAAGTGATGTCCTGATGGCTGGAATTTCCTAGTTTCATCATTGTAAATCACACCCAGTGGGTTTTATATCATTTTTTAGCTCTGAATCATCATGAAAGATTAATATAAGTGCTGAAAACTAAGATATTTATTCATAATATGAATCTCAAGGGGTATAATTACCACTGACTCAAAGATTACTTCCCCAGGGGTTAACATTTCTGGCTTTCAAACCTAACAACTGGGCCTGCTGGCTAAAAATGTTGGAGATTTCAGCTTCACAAACAACGAAAAATCTATTTTCTAGCTTTTTTACAGCATTTTGCTGTTTCTGTGTTCCAACTGTATATAAGTTTGGATTTATTGATACTCAGTTTCACATATTAATTTCACATATTAAATATTTTTAGAGTGACTTTTAAAATCTCTGACAACTTATCAACTCTTCTGCATTTCTGTGTTACACTGAAGTTTCCTTTTCAATGAAGAAGAGATCTTGTGGTTTTAGTGTCTTCAGTTGATCGGTCAGAACTTAGCTAGCCAATTTACATCAATTTAGTCATCAATTAAGTTTTGCTAACATTAGCTAACTTAAGATGTGACTGTATATATCTGTTGTGTGAAATATAAAAAATATTTCACAATTGCTTGTATTTTGTCTGATTTGTTGTAAAGCACTTCTCCGACTCTTGTTTTAAAGTTTAAATGACTTTGCTTTTGTCTTTTCTCTCAGTTTCGAACCCCCATCAAGCAGGAAAACAGTATTTTGAGCCTTTGGGTCTTTTGTTGCTGCACTTTGTTTTGTTGCTAACGGAGGAAAATAAAAGGTTACTTAATGCTTCTGAAATTCTACAAAAGCTCTCATCCATGTCAACGTCTGTGTGATGAACCGACCGCGACAGCTGACCCTTCCACTGACATGTTTACGTCTCTTCATGGCCGGGCAGTGATATATTGTTAATAAGGTTTCCTATTTACACTGCGCGTTCTAGTAAGCACAAACAAGCAAAAAGCATGTTTATTGCAGAGACGCTGCTCTTCAGTGTCCTGACAGAACAACTGTTAAGTTGGAGGGATTTCATCTCACGCTGTCAAATGAAAGAACCCAGCAGCTCCGGTGATGCAGTCCTTTCAGAACAGGCTCCGTAATATCAACAAATTATGATCGAAGTCACTTAATATAAATTGTTCTGGGAACACACACACGCCTCTACTCCAAAACAGTGGCGCTCATTTATCAAAATAGAAGATACACAGAGATCTGTACGGAGAGCATTGTTGACAAAATATAATCCCTGAGAAATTTCAGATGGGTATTAGATAATTCTGAGTCTTAAAAACTTGGCAGCCTCATGTCCAACTTCTCACCCCGGCTTTTAAAAAACAGAGGAAATATCAGCGGTATGGAAGCCCATTCCACCAATGTGACGTAAAAAAAAAGCGGTTCTGTACAGAAACCTTCTCCCTCATTATAATGACTTACAGAATCTTTTCTCCATCACATTGGCAGAACTGGGCTTCCATACAGCGGAGAAGACTCAGCGGCCTCCCTCAACATTCCCCGCTCGCAGTTTTTCCACTTACTCATCTCACCACCGTCTCCGACCGCTGTTTGCGTTTCCATTTGAGAACAAACAGTTGACTGATTTGTTGACTTGAGAGCAGTGTCTGCTGCCTTTCACCGGGTCGGAGGATTTCTGATCCTCTGCTAGTGGTTAACCCAGCATCTGTCTCACGCTAGCAGACCCATATTTGTTCTGGCAGCACGTTGCAGCGGCCCGAATTGCTAATGACTACCATATAGATACTCAAATATGGATGCTCCCTTTCTGGATTTTCCTGCTCTTCAACCACTAACCCGTGTCCGTGTGCGAATACGAACCAGATGGGATTCAAAGACCCTGTAGTAATTGAAAAGGATGTAATCTTTGCAGAGGGAGACACAATTAAAGCTTGGTGGTCGGACGCTTTCAATCCCGTGCCAAAGCTTGCATCCTGCTCCGAGTAATAATCACAATGAGGAGAACTAAAGATAAACAGTCTCTGGGAGCGGGGGGGGGGATAAAGTCTAGACGCGATCCCAACAGCCTGCTAAACGCCATGAAGGGTCCGCCTGAAATCGGCAGAGGATCTGTAGCATCAGAGATGAGCTCATCTGCCTTCAAAACATCTGCTGGGAGTCTTGTTGCACACACTGCTGCATGCTTCACCTCAAACAAGTCACCTCTGATCAAGATCTGACTGTTAGAGGCGGACCATGCCACCATCATCAGGTGCACCTGAATCTAATGCATCTGCAGAAGTATCAACAGAGACAGCTGACGAAATGATTCACAAGATATTTGGTTTATTCTGCTGAAAGGGAGTTGATTTCTGACATTTAAACCTTATTAATAGAGATTCTGCAACCGTTCTCTGATGTTAAACCACTGTGGTTCAGGGTTGTTTGGGTTTGTTCTGTATCTGAAATGATTTTGTGTTGTGTCTGTTTGAGTTTTCTCACCTGTAATCTAAAATGACTCAATTATAGCAACAATTCTGCTGATTTATTAATCATTTAGGGTTGTAAATGAAGTAAAAATGTCAAGCATTTATTGGTTCCTGCTTCTCAAAAGTGAGAAACAGTCAAATAAAATATATTCACAGTAAAAAAAAGCAGCATCTTTTGGACTGTTATCTCTGTTCATTGCACATATCCTTTATACTTTATAGTGTATAGCTCTTTTCATTTTGAAATCTTTTCATATTTTGTATATATGTTTCCTCACTTTCTTACTTTCTCAGTGTTATACACCAATACTCTACGGCAAAATCTTTGTACGTGAAGATTTAACGAGACTTGTTACTGAAACTTATAGAACCTGTTAATTGATATTCATATCATATGGAAATAAATGGGAACCAATGGCTGCCTGAAACTGCACAGAACTGGTCAGAAAAGACAGCGTATAAATCGGTATACAGTGACAGTGGAGCAGGCTTACGGTCCACTGGGTTCAGCTTGATGCGGTACGATGTGGCCGCCCTGTGAGGAGACCATTTGATGCAGAACTTGTCGTGGTCCACGTTGTAGGTCTTAATGTTGGTCACGTTCAGGTAGACTGCAGAGGACAGGAAGTCACATTTCAACATTAAACAGACCAAAGACATAGTTTGAGGATTCGTACAACCTGTGAAATACAGAACGGTGCATCTGTTCAAAGGTTGTCTTGTATGGTTTTTGTTAAAGACTTATGTTGCCCTGCTTGTGTCAACTTTACATAACATAAGCATTTTTAACAACTTTAAATAATAAATAATCACAATCCATAAAATCCTTACATTCTCTAAAAACACCTGAATAAAACCTCCTGTCATCCTTTGGTTTGTGTCCAAGCAGATCGTTTTAGAGGTTTAGATATCTCCACTGATGATGCTTCCATTTACCACTCCAGTACAGTGAATAACCTTTTTCACAGCAGCCATTTTGACATAAAACAGTAGGGTAAACACAGGCATTGTTCCATTCAGGTCAAACAGAGTCAGGGTGCTGCTATTGTGTATGTTGGTTCACTGGAAAGGCTCTGCTGCACTAAATTGTATTTTTCATAGGTAACACCTGTGTTTACCCTACTATTTCATGTCAGAATGGCTGCTGTGAAAAAGGTTGGATATCCAGAGGAACTGGGACATTTGAGTTTTTTCAAATCTGCATTTTCAATGAATTACAATCATATTTTAAAACACAATAAACAGAAGCTGTTTGTATGTAATTTATGACAAGTCCAAGACAGATCTCAAGTCTCGAGTCCTGTAGGGCAAATTCAAGTCACGTAACAACTCTTTTTAAGAAAGTATGGCTCTTAATGTAGACCACAGACTATAAACAGTGTTTTTAGAAAGTTGAGACCAACTGATTCACCAGTTTAAAACCAAGCGTCAACTAAATAAATCCAACATGAAAGTAACACCACTTGCAGTTCCTCTAACGGCCACTAGAGGCTGGCTCCAGCAGTGAGGCAATCTCCATAAGGCCCCAAACTAAAACTTTACAGCAGAAATGAACATGTTCAGCCTGGTACAAAAAGAACCATGAAATTCCCTTTAACTTATTTGGGCAGCAGGAACATCAGCGGTGGAGATCTCAAAAGCATAACTGGAGCATGAATATCTATCTGCAAATCTGGACGCCACCAGGCGTACATGAGAAAATTAAATTTTGGAACAACCAACTGTTTACGTGACAGCAGGACTCCTGCGTTTGTTTCTGTACATACGTGTGGTTCCCTGTCCGGGGAGCGGGTCGCTCTGGCCACCGCTGTACTGAGCCACCACTTCAAGATCGTAGGTGGTTCCAGGCTGCAGGTTGTGCAGAGTGTAAGAGGTCACGTCACCCACAAAGAAATCTATGGGCTGGGCTGTGGTTGAGCCTGGAGATAAAACAAGAGTGAAAAAAGCAGAAGTGAATCATGGGTAATCACTGCAGCTATTGTGTAACTAAACAAAACTCTCTCACATCTCACAGTCAGAAAACAAAGAGTGTCTGCAGAGAGAGGCCAAGTTCAACATCGAAGCATTCAAGTGCAAATTCTTCAAAATATGAGTGACAAAATAATCACAACTCAAGAGCCACTTACTCACTTTTTCCTGAGTATCACTCTGAAATTTGCAGCGGTGGAAGAAGTACTTTAATTCAACGTAGTAATACCACAGTGTAGAAATACTTCTGAATATACTCAATATACAAAAAGTAAAGTATGCATAATAAAATGTATTATATTAATGAATAATAATCAGTGATGCATTAATGTGTTCATCACTTTAATGTTGGAGCTTGTTTTTTTACTTTATATACATGTAAATTTCACATCAGGGGAAGTTTTATATTATCTTAACCTATAATAATACATAATGATTTAATTATTGATTATATTTTGTATTATTCATCTGAATCTGCAAAGGAACTAAAGTTATTAAATCAATGTAGACGTTTATAATGGAAATACTCAAGTAAAGTAAAAGTACCTCCAAATTCACTCAACAGTAGTTAGTTACTTTGCAGCACGACACAGAAGCGAGAAGAGCTCACTTCAACAGATCCAGATGTAAATCAGTAGTTCCCAACCTTTGTCCTCAAGGGAACCGTATCTATTATTTATTAAACTGACTCAGTGACATATTTTATGGATATTTCATATTATATTAAAACTGTACAATGAACCTAAACAGTGAACTCAGTAATTGCAGGAAGTTTGTGTAAAACAAATGATTTGGATGGATTTTGAGCAGATTTTCCTGTAGGGAACTTTTTATACAATTCTCTGTCTTGATTATGTATTTTTATCATCATACAGACTTAATAGGCTTCAATCTGCTCATCAACATACAGAAACTGTGAGGTCATGTTGATGTCTCACCTGCAGGAGAGTAGATCAGTCTGTATCCCTGGACAGGAGCTGCAACAGGTTCCCAGGCCACCCTGAATCTGGTGTACCACTCGTCCGAGACACGGAGGTTCCTGGGACTCAACAGGCCGACTGCGACAGAAAGGAGACACAACAACAATCAGCCCCACAAACAGCACCCATACAGTCGTCATTGGACCAGACCAATTTTGCAAAGTGGGTCAAAAAAGTGACATTTTCTCAGCTTTGGACGCTATCATGGAGAACCCCTCCCATCCTCTATACGAGGACACGTTTAGCCAGAGACTCGTACCTCATTGGCCTTGGAGCCTGCAGCCATCAGGCTCCACAACCAGGGCCTGAACCCCACATCGGAACTGTAAGACCTGCATTAATATATATATATATATACACAATACACAATATAATCCCTACCTAAAAAGAAAGTTTATTAATGTTGTTAGCTCACTTACAAACCTACGGTGCTCTTTTTACTCTGATAAGCTGTTGAGTTCTGGCTCCGTGTTAAACACACTGTCAACCAGGAGAGATGCAATGCAGCAACTTAACCAACATTTCTCAACAGCACAGAGTGCAGAGCTTCTCCTGTTGCTGCTAATAAACCTGAACAGGCGTCAGTCTGTTTCTGCCTCACCTGTACGTCCGTTTCCATTGAGGGACCCTCCGGGGCCCTCAGCGTAGATGGCCTCTATGGTGATGTTGTATGGAGTGTCAGGGATCAGATTCTGCAGCATGGCGTTGTTTCTGTTCCCTGGAACCACAGTCTGAGGACCACAACAGCAAACAGTCAGAGGCTTTCAGACAGTGTTTGTACATTTACAGGTTATCCAGAGCAACAGGGAGCTTGTTTCCAGAAAGACGCCCTCTGGTCTGTTTGGGTGTGCCTTGTTTGCTTCTGCAGGTTCATGTAATTGGCAGGCAGGGCCATTCATTTAGGTTAACTGGGAGCAACCGGGGCCAGTGCTTATTACGAATGCGCTGTAGACATGTCCAAAGAATGCTCCTAAAACCTGACAAATAATATCAGCATATCCTATATTTCCTATTGGGAAAATGCTTTTTGGTGTCAAATTTGGGGTTTTGAGATTTTAAATAGCAAAATACAGTTTTTCTGATGCAAAAGTGAAATCTTAAGGTTTGAAGGATTTACCCCCTAGAAATTGGTTTCCATTCCTTCAGCAGCGTAATCTCTGATAACAGGAAGGAATCCTTTTGTGTCCTGAGGCAGTAAATCGTATTTCAGTTGGCTTATGGAAGCTTGTACAAACTCTCTCCATTAGCCACAGATGCTAAATTGTGCTATTTGCGTGCATTTATAAATGTTTTTCCCGTCAGTCCCAGTCTGCAGAAATCCTCTCATCGCCATCCCTTCGCTGCAGTTAGCTGACTCACACAGAACAGGTGCTATGCTAACAAGCGGAGGGAGAGCACAGCTGGGCCGTCTCCGCCCTCCACCGCTGGTCCAACTCGTTATTTAGGACTATTAATAACGTTAATATAGCCCAAATTATAGTGTTTGTTTAACAGAGCCTGTAATTAGTCCAACTAATCGGTGATTTATAACCTGAGCGAGCCAAGGGAATCCTGAGATGTGACTTCACCGCATAGTTTACCTTGGACATCACGGGGAATGGCGAACAGCGAGAGTTCATCAAAAGCGTTTATCCAAAGCGTTTATCCAAAACAAGAAGACGTCATTACCTGAAATTAATCTCTCATTATTGCTAAACGCAAAGGGACGAGTGGTGGACAGTTTTTCTTTGTCGCCAGTTTTTTCCCCAAAAAAACATAATTTTTAAGATTGGTTCGAATGAGCCTTGATGTACTCACAAACTCGGTGATGGGGTCTCCGGTCATGGGAGCGTAGCCGATCCTGTACTGCCTCACTGGACCCTCTGCGTGGTCCCAGCCAATGGTGAGGGTGCTGGTGGTGGCATCAAACACACGCATGTTCCTGGGACCAGCACGAGGCACTGCGGCGGAAACACATCAGATTAACAAAACCATCCAGTCCATCCAGCTCAACGCACCAAACTCAGATCGAACTGTCAAACTAGGCAGTGCTTATCAAATATGGATCCAGATTCTGTTACTGTGTTGACTATTTCTCTCCTCAAATCTGTTCACCAACAATTTTATATTAACAGTCAAGAAGGAAACAGAAAAAGAAGTTATCATACTGGCTTTAATGTTGAAGTACCTAATAACCCTTCTTACTGTTTTACAGTTTTGGAGACTTCTCTGATCCTGCTTGTTCACTGTACCAAATGTAATTCATAGTTCTGTAGTACCACTAAATCATTAAGTGCCACTCATGATTTATCTAGACACCGATGACCCTGCTTGTTGAGATGATCTTGCAGTGCAGCGAGATATGACTCAGTGTAGATGTAAACAATTGTCAGCATGAGTCAGTCATTTGATTGTACACATTGTATGTATACAGTGTCAGCATGTAAGATTGGTATTCTACTTACGTGTTTTGCCATTGCTCTTGACCGGCGATGCCTCACCGTCGGCGTACAGAGCCGAGACGGTGACTGAATAGGGAGTATCTGGGATCAGGTTGTCCAGGAAGGCATTGTTAGAATTTCCTGGAACCAGGACCTTTTTGGAGAAGAAACCCAAGGGTCAAAAAATATATGAAGATCATCAACATCATCACAACAGCCACAGCGGGGAGACTCTGGCTATTCAAATGAGCGTCTTCATGCATTACATAAAGATCTGGCAGTGATAATGTACATAATGACCTCACTGCTCATCCCACATCCAGTTATCTCCCCGAGCATTCTGCTGCCAAAGTTTTCCTGAAACACTAACAAAGTCCTGGGAGGTTAGACGCAAAACAAATCATTCATTCAATAAGTGGACTGACGAATAAACAGTTTCTGCTAGGAAGCGGCTGGAGAGCACGGGGTCCGTCAGTGACTCAGAGCCGGTTCACACGTGTAGCTCGACGTGTTTTCTAACAAGGGCAAGTGCAGGCCGTCTCTTGTCACTGGGATTATCACGGCATCTATCCTCTGCCCGATTGTGGGCCATAAAAACCCAGGAAATTACATCATGGGAAATATATCTGCTGCTTGAACTCGAGTCAACCCTCATCGAGAGCTTTTGTTTTGGTTAAAGCAAATATCTCAAAGGGTTTTGGACCCAAAGCTTCTGGCACACGCGACCATGAAACAGGTTCCTCAGTGATGATGTTGCTGAGATCCCACAACTGGAAGCACATATACGCCTGCTGGCCTGGGGTCAAATCCCTCCAGTCAACTCAACAGTAAGGCTAATGGCTTGGCTGTTGGCCTTTTAAAACACAATGAATTACGTTAGACTGGAGGTGTAGTCATACAGTCATTTCCTGAAGGCAGAGCTGCTCTCGAGGGCTGAGCTATAACGCTGGTTGAGATAAACCTCAATGAACGGAGCCAAAGAATCACAGTTTTTCCGGGTAATTAATGGGCTTTGTTGGGATTTTTATCTTAAAGAGTGGACTCGAATGATCCGTTGATACAGTTCTCTTGACTTTGTAAGTAAAAACTTTCCACAATACTTTAAGTTCAGCTAAGGCGTTTGTTCATTTTTAAAAAGCCAATGAAGAAAACATGTTCCCAACATCATAGTTCACAATCAAAACGGAATCAAAAAGTAGTTGTCCATAGGTACAGTATGCTTCTTCTGTAAAAGACTTAACATTGTGCATATTGTGTACTTGACTTCCCTGAAAATACAATTTAATTTGAAGGCAGCATTTTGAACCCCAGTAAAAAAAATAAAAAAATTAAAAGATGAGGATGCTTGTATTATAAAGCCTGGTGCTTAGCTGGTACCTAAATATGTTATCTAACAATGCTAAGGTGAGCTAGCTAGCCAAGCTCAATAGTTCCCAACCTTTTTTCTTAAGGGACTTCCTAATATTTTGGAACCTGACGACCCGACTGATGAATTTTGAGACCTTTTCAGTGTTAGACCTCACTAAAACAGCTCTAGGTTGGTTACGTTTAACTCAACCAATGACACCAACCTAGAATTTTCTCTTTCAGAGTTGGTCTTGGGAATTAAATTACTCTGTGATGGTTGACCAGTTTGGGCTTAATTATACTGAATTAGTCATCAAGAGTTGGTTAATCTTTGTTTGTCAGAACTTATTTTTGTTTTTCTATGTCTTTGCCAAACCAACTTCCTCTCAGACTAAAACAACAATTAAAGACAATTAAAATGAAATATAACAGAAGTGAAAATAGATAAATAAAATGGTGACTACAGCGGATAATAAACCACTCTGTGTGATAACAGGGGGGATAATACATTGTAAAGCACTATTAGCTTCACAACATCTTCAAAGCAGATCCTAATCATCAGAACAGCCAAATTAGATTATAGGCTTATGGCCCCAAAAACGTCAACCATAGCAGCTCTCAGTCAGTCACAGATGTGTTCAGTGTGCAATATTTCCAAACTTCAGTCACAGAGTTCAAACTCTTTCTGGGGAAATAAAGCCCCCTTCTTCTCTCCCTGCAATCCAGATATTTGCACTGGTGCATGAAATCAGTGCTAATGGAGAAATACAAAAAGCTGACAAGTCATGATTTCCATATTTTAAGAGCATCACCATAATGACTGCTGCTCAAACATCTGTGCAACATCAGCATGAACACTAAGTGAAACTAATAAGAACGGCCAAGAGGGACCACCTGTTGTTTCCATGAAATAGACCGACCCGGTGAAAGCTATGACCCTGTGTTGATTTCACTGTTTAATCAGATGTGGAGACAAGATGGATAAAACTGATTTAAACTCTCAGGCAACCAAAGTAGATGCAACATGGTGCTATTAGTTTAGAGTTCACACTCAATATACAGCTGTACAGTGTAACCAAGTCAGCCAACCAAGTCAAGAGCCACAAGCCTCAAGTTAAATCCCAAGTCAGGGCCAAGAAGCCTCAACTGAAGAACCAAGTCAAGACCAATTAATGCCATGTCAAGAACAAATTCAAGAACAAAAGTCCTCAAGTCAGGACCAAAAAGCCTGAATTTAAGACCCACAAGTCTCACTAAAAAGTTATAAAAGACTAAAAAGTCAAGAATCAGTTCAACAGTTACTAGTCCGAAGTCAAGACCAATAAATCCCAAGTCTAGTCCCAAATCAAGAGCCAAGTCAAAACCAACAAGCCTCAACTCAAGAACCAAGCCAAGACCATAAAATCTTAAGTCAAGAACTAAAGTTTTCAAGTCAATACCTACACGTCTCATATCAGAACCAAAAAGTCTAAGTCAAGAGCCAGTTCAAGAGTTAGCAGTCACAAGTCAGGACCAACAAGTTTCAAGAACCAGGTCAAGACCAACAAGTGCCAAGTCAAATCTGCAGTTTGAAGTCAAGATCTTGAGTCATGCCAGCACCAAACATGTCCCATGTTAAGACCTATGAACACAAAGTCAAGTCCTAGGTCAAAAGACATGTCAAGTCCCAAACCTCAAACTTTGTGTTTCATGACCTAAACAAGTCATGTAACCTTCACCAAATCAAATACAGTTTTTACATCTAAACGTGATCATCTGTCTCATCAGTTGTCTGTGTGCTGGTCTGCACTGAACCTTTACCTCCTTCTCATAATTTATTCAAGTCTTAATTCATCAGATTCATAACTCGAGTCAGACTCAAGTTCGAGTCACATGATTTTTGTCTATACCTCCACTAAAATTCATCCAATTTAGCCAATTTGAAAACTTCTGTCTGTCTGTATTCGGTTAGTTGATCAACTAGTTAGTCAACTTTCGTGCTTCTCAACATGAGGATTACCTGCTTATCACTGGAAACTGAATATCTTTGGGTTTTAGACTATTATTCAGACAAAACAAGACATCTGAGGATTTCACCATTAGCTTTGGAACATAATTTTTTGGCATTTTAAAGACTAAATGAACAATTGATTAATGGGAAATGAAATAATCGTTAGTCACAGTCCTATCTTTTATAATATCTTCTTTATCTTAAAACAAGCAAGACAAAATGCTTGTGGGATGAGATAATTCCCCTTTTTTCCAATACAATTTCACTTATCTCCAACAAGAAATTATCTTTTGAATGAAAAAAAATCATCTGCTCTCACTTGCAGAACTGTTTAAAAGCAACCTTCCAGAGTTATTTACTTTTTGTCCTTACATTTGCAGCTGTAATCCCTCTCCCTTTTGAGTGGAGGGGAAACCACCTCTTCCTGCCCTTGAGGCCAATTCTGTCGTTAATGACAGTTTGTGTTTTAACAGCTTAGAAAGGGTTACTCACCGATTCAGTGGGTCTGACTCCGGACAGGGGGGAATAAGCCACCCGGTACTGCTGAACCTGGCCTGAGGCGGGATCCCAGCGCACGTTCAGGCTGTTGGGGGTGGGGTTGTACACCTGGATGTTCCTGGGGGGCGTGCGAGGGACTGCAGGGTCACAGAGGTTAAGAGAAAGTGAAGTGAGGGAGGTGGAATCGCTGACTTTCTTCACTTAGAAAATCAAAACAAAGGCCTGGTTTGAAGAAGGTCCCATTTCAGGATCCAGAATATGGCGGCTAATGCTGATGGATTCCCAAACACAAGTGATTACATTCCTGAAAATCTCAGTTAGTAAGTAAACATAAATGGAGCAAATGTCGAGCCAAGGATTAGAGCTTTTTTTTTTTAAATGTCATAACTAATTTGAAACCCAATTCTTCAGACAATTTATAAAAGCTTAGAACCTCAGTGAACTTTTTAGAGAATTTTAAAAAATGAATGAATAAATCTGTTGTGTTCTGTTGAAGCCTAGAATTAAAACAAGCTGATTTCTGTTGGAATAACTTCCCAAATATCTGGCTTTTATCAGCATTTAATGGAAGAATGAACTGTCTTTGCAGCAGTCAAACTCGAGGTTGAACTCAAATGCTGAGTGCAGCAAAAGTCGGCAGGAGTCATTTTATAGTGTCTATGTGGAGGACATGTAGAGAGAAGTAGCACAGTTTTGGGTTTACGCAAAAGCCTTTAACTTCCCTTTTAAACCAAACCAGATGTGCATATCCCCCTGGTATCTGGAGCTTTACCCAATAAAACAAAACTAGATGCATGCAGTAGGTAGACGCAGCCTCGTCCTCAATGAGGAAAAAACCTCCAGAGCAAAACCTTTCCCCTGAAGTTGTATAACCTCATTAAAAAAATAATCATTTAATACTTTTAAAATACAGAGGACACTTTGTCAGGATGTTTTACTTCTTTCATCCAAGGACAAAATTACCTTCTATTCTTCTGAGAGATTATGTAATCTTGATCTAATTTTGTGTTATTAATCGTTTTATAGCGCCTTTTTTTCACATTTTGGACTGAAACGTTGTTTTTGTCCAGACAAAATGTGACAGATTCCTCCCGGGACAGAAACAATAAAACTGAGTTACTGGTAATAAAAGATCATCAACGTCACACACAGACTCATATTCATTGATAGACAGACTTGCAGTGAGGACCAGTGTGTTGCTGCTGTGATGTAGAGGTCACTTAACCTGCCAACAGACAATAGCGGTTTGCTTCTCGTTGCAGGCGGTATGCGGGACACTGAAGATGTCCTCGCTCTCAATCTGTTCCACAATCTTTCAAACAACAGAGGTTACGTTGGTGATATTGTCTCAGATACTGGTTTTTGTTAGCTTGAGAACGCACCAGTTCCAAACCAAACTCTTCTCCAGTACACTGTGTTTTATTCACCAAATGTTTGACAAAGAAGCCAGACTCATCCTCTGACACCACCCGGATAAAGACCAGAAAACCTTTGCTGAATAGTACACAATGTGCTAGAGAAGAGTTGTGGTTTCATTTTGATTAAATATTTCATCTTTCGTTACCCTGAGCCCAAACTTTTTTCCAACAGTTATCTCTGCAGCAGCTAACCGGAACCTCAAGCCCGAACCCCGACCACGGACGGCAATGGTACATAGCAAAACTATTCAAAGGTGAAACAGACTTTGACACAAGATGGTTTTGAGTAATCCATGAGTTTGAAGGTGAACACTAGAATGGTTATGTATTTTCTTGTTGTTTGTTATCCTACTTCTACCACCTTAAAAATATGGCAAAGATCAGAGACCTGATGTAAAAACGTGATCTGGAGATCTCCAGCAGGATGGACTACTGCAGTGGTCACTACATTGGCTACCAAAATCAACCTCTGCTGCTTATATTTACTACAATTACTACTACAATACTTTCTAGCAGGTAGTAAAAAAGCAATAACCAGGAAATATAAGGAAGAAGAAGGAAATAAGGAGTCTACAAGAGTCCTTGAATGTTACGGAAAATCTGACTTTCCTTGAGACACGCCACCAAAAAATTCACCAAAAATTCAGTCAGATACTGACCCAGTACGAACCCTGCAGACCTCTCAGGTCGGCTGGTTCTGGATTACTTGCTGTTCTCAGAGTCAAAACTAAGCAGGAGAATCTGCCTTTAATTTCTGTGCTGCTCAAATGTGGAACAAAACTGCCAGATGAACTTGAAACAATGCTGACTACTTTCAGATCCAAGCTAAAGACACAACTGCCTTTTTACATTATTTTAAGATAACTTTAAAAGGCCCAACATGGCTGAGCCTCCAGCTATATCACAGAGCTGTTTACTGCCTAAACTCACAGTCGTATTCTGACATCCTCGAGCCTACCCTCTTTAGCTGTCCCCAGGTCAAGGGGTGAGGGTCAGGGCCCCTATAGGCTCTGGAACTCCCTGCCTGAGGAGTCAGCACATAACCTGCTTTTAAATCTTTGCTTAAAACAAATCTTTACAGGACAGCCTTCAGTGACGTCTTATTTTAATTATTATATGTTTTGTTTGGTTACTTATATTTTATCTTTGTTGATTTTTATGTCATTTAGTGTGTCAATCACTTGTTTAGATAGGTGTTATATAAATAAAATTATTATTAGTAGAAGTGTAGTGTAGGAGCTGTTTATCATGGTCTCTGTGCATGGTATCCACGCGTCACCAGGGCTTCAACATCATGTTGTCATTATACTGATTCTGTGTGTCTCTCCTGTCGATGGCTCTGTTTGTATCTGCATATTCCTTCCACGGCTTTTATTGTTGATTATATTTCTGATGCTTTTATTCTTTACGTCTGATCTTTCATCTATTTCCTGCCTGGGGGAAGGAGAGGAGGAAAATTAGCCTTTCTGGCTAACTGTGGCATGTTTTCATAAATGTTACTAATATGCAGTGTCCCAGTCATGTTATCCTACATTGGCCAGCAGAGGGTTAACAGATGAGGCCACTGTGGATTATAACTGCTTCAAGTTAAACGTATAGCAAAATATGTCTCCTGACTCTATAATATATAATGCTTAGAAATCAACCAATAAAAACACTTTGATCAGGACACAAGCTGTCCACAAATGTCCTCAGAACTGACTCAAAAAGTGCATCTCGTTACATGTGGATGACTCGACAGTGAAGCCTGCAAACTATCCTGACAGGAAATAAAATATCCCGGCTTCTGTTTACCCGCTGGACTCAACAGCTTCCCCATTAAAAACCCCAGGATGCATTTCTGCTGAGTGAGCATGGCATGAAACAAAAACCAACACACACAACAGGACGTCAAACCGCACGGACGCAGATCAACCAGCAACTCAATGGTTCCCAAAACAGAGAAAGTTTCTAAATCCAGACTCTCCGGTTACAGACGGCAGTTTAAGAATTATATCGGTTTTATTTTCTGCCATCAACATCTTCAGCTGCGCTTTTGTTCCATCTACTCATCCTGAGGGACGGTTTAGGGGTTTTGGCAAATTCCAGGATTTCCACTGAGGTCTAGGGCTCACCTGGGAGATACTGTTTGTCTATAAAGATGTTTCTGATGTCGAAAAAAAACAAGCTGAAAATGATGAATGACTGCAGATTTATCGTGGTTACATTAGAGCAGAGACATAAACATTTATCTCAGTGAAGGAATGACTGCGATGTTTCTCTGCAGTCCCACACTGCTGACCACTGGCAGGTGCTCAGTAAAACTGTGACCTTTAACCTTAACTTCACCGCTGGAGGAGAAAAGCCTTGTTCGGGGGAAGCTCAACAGAAGCCCGCTGTCATTATAAAACCCAATATGAGCTAAGACTGATATCAGAAATACAGATGTTAAAGATGTTAAAGCTGGATTTGTACCATTCCTAGCTCTGTATTGGCTCAAATATTCAGTATAAAGACATTTTCTGGATATGACATCTGAAAAAGTGGGTATTAAGTTATGTTCAACGACTGCACACTTACATATTTACAACAGCAGATGTTTTCTTCGAATGGAGTGAGTAAATAACTTTGGAACGACTTAAGTTTTATTGCCACAGAGAAAATAAATTCCTGATGAGTGAAAACGAAGCAAATGGAGGACCGAATTATCAGCCAAGAACCGGTGTCGCAGAATTTGACGTCGAGGAGCTCTGAGAAGACTGAGTTAAACAAACTTAAGAAATGCTTGTGGATTTATGTTCCGCTTTAATGGAAGTATTTCACGTTTACGAGAGAAAAGGCTTCAAAGACGATTTTATCCGCGGACTGAAAGGAGCTTAGAAAACTTTCCCCCACAGGATGAATCTGATTAAATGTTTTTGTATTTTCAAGAAGTTGTTTTCTAAGAACAGATGTTATAGAGCGAGCTCATTACTTTAAGAAACTCTTAGCCTTAATGTTGCTGGGAGTTTCTGCATGTCCGTTTAAATCAGCAGTGTCCGAACGTTTACCCTTGGAAAACTGAAACGTGTATTGTTAAATTGTTTAAGTTGATTTTGATTCCTTCTAAATTATTATTATTCCTAGTAAAATAAATACATAAATAAATAATAAATAAAATAAAATAAATTTAATCAAAACTTTCATTTGAAATTTGAGCTCATAAGATCAGACAGAGCAAGCAGAGTGGAGGACTTACGGGTCTTTCCATTGTCAGACTGGCGCAGACCTTCCCCCTCTGGGTAGACTGGAACCACGGTCACAGTGTAGGGAGTGTCCGACAGCAGGTTCCTCAGTACGGTGTTTGTGGTGCCGCCCGACACCTGCTCCTGTTCATACATGCACATACAACTGGAATTATCACACAAAAATGAAAGTTGGGCCTCAGCAGGAAACTACAGAAATCACAGGTTGTATTGTTTATTCGAAGCTGTCCGGATTCTACTTGTTCATTCAGTGACTCAGTAGAGTCAGTAGATAGAAAACTAAGTCACTTTAATTATGAATTACATTAATCTTGTTTTAAATGAAAGCTATCAGAGCTCTACACACCAAGCTTTTAATCAATTTTAAAGGTCACATGTAGACTGACCAGAAACATCAAACAGACTTACAGTAGAAAGATAACAACATGATTAAAATTAATTTTAAAAAAATTCATAAAAAAGTTTAAAAAGTAAGGTAAATTAAGCAAATCTAATGTAAACAAAATCACTACAATGGCCTTACCAACAGATACAGAGTAAACAAAATGTATTTCCCTGCATTAAAAAAGCTTTTTCTTTTCTTTTTTTTTTCTTTTTTTTCTTTTTTTCTTATAGTTTCCCAAATACAAATAAGTCTAAGAGTCTAAAGTAATGCTAGCAGCTCTGTGAGGCAGTACTGGGGACAGCGGGCTTTGAGTTAAATGCTAATGTCAACATGCTAACATGCTAACAATGAAGCAGCTAAAAACTAGCGACGGTTCTATGAGTTAGTATGCAGACACCTCCTGTCATGTATGATATTATAACCTGCATATTTAGTCGTATACACGCTCGTCTCGTTGGTGACGTGAAAAAGACAAAAAGAAGAAGAAAAAAAGAAGCCTGTGATGAAGCACTGGAAGTCAGCGTGATGTCTCACCATGTCCTCGGCGCCTCCGGCTGCAGGGACGTAGAAGATGCGATACTGGCGGACGTTGCCCTCCGCCGGCTCCCAGCGCACCTTGAGGGAGCTGGTTGTGGGATCGGTGACCTGCAGATTCTTCACTCCGCCCAGAGCCTCTGTCGAAAGATTTTAGAGCCATATTCATCAAATCAAAATGTAACAGTCCAAGAGCTGTCGCATATTGAGTGTCAGAATCTTGATTTTAAGCTTGTGCAGCTTCAAACAAACTAGGACAAGCATTGGCGAAGCTATTTGTGAGCCAGATGTGGTTCAAGCTGCTCTGCTTTGGCCGAACTCACTCGTCTTTCCGTTCTCTGACGTGCGTTTCCCCTCCACATCCGAGTAAATGGGCACCAGCGTCACTTTGTACTCGGTGTCTGGCCGCAGGTCTCTCAGCACCGTGTTGGTCGACATTCCAGATACCTGAGTCTGTAATGTACAAGATGACAGCTCAGCCATGGTGACAGGATGTTCTACACTTCATAAGTCCATGAGTGTCCTCACATGTGTCAATAAGTACTTTAAAATGTTAGATGTTACAAAGGTCTTGTTATTCCACCCTGTCTGACAGTAATGTTTATGTCTTGTTGCAACAATTTATTGAGCAAAAGCCCCACATTAAATCGACCCATGCTGATAGGTGGGTGATGCCCTGACACTGATATCTGATCTGATCACTGATAGTCTGTCTTAAAGATCTGATTTAAGAAACAAATCAAATTTTCCAGCTGTCTGAACAAAGCCTTAAGGTCTTGGAGTTGAATTTGCATGAACTTTTTCCTACTATGAACTGAACTACTGTTACTACTGATATTGACAGTGGATGAGAGACTGAGCCTCGTTGTTTGTGAGTTTTTCTAGGTCTATAGAACTGTCTTTAAGCATCTGGACAGTAACAGGAGAGCACTGGCATTGCAGAGCATTGGCACAGACTGGTGTATCAGTTAACTTCAGTTTTAATTAAAGCTAGGCTATAAAGTTCTGCCTTTAATTTAGCTATCAACAAAAACAGTCTTTGTCTGGTATCAAAGACAGGATTTGCCACCAATTGTCAGTAGTGCACAGAAGTCTTAGCCATGGTTAACATGAGTCGAGCACCTGGCCCTTTGACAAAAACTAAAATAAAATCATTATTAATATCTACGAAGAACACCAACCATGAGCTCTGTTCCTCCGGTGGCGGGGACGTAGATGATCTGGTACTGCCTGACGTCGCCATCGGCTGGCTCCCAGCGAACCCTCAGGGAGTTGATTGTGGGGTCGGTCACCTGGAGGTTCTTCACTCCGCCCAGAGGCTCTGAAAGAGATGGGACAGTCTGAAACAACTGCTGCACATGATCCCCCCGCTGTCCTGCTGGGAGCATCAGATGGGTGGGGTCCACCTCATCAGAACGGTCCAGATGTCTGTCAGGGAGGTTGTCAATCACAGAGGAGTGGCTTTCCTTTTCCTGCGAATGTCTAAACCTTCTGGTATTCTATGAGGCTAAAAAAACATCCCTATTAAGAAGACTTAAAAGAATTTCTCAAGAAACAAAAGCTGCAAATAATCCTTTGCATTTGTTTTATCCTGCAGGGTGCACCAGATGGGTGAGTTTACCACATCAGGAGCGTCCAGATGTATCAGAAGTTCCCTAAACTTTCTGGCATTCACTGTGTTCTTTTGTGAGCCGCAAATGTCCATACACAGAAGGTCTGTATTCCCACTCTTAGAGGATCATATTGGTGGTTTTCTTGCATGTTTCAGCCCATTAAATACAAGCTGAGTTCGCGTAAAATTACTGGCAGGTTTTCAGACTGACAGACTTCCTGTCTTCCAGGCAGCCACTGGTTTGAGTTCATGTCAGTACGCTGGCCTGAAAAAGGAGATTTTCTCAAAGGTATGTTATTGTAGTGTGGTAACGCTGTTTCGTGCATCTTGAATGCTGCAACAACAAAAAGATTGTATTAATATTCACCAGCTATTCTGCCAAAAGCTCCAAATGTTGGGCAACAGAGTGAGAGTGTTAAGATGGTTTAGGTCAATATCAGTGAGTAGCCTTACTTTATTGAGTACAGCCACCTCTGGTGAGCATGTCTCCCTACCCACAGAATACTACTGAGTATTTTTTCTGAGGGGTATACAATAAAAGCTGGGAAATAATTGCCTAGAATATAACTACTTTGATACCCCAAAACCCCTAGAAAGTTCTGTTTTGTCCCCTGTATTTCTAAAATCCTGCCTACAGCAATGCTGGGGAGCTACTCTCCGTGTAAACACAGCTAGCTTAATGCTAAAAAAAATAGCACTGAAAATGTCCTTGTTATCGGAAACACCAGAAGAACTGCGTACTGGGACCTTTTTTGGTTCAGACACTGGTCAATGTAATGCAATATAACATTTCCCACAGTTTTTTCCTAAACTCTCTAATAATGGTAGAAAATGGCCCGAAATGTACTTTCCTGTCATAGAGAACAGAAATAATCATGAGGAGATGTCGCTGGACTCGCAAGATCACAAAATCCTGTGAGAATCCATCTTGCCAGGCCTCAATCTATGCGTTTGTGTCCGGTACATTGGTACTGGACCAATCAGCGTCCTCTGAGGAAGTACTGGCATCTAAGGGGGTGGACGTGGCAAGAAGACACTGTTTGTTAAACAACAATGCTAAAGATGTTAGGGAGATGCTACTAGCCTCCGTTATATCAGAACTGGAGAGTATTTTTTTCATTGAAAGAAGAGCAAAGAACGGAAGTTAAGGCTTTTCTGGTTGGAAAAGATGTTTTTGTTCTTCTCCTGACTGGTTTCGGGAACGTGATATAGTTTGTTGATCTGACTGGTTGAAGTTTGATAGACGATGGTTCGTCCAATCACCTGCCGAGTATTTTTTGGAAGTGCCTGCCCTTTTACAAACAGTTTCCAACGACTTCCCACATAGTTCTTTGCGACAAACCATCTGGCGCAGTCAGGTTGCAAAAGGCAACGCCGCAACTATGTAGCTAAGATTAATGGCAACTCTGTTGTTTTGTTTTTGAATAATTTTCTACTCATCTCGTCTGTGCCTGTGAGGGAGTTGCAATAAAAAATAAAGTTTAAATGAAAACAAAATCCATCAGATAAATAAATAAATAAATCATGCAAACATCAATGGAATAAAAAGAATAATGGGGGTTTTATAGAAGTAATAAAACACTGGTTCTTTGGATGCTGGATAATCCTTGAATGTACCAACAGGGAGTTATCGAACCAGTCCAAATGTTTGGTCTTCTAACGTACACAGGTTTAAAGACCCGTGGGAAGAGACTTAAACTTCCAGGAACACCAGTGAACAATGAGAACACTTTAATTCCCTTAACTGCATCCACGTTTCCCTCACTTACAGCTTTTCCTTTCCGTATTTCCCGCTAACGACACAAGGAACACATAGAGGAACCGAGGAATTAAGTGTTTAATGAAATGAAATTTCTTAACCAATCCAATAAGAGAATCAGCATGTATCAACCTGATCACAAAAAATTCCATCAATACATCCGTATAGACATTTTGAACTAATGCCACCCCTCGTCTTTACAGTTCAGAGTGATCGTTCATTGCGTTTCAACCAGGAAAACATCACGTTAATGAAGGAAAGATGACATTTAATTGGGTCTTTAATGGCCTGGAACCAGTATGATCCTTTTAAAATTGTATTCTATAGAATAAGTGGCAGTAAGACGTCATAAATGTTGAACAAAGAGAGCCTGCAGGGTGCACCAGACAGGTGACGTATCTGCTACACTCCCCTCTGACACAAACAATCCAATAGCATTATTTGACTCTCTCTGAGAACAATGCACACATGCTTCCAGGACTGTGAGCTCTGTCTGAAGGACGGTGAGTCACTTACTTGTCTTTCCCTTCTCAGCCTGCCGTATGCCCTCCACGTCTGGGTAGATGGGAACAACGGCCACATTGTAGAGGGTGTTGGCGTCCAGGTTCCTCAGGATGGTGGTGGTGGTGCCTCCTGAAACCTCTTCCTGTTTGGTGAAATGTGAAAACCTCCGTCAGCACGATAAGGACTTAATCTGATAACGGTGAGAATGTCCACAGTGCCGAGGCGAACAGAGGTGGAGCTATTATTGAAACTGAGGCTGCTGGACTTCCTGAGTATGACCTTCAAACCAGTAAACAAATAATAGTGAAGATGACAGGAAACTAAAACACTTCCTACCATTCGTTCTTCTCCTCCTGGCTGAGCTGCGTAGAAGACCTTGTAGCTGCGGACGTTGCCCACTGCTGGATCCCAGCGGACCGTCAGAGTGCTGATGGTCGGGTCGATCACCTGCAAGTTCTTCACTCCGCCCAAAGGATCTGAGAGGGAGGAAGTTACAGACGCTCTCAGTCAGTGCTGAAAGGTCCTTTCATTTACAGACATTTTCATGATCGTCAACTTAATGCACAACAGTTTGTTCTACTTTCAGGGAGTCTGTTAAACATCAGGATCGTAGCGTCCTGCCTGTATAATGTCTTTAAAAACTATACAAAATGCTGTTTTTACACTTCCAAGATGAACTTCTCGTCGTCCATGGTGTCGAATCTCTTCTGACTGATCGATTTCTGGCCTGGTGCCACAATGATGATGTAGCGTGAAATTCGAGTCTGCATGTTTTCTTGCATGTTCCTCAAAGCAGGACTTGATGTCGTGAATCAATCAGCACACCTTAAATGACCTTTGGTTTTATTTGCTCTCTTACATGACATACACACATAGTGAAGATTGGATCTTCAAGATTTAAAAATAAAAGTCTATGAAATTCAACCAGATTATGCAAACTGCAAATATTCTCCTTCTTCACATTGAGAAAAAAGTGTTTGAGAGTCTTTTTCCTACATGCTCCTGCAGCACTTCATCAATACAGCTACTCTCCTGTGATGCTGCTATGACTCAGTTTTAATTGGTCACTGTGGTTCATCAATTGAATCTACAGTGTCCTAATTAGTGAGGACAGGATTTTATATTAAAGCACTTCTTTACTACTTTATGATTGAGGATTATTTGATAAACGTCTGTATTTTTTGATCAAATTTCTAGCTAATGAGCTGTTCTACGTCACTAACATTTATTGAAGAGAACAAATGGGTTCAATTTATGTTTTAGTCTCATTATTTTCAATGGTGTTTTAATATTTTATGATGCCCTATCAATCTATAAGTCACATGTCTTTGTGTCTTTATTAGGTCTTGGTGAGCTATAGATCGTTTTACTCTATTCTTTTTCCACATTGAGTGAAATGAGTTCTGGCTCAGCACTGTGGTCCAGGTCGCGTCATCCACTTCATCTGAACTCACTCGTTTTCCCGTTTTCGGACTGCGGTCTCCCCTCCATCTCGTGGTAGACGGGCACGACTGTGACGGTATACTCGGTGTTGGGCTCCAGGTTCTTCAGCACGGTGGTGGTGGTGGTTCCAGACACCTGGTCCTGGTGGAGGAGAAGGAAGAAACAACTTTGAACTGGGTGAACTGTCGGATTTGGAGCATTCTTAGAAAAGACATTATCAAGAAAAGAGAAGTTTGGCAGAAACAGAAAGACAATGTTTCAGTTTAGTGTGTTATGAGCCCAGTTTTCTTGGATGCAGATTTGCTCGGTAACTGCCTTCATGCAGCTCAGTAACAGGAACAGTAGAAGCTCAGAGATAAAGACGAATTTCAGCAGAAAGATTCCACTTAAAAAAGTCTGGGCCTTCGAGCAAAACCACCAAACTGGCAGCGAGGAGCGTATGCCTTCCTCTGCATGTACTCCTCCAGGCTTCTGCTGCACATATAAATTAGTTCTTTGTCCATTTAATCTAATAGTAAGTCCCAAAATCTGCCAATATGCTGAGATAACTTCAGCTGCTTCCAAACCAAATCATCTTATTTCACGACGTTTCATAAACCAAGTGACATAATGTTGCGGGTAATGAAACGGACCCCCTCGAGATATTGTCACTGCTTTATGTAAAACAGTTGAATCTGCCTCGGATATGAGTGAAACCATCCCGCATCACTGTCGAATGTTTTCCATTAGCTGTAAGTAAATGTAGATTTTAAAGACAACAACATAATCCAGCGGTTTTCATCTTCTGATAACTTGATATTGCACTTTTTCCAGGACAAGTAGAAAAAGTTCTTGCATGAAACTGCCTTGGAAACAAGTATATCATCTCACGCCACTGGCACTTCTCCACTGAGAAAGCTTCAATCTGAGGCCAAAACTAAGAGTGAGCTGTTTGCTCACACAGTGCGATACCTGCTCTTACTTAAAGATAATATTTGTGCTTTCTTTATGATGAAGTCTGCAAAAGAACATTTCTCACTTTAAGGCATTTAACTTCTTTACAAATTCATATTACAACTTCAACTCAACAGGAGGAGGAGTCCGACAGATGTATACAGATGTTCCTGCAATAAATAACAGTTTTATTCTTCGTATGTTGGGATCATCTTTCTGTGTCCAGCTGGTGTTGGATTGTTTTATATTTGGTTTATTTTATTATTTTATTAATTATTAATATTTACCAGTGTTGTTCTAGTTTAGTTCACACATTACTTCTTTTAAAAGAAATGATATTACTTTACTTATTACTACCTACTAACAGTAATTAGTTACACTACTAGTTATATTAATTTACTGACACACTCCACAAAATTTCTCCCCAAAATTCAGACTTACAACAATTAAAATCCAGTTTTGTTTGTTAAAATCAAAGTAATGGAGTATTTTCAGCTGCTGAACATTTGCATTATCCAAACTAGCTTCCTGCTTTGTGATGTGCACGATTACTAAATAAATCCAGGAATGTGACTGGATTGTTGGATTTCAAGTGAGTAAGGTGAAACCGTAATATCATTACTGAAATGTATTAGTAATTAGTTACACTACTACTGGGGAAAGTAATATTGTTACTAGTAATGAGTTACTGCCCAACACTGGTAAATACTGAGCATACATATAGTTTTTTCCTTTTACTAATTAATAGAGCATTCATCAGATTTTCAAGTGCAGGTGTAACAGAGAGTACTGAGGTGGTTTTATTGTTGGTTTTGGCTCCTGCCACCAAGGGGGTAAGTTGGCTAATGTTAGCTGCAAAAGCTAACGGCGTCTAACATTACTGTTGGCGACAGTTAGATTCTTTTAACAACAAGTCCATCTGTAAACACCACTGTCCTCAAACTGTCCTCTGTCTTTGAGGTTGTGTTCACTGGAAGGCTGCTGAGCTGCTGAGGTTGCACGCTAGCAACCGAACAATAGTCTATTCATAAAATATGATCCAGTTTCACCCAAATCACTGTAAAGTTGCACACGTCACATTTTGTTTAACCGGAAGAAAACAAATGATTAGGTTTCAATATAAAAATACAAAGAAACTGAGTTTTTGAACTTTTTCTGGCATACATTGTCAAATAGAGGGACAGTATGAGTAAATAAAGATTTAATATGTCCCTTCTGACTGCCACTGAACAATAATTCTGACTTTAAAGTAGCTAAAATGCCTCAAAGTGGTTTGAATTAAAACAAACATATCTCATTTCAGATTTCATCGTAGAAACCAAGATACTAATGGGGCATGGATGAAGTTCTCAGCTTCTGGTAAAACTCCAACATCTGGAACTGGCAAATCCTGACAGTTGCATACAACTGGCAGAGCTCTGCCTAATATTCTGCCATCAAGTGTTTCTATGTCTTCAGTAAGGACGATAATATCTGTAGCTGCAGTCTTACCACATCCTGGTCTCCTCCAGCAACGGGCACCCAGATCACGATGTATTCGCGTACAGTCCCCTCAGCGGGCTCCCAGCGGACGTTCAGGGTGCTGGTGGTGGGATCCGTAACCTGCAGGTTCCTCACAAAACCCAGCGGCTCTGAGCAGAGACACCAAACAGGAAGTCAAATTCAATACTTGGATCAGAGCGTCACACAGCTGCTGTCTAGTCAGAGGTTTCTGGCGTCCGGGGGCCAATTTGTTCAGATGTTGGACAGCAAGAAAACAGTTGTTTTCTGGTTTACTTTTCCTTCAGGTCCATTGATTCACACTCGGACACTCTGCTGTTATTGAGATTGATGCTATTGTGTAACAGCTGGAGAGCTAGATTCTGGTTCAGTCACTCAAAAAGCTCCCTGCGTTTGCGATCAACACCAAAAAACACAAGTAATTCTTCACTTTTATCAGTGAAATCTAACTTAAGCAGTGTTGTTTTGGAGAATAAATAATAAGAAAAACAACTGACATTTCTGAAATTAATGTTACTAAAAGACAAATTAGACTAATAACTCATCCATAAGAGACATTAGACGAGGAAACAAAAATAAGAAAGAAGTCAGACTTCTGAGGCCGATATTAATCCATAACCAGCTCTTCTGTTTTTCTTTACTACAGCAGCTCTTGTTCAGTACAACTCGGAGAGAAAATTATCTGTCTGCTTTTTAAGGTTCACTGAAGCACTCAAACTCAAATACAATCTTCCATCCGGTACTGTCACATGACCACAGATACTCACTTGTCTTCCCGGAGTCGGACAAGCTGGGTCCGTCTCCCTCAGCGTAGACCGGGACCACGGTGATGGTGTAGCGGGTGTCCGGCAGAAGCTTGTCCAGGACGGTTGTGGTGGTGCTCTCCGACACTTGCTCCTGCAAAGACACAGACGGTGAACTCAACACCCTGCGGAACGAGAGGCTAAATTCCTCCCGGCCCCTAGAGCCGTGGCCTTTGTCGCTCAGCAGCTGAAAAGACAAAGCTTCCCCTCGAGGATCAGCACAAGCATCAGGTTTATGGCAGGTTTACTGAACTGAACTTTTTGTGCCCAAGTTCCAAACATACAATATTACTACTACTACTGTTTTGCTGTTTTTTTTAGGGCAAAACAGTCTCTTAAAACAGTATTTAGATACTGACTTAGCAGTGCAATAACTTTATCTTCTATCTTTACTCAGATACTTCTGTTAAAATAGACTATAAAGGTAAAAAGTGTTGGTTTCTCTTAAGGATGTTTCAACCGGCTGTTGAAACTCTCTGGTCTGTTTCATCGTTTATGTTGTTTTCGTCCTGTTATGTCTGTCATGCACCGGTCTTGAAGTTGGGAATGTGTGCAATGATGCAAAATAAATAATTCAATAATTCCCCTCAAATGCATTAAAGCTAAAGTAACAAGCCGATGTTTCTATATACACTGTAGTATAATGCACATATTTTTACATATATATTATTTTTTATTCTTATAATTTCTCTTTGTTTAAATATTAATCTTTTCTTAAATGGGAGCAACTGTGGATCAATAGTATTTCTAATTGGTTGAAAATTAAAAAGAGAGAGACTGTTAACTTCCGCCTCAACAATTCATCATACAAATTAGTTGTTGTTTAGTTTTAAACTAAATCTTAATTTCATTCTACAACCTTACGTCGTGAATGAAAATAAAATAACTTCAAATCCTCTAACAAAATTGAATAATTACCTATAAACACGACTGTAAAATGTTAAAAAAAAAATAAACTAAAAACCAGAAAATAAAAGAAACCTTTTCAAGTGACTCAGTTGTTTCTGTTCTGTTTATTTTATGTCTTCGTGAGCCTTTTAACATGTTCTGAGATTTTAAAGGTTTAGTTACTCAAATTATTCCCGGATGTGCAGTTCAGGATTTAAAAATTGCTCCGTAAGATCCACTTTGACGTACTAATTGGGGGTAAAAGTTATGTCATCAGCGAAGACAAATGAACCGATTCTTCACAGACAAACACGAGCGGCCAAAACATCAGTGAGCTGAGCTGAGAGCTGTTATTTCACGGCTCTTTAGTGTCTGAAGCTCAGCGAGCGCTGACGGCAGGCATCTGATTAACAGGATTTACACATACGTACTCTCCAGAACCATAAAGCCCACAAACACGCCATGCAATGATAACAGATGCTCTCTCGCGAAAGGATTTAGGCACTATTGTGTGCCAAGTGCATGATGGGATTATCCTGTCAGAAAGTATGACATCACTAAGTCCCCGTTGAGGGCTTTGATCGTTTCGTTGCTATTGAAGAACGAAGACTGACAGCCTCTTTATTAACTTTTGCTCGAAGACGTGACGTTTGCACGCACCGTAGCAGTCCAACCAGGATCGCTTTAAAAAAGATACTTCGTCCAGAAGTCGCTTCTGGAAATTTGACCTGATTTCTTGTTAGCGAAAGATTGAAAAATCTCTCAATGTAGTAAAAACACCCAAGAAGGCTTGTCGCAAGGCAGCGGTGTTAACAACACAACGCCGTGTGCCAGAAACATTTGATACTTGAACATTTTCCAGATCAGATTGCAAAGTCAGCCAGAAACAAACAGCTGCAGCAAACAGCCCATCAGATCTGAAGACCACGGTCTGAACTGTTGTACAGAGTTATTCTATAGATAGGTCAGATTAAAGAACTAATCTCAATTTAAAGCCTCTAAAACTTGATTAAAAAAACAGAATCTGCATAAACATTCAGTCATTTAGTTAAACTAAACTTTAATTCAAGTAAACTTAACTTTACTTACATTAACTCTACATTACCTCTAACTTTAGTAACACCTGCTTCTGTCTGTCCATTTGCTTTTGTTTTTGTTTTTTGTTCTATCAGAATAAACTTATTAATGAGAAAACAATATTCTAAGTTGTATATATATGTTTCTGTACATCATTTATCATGATTTAGCTTCATCGTACAGGTACCAGCGAGGGGATCTTACCACAATCTCCAGTCCTCCATCTGTAGGACTGTAGATCACTTTGTAGCCCTGAACATTGCCGTCAGCAGGATTCCAGGTCACAGTGAGCGTGGTGATGGTCGGGTTGGTCACCCTCATGTTGCCCACTCCGCTCAACGGCACTGGCAGCGGGAAGATGATTGCCGTTAAACTTTCTTAACCTTGCTACAATCTAAATATACTTTAAATTCACTCATAACATAAAAATAATGAGTAACTTACATGTCTTTCCATTCTCTGACTGGCGTTTTCCCTCCCTGGCTGGGTACACCGGCACCACCGACACTGTGTACGGCGTGTCGGGCATCAAGTTCCTGAGGATGATGGAGGTGGTGGCTGCAGGAACTTGCTCCTGTTTACCAAGAAGAATAATAAAAAGACATTTAGGTGGTTGGTCTCCTAACTGGCTCTCAACCAGCGACCTCAGAGGTGAGACAGGCGTGGAGTCTCACCATCTCCTCCAGGCCGCCGGCAACGGGCACATAGAAGACCTTGTAGAGGCGAACGGCTCCGTCAGCCGGGTCCCAGTCAACAGTCAGAGAGGTCATGGTGGGGTCGGTCACCTTCAGGTTCTTCACTCCTCCCAGAGGCCCTGAACAGGAGGACAGGTTGATCATAATGTTTTAAGACCCAAGATTCTGAATAAATTAGTTAAATATTTTATCATTATATCAATTTTGTTTAATTTAATTAAAGTTCTTTTACAATATGTGACAGTGTGTGTGAGAATGTATGGTTTAGTGTTAAGTAGGTGTGTGAGAGAGAAATACAGCAGTGAAACAAGTCCATTTGATTGCTTTTTGGATTGTTTGTCTTTATGGTGAGATGTGTTCGGCATCCTGTTTAAAGTTTAGTGTAGCGTGTCAGCGTTTAGTCTTACTCGTCTTTCCATTCTCAGACATCGTCTTCCCGTCCCCTCCGGCGTAAACCGGCACCAGAGACACGGAGTAGAGGGTGTCGGGCTGAAGGCCTCGCAGTATGGTGTTGGTTGTGCCTGCGGACACTGTTTCCTGAGATTAACAACAAAATACACAAATTAGCTGCTTCCTAGCGCAGACAGAGGACAGACAGACAAGCATGCAAGTAGATATAAGTAGATGGCAGCATCGTCAGCTTTAAATGTGCGACTCGTTAACTCTCCAGTTTAAAGCAGGATGAGCATGTTAGCCAATAGCAACATGCACGACTCAATCAAAGTTTAAGCTTCCACAAGAAGAACAATAAACATGTCTCTGAGTTGAGGTGATCGCTTTAAAAGAGACGGCGTGTTCAGACACACAGGTGAATCATTTGTCTCCAGGTTTAACGCAGCAGCACAGTGCCAGCCGACAGGAAGCGGGTGGTTGTCCTACCAGTCCTACCATGCTCTCAGCTCCCCCGGCGGCGGGAACGTAGACGACTTTGTACTCCTTCACTCGGCCCTCGGCGGGCTCCCAGCGCACATTCAGGGTGGTCATGGTGGGGTTCAACACCAGGAGATTCCTCACGCCGCCCAGAGGCTCTGACGGAGCAGAAATACAGGTGATTAATTATCAGAACAGACTGTTTATGTGCTCCACTTACTGAAGCATCGGTACTTCACTGTAGAGTATATATATTTTGGGAGATTTTCTACTTTTCTTACAGCTGATATTAACTTAAGTAGATGTGAGAGTGGGAACTCTTACTGGTTTGTCCTTCGCCGGAGATGTCTTTGCTGGCGCCGGTGGGATACACAGCAGCCACGGTGACAGAATACTGGGTGTCTGGATCCAGCTTCTGCAGGATGATGCTGGTCTTCTTCCCTCCGACCTGCGTCTGTTCACAGGAAATATGTCAGCAGTGAGACAAAAAGCTTTCCTCTTCAGACTGACACTAAGTGTGAGTGACAAGTGGCTGATGCAAGAACAAGACGGTCACAGCAAACAGACGCGTCATTGTCAGTGGATAATAACAGCAGTGACACATGGGAAATAGTCTGAGTCCTCAAAGTCTGAGTGGGGTTATTCAGTTTGAGCAAAAAAAAGTTAAAGAGCAAATAAATATATTCATTTCTCAGGATTGGACAATTCAGAAATACTCAAGTTTAATTCAAGACCTTTTAAGACCTTTATGAATGCAATTTAAGACTTTTCTTCTTTCTTGCCCACAGTGGCACAAAAAAGTATGAATGATATAAAGGTCCCAGAATTACTGATTCATTCTGACTTCCAATGCAACTACTATTCTTTTATAAAAAAAAGTTCCTAATTTGAGCGTTTTCTTGCCAGTTGCTTCCAATTCTTCCATTTCTTTCTTCCAACAGGCTTTAATCTGGCACTAAACGTACTGTTGTGCTGGAGCCAGATCTTGATGATCGCACTTACCCATATTAGATAAAATCAACATTTACAGAAACAATTTCAACTTATTACTTTTGAAGAGTGTGCTCCAATAAATTCTGGCTTGGCTGCAAAGTTGCATTAGTGGTTATTGTTGTTGTTACGGCGCGAACAATACAAATTCTTCCTAATACAATACGTTTTTTAAAGACCTATAAAAAATGTTATTTAAAGGTTATATATACAAACATTAATATAGCAACAGACAGCTATCATCTATGTAGAGATATAGTGGAGGCCTGAGCAGAAAATGTAAATGTACCATAACACCAAAGCTATGAGCTAAAAGAGGCTAAAAGGCTCTGTGGAGCTGCTGAGTGTTGATTCACAGTGGGTTTAGCACTACGAGAGACCATTTAACCGTAACGTTTATTGTTAAAGGTTATATATAAGATTTAAAATACTGATATAGCAAACAACAATGGACACTCCCTCTTCCTGCTTTCGGTCTGCTCCGACTGAAGCTGCTGTTTTTATCATCTATGTCGGTGAATTAAGGATTTCCATCAAACCAGAGTTAGTGATCGTTGGAACATTGTACGGTCATGTTGCATAAATAATGGAAACTTAGTCGTTAGATAATACAAAAAATATGTAATAATCACATAGCAAAGGTGAAGTGAGCAGGAAAGATTGCTTAAAAGAAGCAACTTAATGTCTTTAAATCTGTAATCACTTATCTCTGCTGTCATCGATCAGTCTTCCAAATACTTAACTGAATCTCTAAAATGCACAAAAATCCGTAGTGTGTCATGTTTTTGGAGACTGATCCGCTGTTTCCTAGGGAATGTCAGCAAACTATTTACATTATTTAAACATGAGGACATTAAGTATTTCTCTGAAAGGGAATCCAAGTAGGCCTTTGGGAAATCCTGAAATGGATGGACCGTAAACAGATTCGTAGAGGGTATAAACAGTTTGACTGGTAGCTAAGAGATAAATGACAGAGGATATCGAATCACATTTACATCAGTATTTTGGGTATTTGGCTGATTTTTTCTCCTGCGAAACATTCAAATAGTCAGTGTCTTTTTCTCTAGTTGATACCAAACCTTTGTTTTTGGGATGAGCTGCCCATTTCACAACACTTTACTCATTACAGACGCGTGTTATAAAAATTACTATTTTTTTAACAATAAATTAAGGAATTTATATATAAATTAAATATTAAAACTTGGGCCAGAGTTTCATTCTTTTTTCTCCACATTTCAAAAAACCTTCAAAATTTTAAAATCTTTTTCTGCTCAACATGGAAAAGTGGATCGGCTTGCTTTGTGCAAATGTTGTTTTTATTGAAAAATCATCCATTGTCGCCTGGCTTTGACGAGGGGGCAGAGAATTCGCATCAGCTGTGTGCTTGGCCATCAAGTGGTATTTCAGACTGGACGTGCTGCGATGATAGCTCAGTTAACAACGACAGAACACACAGATCACTTTGGTCTTGTCAATGGAACCATTTGGCAACTTTTTAAAAGTAAACTTTCCATTCAGAATATTATTGGCATTCATTTCGGCGTCTCTCTCTCGCCATCCACTCAAAATGTAACGTCTACTACTCTTAAAGAAGTGTGTGCTGCATGCCTGTTGTTTTGTTTCTGGTCTAGCTAGATCCCGTGTGGTGTTGTAGTTCTTCTAAGGTTACTAGTTGTTGCAACAGCATGTGGAAAAAACTACAAAGTTAAACAAACGTTAATCTCACGATAAAAAAATTTACACCATTAAAATGGGTTTGCGTTAACGGCATTAATAACGCATTTAACTGACAGCACTAGTTGAAACAAAAACTCTATCTCTCTGTAGGGATCCTTTCCATACTTAACTGAAACTTTGTCATTAGATCATACAGAAATAATAATATATGTAATTGAGTAGCAAAGGTGGAATGAGCAAAAAGACCTAGATAAAATCTATAGAATTTACAAAATTGCTGAAAGAAGCCACTTAATGTTTCTAAATCTGTAATCACTTATCTCTGCAGTCAACAGACGAAGATACATTCATTGTTCGTTCTGGTCTTTTCGTTTTATTAATGGACAGTAAGAAAAACATAGATTATCACCAGACGTTAAAAGTATAATTAAGGTTCATCCTGCTGACTCTCACAGGGACTCTTTTAATCTCAGTGGGTGTCCACAGTTTGATATATTCCACCCTGAGTTACAGCAAGACCACCTCAGTCTACAGCTATCATTCTTCTCCACTGCAATATTCCACTGTATTTTATCAGCATCAGCGCAGAACAGGACCTAAAAAAAACAGTAGTTGTCCACATTTTTCCATTACAACTCCCAAAGTGGACATTTACTACTTTTCTACATTTGTCAGAGCAGTAAGGAAACCCTGAGCTCATCCTGCACAAACAAACATCCTGTCTGCGTTCATATGACTGATGTTAAAAACAACAAGCCTGCAGACGACAACACGACACCAGATGCTCTCAGTCCGCCGGTATACACGTCTGACGTTGCACGGGGATCAGAGATCCATTAGCTGGATCTGCAGCGCTGACATTATGATTCGACCCTGACACGTTGTTTGGGGGAACACTGTCATAACATCTCAGAGACACAATGAAATTTGTAACTCACTGAAATTCTTTTCATACATTTTCCTTTCAACTTATTTCCAGGGATAATCACTGAGGAGTCATCCGGCAGGAATGCGAGCTTGGCGGCCAAACGCAGGACTCTACACAGGACTCTGCAAAGATGCTGTCATAAACCGAACGTCAGAATATGATGATGGAGCTCAGAATGGACAGAAATTTGTCTCGTGGAGCGCCGGCGGCGTCTCGCTGAACACCTTCAAGACTCTCAAGAGAGACGGGATTTCAAAACAGAATCCAGCGCGATCTGTAAATGTTTTTGGAAATATCTGTTCCCTGACTTATTGAATTTTTGTTGTCAAACATCGCACATCTGTTTGACGATTACTTCAAATCGCAGTCCATCAGTTCAGATGTGCAAGTCCATTACTTCTCATTCTACAGTTTGAGGTTCTGCTGATTTACTTCATTCTACCTCAGTGCTGTTTATGGACCCCAGTATGCAAAAATGTTCAAATACACTAGGCGAATATCAGAAATAACAAAAACTATAAAGTGGTGGAAAGGGCAGACTTGTGGGTACCCATACACATAAACATTTTCATTCAGATATCCTGAGGTCAGAGGTCAAGGGATTCCTTTGAAAATGCCAGTTTTTCCATCAACTAAATTTAGTCAAACCTTTCAGTGTCATTTGGCCTCCTTCCCAACAAGCTAGCATGACATGCTTGGTGCCAATGGATGCGTTAGGTCCTCTAGTTTTATATAGGTTTAAAACAGACCCCGCTAGCATCCCTGATAGTGTATACACATTCACACATCGCACATCTGTTTGATAATGATTTCCTCTCATTCTACAGTACAGTTTTGAGGTTCTGCTGCTTTACTTCAGTGTTTCCATTTTGGTAAAGTTTTTGTTGTGTTGTTTTTTGTACTTTAATAAATGACAATTTTTTTGCAACTAACTTAAAAATTTCTCACTTCAAATTGTCCATTTTCTGAAAAATACATGAGAATGACAACCAGTGTCTGTCTTTCAATCTTTCTTTAAGCATCTATCCCGGCAGGGTTTTTTTCTGTATTGGACATCATGAAAGTATAACTCTAGAGGGAGAAAACTTCCTATCATATTAAACAGTTCATAATTGATTTGTTTCTATATGTGCACTGGGACTCGTATTGTAAACTCTTCTGACAGATTTAAAGCTCTCCATCATATTGAGATATTCATCAATTTGTCATCAAGTGGCTGAAGAACACTGGAGAGGTTCCCAGTGGTCAAAGAGCAGCACAGCCGGAACCACCGCACCCCGGTGAGATATCAGGAAAATCCACCCTAAGAAGGAATTCAATCACATTGTTCCTGATAATCCTGGAATAACAGATGATACCCAGTGTGTGTTCAGAGCCATGTGGTGACGGCAGAGAGGGATTTATTTTCTGGTAAACGTCAAATTTACAAAACAGTCCATGAACTGGAGCCAGTTTGGGTGTAAAAACTTAAGTAAACATTTTAGAAATCTTTTCAGTCACTCTATTGTTCAGTATCAGTGGAGCAGCTCCAGCTTTTGTCTCCTGATAGAATGAAGAGCCAAGATTGTATGTGTGTGTGTGTGTGTGTGTATTTAGCAAGGCAGTAATTTAAGTGACTTCTTCAGCTTTGCTCACATGTACAGAACATAAGGGATAATACCCGACAAGGTGTCCATTATTAGGAATTAACGGACAACATGGAGGACGGTTCTGGCCTTCCCGAAGGGCATTACGCTACACTACATGCTAAAAATCAATAATGTCATCCAGTTTTTATTTTTAATCTTAACATTGTAAATTGTGCAAACAAGACAAATCTATGGTATCTGGGAATGGAAGAGCCCTTTTTGTGATCTATGTATGCTGATGACAGCACTGTATTTTTATCTAAAAAATTTGGCTTGGTGTTGTTTTAAAACACTGACACTTCACATAACGGACAGAGCCTCCAAGTCTGAGAAGAGAAGCCAATGCGGAACTGTCTTAAACCTGCATTCTGTATAATGGCCACTCAGCAGCCAATGGGGAGCTCCATTGGCTGCAATAAAAGGCTGATACCATGCAGTCTTACTGAAAATGAGCCAACTTCTCACTTGATTTATGAGCTCAGTAAACAGTTTCCTAATGAGTTTATGGTCTCAAATTCTATTATGGTCCCATTTAGAGTAAAAGTCGAGTCAACTCGCTGCACGTCACCTCTGCTGGCTGCAAAAGACAACGACGACCATAATGCCAACCTTGAGGCTTCAAGCGGTACTCCACAAACCAATGGGTGAGGACTCAGGTTCCCCCTTGTTTTAAATTCTGTAAAATGAGCAGTGAACTTACTGTTAGAGCCTCGCCTCCAGCAACAGGCTTGTAAATGATCTTGTAGTTCTGGACAGGGCCGGGGGCGGGGTCCCACTTCACAGTCAGAGCGGAGGTGGTGGCATTGAAAACCCTCAGGTTTCGAGGAGGCTCGGGAGGCACTGGGAGCACACAGATAAACCCAGTGAGACGAACAGAAAAATCAGTGCGTCCTGTGTTTGATTTGCGATGATGATGATGGTGAGGACGATGATGGCAGTAATGGTGATGCTCCCACAATCCCGCAGGTCACAAAAAGCTGGAAGGGTCAATTTTAGGATGAAAGCAGCGGGGTGATAAGGTTCAAAACAGGAGCGGCCGTTTGGTCAATGAAGCTGTTCAGAGTGGGGCTGGAGTTTAGTAACTTCTCATTCAAAACAGTTAGTGGGATTTGTGGGCAACTGCTTACAGGATTGTAACAATTTTGGTGGTTGTGGGGGCACAATAGCTAATTTGAATATCAGAAATAAATTTAGGGTTTAGAAAATACATTTCTGGGGGATGAATAACACATTTTGAGAATATAACAGAAAATGTAGGGCTTATTACAAAATAAAATTAGGGAGAACTCAGTGATTCTAACAAATAAATAATTTAAGGGGACACTATAACATATTTTGTTGTTGTACCAAATAAATTGTGATAATCTCTGTCAAAATTTGGAATTATAACAAATAAAATTAGGAATCACTATAACACATTTCTAAGTCTAATACCGTTTTTTAAGTTTCTGAGTTGTGAATTAAATCTTTTTGTTGATTTAGTTGAATTAGAAGTCCACTGACCCCCAACCGCACAGCAGAAACAATAATGTACAATAATGCAACAACATGCGACAACATTAATTTGATGAACACTGATGAAGGATGACATGATGATAAAATGACGTTACGATGTGAGATGAATGAAACTTTGACAACAGAAATGTTATAATGATAAAATGGTGAAAAATGGTGAAAGGACAAAAAACAAAATGACTGACAGTGGAATTAAAATCATTCACATGGATGGAGCTCTGTGGAGGATGACATGTTACAGGTCAACTTGCACACTTTTTGCATTTAAAGCTCTGAATCTACGTTCACACCACAACCTACTAAATATAATTTATGCCACGTGATGTTATCATCAGAATCATAATATCCAGAATAATGTCGAAATAAGACAGAACATTAATCCAGAAATAAATGTTTTATAGTAGAGATAATAGAACAGGAGACAACCAAGTCCAGTCCTCTATCAAGTTCATTATTTTCTATATCAGGAATCAGTAAAAAAAATACATTAAAAAAATAAAGTAAAACAGAGAAATTGAAATTTGCCTTCTTTTGGCAAATTTTTAATTGGCTAAGTGACTTGCTTTTCTTCTTCTTCATAATCTTCTTCTGTCAGGTAATTTTAAGGGTTTGCAACTTAGGCTTGGCACTAATTCAAAATAGTGGATAAACTGCTCAGTAAAACTATATTTGACGTGTCAGGATGTACAAATTTAACCAACAGATTCAAGTGTTGTCTGTCATCATGGTATAAAATTCCTTATTCGGCTATAACAAAGTAGCTTAGCTTCTCTGACGATGAAAAGGAAAAAAGGCCACTGTGATTAATGAAAATCGAAAAAAAAATCCATCAGCTGACTCAAGTTGCTTGTGGTGTGAACGCACAGTGAAGCACTGAAATGCAAATACATGCAGTTAAAAAAAGAAAAAGTATGCTTCCATCAGCACTGTCCTTTATGGTCCATATAACCACTCAACACTGGATCAATGACATTACAATGAAAAGGAACCTGTCCTTCTCATATGACATACCCTCCGGAGCCTTTAACACTAGAAAGAGATGTTGAGAAAACAACAATGTTATTATTTTAATGTCAGTTACATCGGTGAGTGTAAAATGTGTTGGTTGTCTTTCGGGAGCTGGCGGGGACGATGTGGCTGCAACGGCTTGCTTACATGTACGCTCGTCTCCCAGCAGGTCCTCGCTCTCTGACTCGTCGGGGTAGATGGCCGTGACGGTGACAGAGTATTCGGTGTCGGGGTCCAAGTTCTGCAGAACGTGGGAGGTCTCATCGTTATTCAGGATGGCCTGGTGAGAGAGACAGAAAGAGGACAAGAATGTCAACGGCAAGGAAGATGTCTGTGTGGAGCCATCGCAGCTATGTGTAACTGAATTACCTTTGTTTGCCTGAATGGCTTTTTTAGTCATATTAACAAGTAACAAATCCCCAGCAATAATTAGAGAACAAGTACAGGCAGAATCGAAATCAGTTCTTTAGCCAAAGCTTATTATAATATAAATCAAGACACTTTGGAGTGCGTTATTGTGCCATTGTCTGTGTACACTCTGTGGAGTCTCCTCTCTTCCAAAGGTTTTAAAGATATAATTGAAGATGTGTTTAGAAGGCGCCAAAAGCAAGTTGATCATTAAACTACAGTTTACAGAGGTTACCTGTCAAACATTATGGGCAGTAAAATATGAAACAGCAAGCTTTAAACTTGTACTGTTTGTTGGAGAAGAGCCTTAGGCAACATTGCAAACCTTGAAATTCAGTTCTGATTTACTGCTCATATCTGATTTTTTCTTATTAAATGTGGTTCATATCAGATTCCAGTGTGAACAGGTCACAATCCTGAAGTGATGGCTTCTATACTTGCTGTTTTTATCTCCAGGGCCTTTTTCACAGCAGCAAATTTGACATGAAATAGTAGGGGAAACACAGTTGATACAAATTATACTACTAATTAAAGGTCTGTTCCATTTAGTGTAGCAGGGACTTTCCAGTGAGCCAATACGCACAACAGCGGCTCGCTGACTGAATGGAACAGACCTTTAACACCTGTGTTTACCCTACTATTTCATGTCAAAATGGCTGCTGTAAAAAAGGCCTATTAGGAGGCTTAATCAGCTAGACTGACTGACATAACTGAAATAAAGAGGGAGTATTTAAAAAAAATTTCATTCTGCTTTACATCTGGTTCTGCTACCAGCTGTCGAGTTTCAAACAAACTATGTATCCAGATTTCTACATTTTCCGATTTTCCAGGACGTGTTGGAACCCTGACAAACAGCATCCATACAATACATCTTCACTCATTCACTCCCTACACTACTGAGATTCCAGTTGATTGTTTTTGAATCATTTAGTTTTTGCTGTAACAAATGGGGGCTCGTCCAGTATTTTTTTTCTTCGTTTTTTGGCCTTTGTAATGTTCCTTATAAGTTAGTAGCGCATTTTTCCTGTACTGTTTTTTCTCACAGCCTCTGTAGGCGTCAGTCTAAGAACCACAATGTAGAAACTGTGACATCAATTTACTTCTACAGATTTCTCCTTAAAGTGTATTTAATTTAAACCCAACCCAAGACAGGAAGCATTTTGCAGTTTTTCCATGGTCTAACAACGTGAAATTCAGATATAAAGTGAGACTGTAATTAACAACAGGACATGGATTTCCTTCACAGATTTTTGTGCTGAAATGTATGTTGGGTGGGGAGGCAAAAGTGGGCCCAAAAACAACCTTGGAGGGCCAAAGTATAACAAGAAGAAAACAAAGAGAGCATTATTGTTGCTTCAGCTAAACTGGATGCTTTTACTTAAGTCTTGGCGGACACAATAACTAAGCTTTGTGAGCCATGTCAGTTTAAGGGATCTGTGAAACCACAGTGGATCATTCTTGTAATTTTCTTTTTTACCTAAGAAATAAGGAAAATCTTAAGTGACACTTCTACAGCATGACTGTTTATGTTTTAATTTAAACAAAACCATGTCCAGTTTCATAACCCTAACTTAATCGACACTCTTTGGAGAGCGGGTCCACATGTTAGAGAGACAGGACTCTTACAGGAAGGTGGACTGTTACAGGAAGGTGGACTGTTTAACTAGAATCAGGCAGGTGTACTTTAATGCTCTTAACCTGAACTCAGAGCTGCGCTGCTGAATTTGAGTTCAGGCTCCAGCTTTAATCAGAGGAAATAGAGTGAGGCTACAGGCGAAAACCTTCGCCATTGGTTGGATTCTGTATGGAGGAGGCCACTCAAACCAGATGTTTGGTGTCACTGCAGACAGGCGATGCAGTCCAAGCAAAGCTAATTTGCATATTTGAAGAGAAAGCACTTGACTGGGTTGTTTATCCAGCTGTTGAAGATGCTTTTTTGATAACAAATAGAAATGTAAAATGTACAAAACAAATCCAGATACAATCTGGATACAAGTCAACATGCCAGATGTCTTTGTCTAAGCCAGCAGTACGTGCCGATTTCCAACCTCTGAAATAAAACTTTTTGGAGACCACCTCAGCTTTTTCCCCTGAATTAGAAAACTCTTTAAGAGGATCCACCTGTGTATAAAGTTATTGTTATGCAGAAGTTATTTAATTAAACTTTCATCCACTGATTAGTTGACTAGTTAAAGGTGGGTTCAGCCACTATAATCCAATGAAGATAAAATATAACTTTTTTTATTTTTGGGTCTTTAACAAAACTCTCTTGGTCCTGATTTAGCCTTCAACGGGCTGCCATCAAATACAGACTAATAGAAAGCTGATTTAGGAAGCAATCCCATCTAACTTACAAACTGGAAGTTGGTGTCTCCCTTCTTGGTCCAGCCGATGCGGTAGAGGGCCACGTCCGGGGCTCCGTGCTCCCAGGTGGCTCTGAACGAGGTCTGGGTCACCTCAGAGAACTGCAGGTTCTTGGGGGCAGGAACAACATCTGTTCACACACAGTGAGAAACAAGAGGGAGGAAGGATGTGTTGGCAATTACAAGGAGGTCTGAGAGAAGAGGAAACATCATGTGAAGACAATTGTGTGAAGCTGACTGCACTTTGTAGGCTAACATGTGTGTGTCAATGTATTCTTCTTGTACTGCTACCTTTGGGAGGACCAGACTTCAGACCTTGTTAGTGAGGACATATTATTCAAATGGTTGTTTAAAGGTTTAAAGACTTTACTTAGGATGAAGGTTAAAATATCCTAATAATTTTGCCATTTTGTTTAGTTTTTACTAAGTTACTTAGTACAGAAGCTTTGGTACCTGTAGCTAGAAGCAGTTCACACAAGAATCCATCTGGCTAAGCTTCAAGCTACACACCTGTGTCTAGACCATAGTAGAAACTACTGGCAGCTACAGCATGAGCTACGGGCCTGATGCTAGCAGAAGCTTAGGGCCAGAAGTGAAGTATTTCTTCATTGAAAGAAGAACAAAGAACAGCACTGAAGGCTTTTCTCAAATAAAAGACGTTTTTGGTGTTTGCTCGACTGTTATGAAGTTATATGGTTTGCTGATTTGATTTGATTGGTTTACTAACAGTTTCCAAGGATGACTTCCCAGATGTTCAGGTGAGGAGCAGTTAACTTAATCGAAGCAATATCAGTTAAATGTTTGTTATTTCTATAATCTGACTTACAAAAACTCATCCCCGGTTACGCCCTCGTGAATGTAGCTGGGTTGCTATGTTGAAAGATGACAACCTCATTATTAATCCTGCCTACAAAGCTGTGATTGGCTGATTGTTTCTCCATCCAGGGAAAGATAAACATCAAACAAATGAATTGAAATATGGCCAATCATTCAGAGGTCTGGAAGCGGTACCATGCTATTGTTTCCATTATTCTAAAACCCCAACAATGTGAAAGAAGTCCCACTGGAACGAAAGCCTGTTTGTCTGACAGCCAATTATCCCAAAAACAAACGGCCACTGCTCCAAAAACAAACACTCTCTCCTGCAGTTGCAACAAGTCAATATCAAGTTTTGCCTTCCCGTGGTGCACAGTGGACCAGTGCTTCGAAAATACCAATCGTTCCTAAGTGCGAATGGTCGTTTGATTCCAGGATAACCTGCTGTCGGTTCAATGGGGTCCTCACAAGTATGGAAGCACAAATGTGTGTGTGTGTGTGTGTGTGTGTGTGTGTGTGTGTGTGTGTGTGTGTGTTTTTTTTAAGTGCTGAAGTTTTTCCACAGTTCACCTGGGATTAATGATAACCAGAGCCAGTACAGTAAATGATCACACACACACACACACACACACACACACCCCACACACACAGATTTAATGGTGCACAGAGAGTCCAGTCCCTCTGGAGGCTGTTTTAAGTCCAGGAGGGGAAGTGAAGTTAATACAGACCTCATCACCCCTACAGACATTGAACGCACCTCTAAAGTACATGTGCTGCTCAGGTACTGGAGAGGGGTTGTCAGATTGATGCAGTTTCATATAATTAAAGGGTAAATTCAGAGCATTTTCTCACTAATCCCTGGTGGTATCTAGCTATGTAGATTACTTTTCAGCACAATGGAATTCAAGTAAAAATACACTAACAATCCACTTACCTCACTGTCAACAGTGTTACTGAGATTTATTGTCTAATCAATGTATGTAAGTGTTTATGAGTCTACATCTAGATTTGGACATTATCCTTTGATCTATAGATGTGGATGGAGTGGTAGAAAATAAGATGCAGACACAAGTGAAACAAATATGTGTTGGCAAACCGGGATCAGAAACAGATGGACCTCCTTTAAACTGCGCTGGGGAGCCATTATTCAACGCCTAGTGGAGCTGCTGTGCTCCCGCTGAGCAACTCTGAGGTGTGAATGCGTAAGAGGACGTTGCTTAAATGAAAAAAGGTGAACAAAGACAAAAAATTAAATGCAGACCTGTGATTGCGGATCCTAGCATTGGGGTTCCAGGTCCTTCATCGTAGACCGGAGTGACGGCCACATCATACTCAGTCTGTGAGATGAGGCTGGACAGGTCCAGGGTGGTGATGTCACCATTGACTTCAACCTAAAAAATAAAAAAAATGAATGATCAGTAACTAAAAATCACTCACAGAACAATCCTCTAATCATTTGAAATGTACTTAATCTGCATAAAAACACACAGTGGCAGCCAGTGTCTGAAGAATACTGAGTCAGATTTATAAGAAAACAGTTTCTCCAGGAGGTCGCACTTACTTACAGGAAAATATATTTCTGTTTTGGACACCTTTGATGCAGCTTAACATTTGTCAAGAATTTAAAACTCTTATCTGAGCTTCTGAAACTGTACTTCATCCTGGATGACAGGATGTGGTGAACTTTGTTATAAGGGGGATATCAACCCTTTACAGTCCTAACATAAGCCTTTGTGTAATAATGTCTTTTCTATTGGTTAGCAACCATATTTGTAGCTAAAGTTATATAATTCAGAGAGTTTTTGTAGAGACTATTTTAAAGTTTTATATGAAATGAATATATTCACCAAGATAAGAAGCCATAAATAAACTGTATTGAATATCAGGGCAAAGATCTGATGTATTCAACTCCGAGATATGTCTCTGTCAACTTTTCCATTTCAGTGGGGAGATAAGAAAGAAGCAGTAGAAACAAAAAACTCAGCGGGCATTAATCCAATGTGTGGCCTTCTTCTTCTCCAGAGACAAGAGGCCTTCAGCTGTAATCCTTAAGAGGAGTTGAGCTGGTGGGTGTCATCCATCAGAACTTTCTGGAAATGTCTCGGAGGTGTCCACCGACGGCACCTTCGGCTGCCGACTCATCCCAGACTGTTTGTCCTCCGCTGACATCCAAGTGAGAAATTATGAGGACGGAGCAGTGCTGGGATCATCGAGTTAGGCTGGGCTGCCGGCCTGAGCCAGCGCCGCTCTGCCAGCAGACTGCTTTTCTCATAAAGATCAGCCAACAAAGGGGAGCTGCTGCTCTGCTCCGAGTCCGGCTGTAACTCTTGACTTGGTCCTCGCTTGGTCATTTTCCCAGAATAACGATATCGCCGCTGACTAAAACTTCACCCTTATGAAGCTCTCTGTGAGGTTTTATTGTTCGAAACCACCTCTGAATGACCTTACAAACAATACGGACATTTTCAAACAAGTCTCGCAGCCACTGTGAGGGAGTAACAACTGATACCTGCCAATAGAAAAGGTCATGGCTGTACATCACTGCCGTTCACATGAAACTTATTTCGACTATTTAGACTGAGCTGTCAGAGTTGGAGAGTGTTTAAACTGCACTACAAGGACAAAGGAGGGTGCTGCGAGGAGTTCACAGACTCCAAAACAAACACAATGTAAATATTTTCTTGCAAAAAAGAAAAGAAAAGAAAGAAAACGGATGTCCAATAAAAGCAAATGGAGTATATGATGCCAAAATGGAGCCTTTCTTTACGCCCCATTAGACTCTGATGTATTGAACGCTGTTTTGGTCAATTAGCTTTTTAATAGAGACGTTCTGATATTATTTCTTCCCTTCTGATTCCAATACATGTGTGTGTTAACAAGCCTATACTGCATATAAATCTGTATGATTGCTATCATTGTTGTATGACCTGGCTCAGGTTCAACCCTTTGTCAGAGTCAGAGAAGGGAGATAGAGCATTCATCACCCGACCTACGACAGCAGTTTTTGGCCCGAACTCGACAGGTAGGATCAGGTGCAGGAAGAAAATAAAAGCTGGACTTCGAATTCCTGGCAAACAAAACGGCGAACGGGACCCTGCAGGGAAGTAGCAGAGTGCTGATTCAGGGCCAATAAATTACGTGGTATCAGATCGGTGCACAGACACCCGTTACTGCATTTTCGGAGGCGGTATCGGAACAAATTTTTAATCTCTGATTGTTCAGTTTATATAATGTCATAAAATTGTGAAAAATATCAATCAGGTTAGAGCATCGAGTGTAATCTTTGCATTTCTGTCTAACAATAAAGTTCAAAACCCAACGATATTCAGTGTACAGTGATATATAAAGAGAGAAAAGCAGCAAAAGCTTGTATTTAAGAAGCTGGAACCAGAGAATATTTTGTGTTTTTGCTTAAAAAAAGACTTAAACCGACAAAGCAGGAGGAGAGCTGGGAAATTTTGCAGCTTAAATAGACCGCCAGATTGAAAGGGTGCACTCGGTTAGTGATTATGAAATAAGGCATGTCATGTGTGTATAGCAGCGCCGCTCAAGTTGACCTGCCTGAACTAGCTTGCAGGCTTCACTTCATTTAATCAATGAATTGACTAATCTACCCCTACTGCACTTTTAAAGCTAAATTGATGTAAAAATGTATAATTAATGACTAATATTTCATTTCTAACATCTGTAGTTTGTTCCTCACTCTTCCTCGATGGAAAAGGTACGGCTAAATAACCACTTTTTTAAACAAGGTAATCCTGCACTTGAGGTAACACTGAAAGACAAAACCTCAGTTTTACCTCTTTCAGGTCTCCCTCCTCCGGTTTGTAGGTGATTATGTACTTGCGGACGGCTCCGGGAGCGGCGTCCCAGTTGAGCCTCATGGTGCTGTGAGTAACATCAGTGATTCTCAGGACTCCAGCAGGAGGCATAGGCACTGAGGGAGGACAAGGAAAGGACATCCATCAAAAACACATCCTGACTTAAGTATAAAAACATTTATGAGCCCAGCATCACTATCAATACTTCTGTGAAGACGTTGAAAGATGCTGACGGATGTGATGGGGCCAAAACTTACCGAATAGCTGAAAAACAGACAGAGCAGCTTGGATATTCTGTTTTTCAGTGCATCTGTTTTCTATCTATAAGCTCTCAATCCAAAATTTAAACTCCAGCATGTGAGAGACGTGATCCAGCTCTTATAAAATAACTGCTGACATGAAAGTAAACCTCAGATAAATTCTGTAAAAGTTCTTACCTTTCCTAAAACCTTTTCTAATAAAAAAAAAGTTATATTTTAAAGGTTGTAAATTTCTTGGAAACTTAATACAGTGAACATGATACTTATTTTCAAATATTTCATTTTTTAAATGATGTTTTCAAATACCTTCTTAAACTTCTTGAAAATGACTTATTTCTTTATCAAAGTCATAAATATAATCATTATATGAGTGAGTACTTGGAAACACTCTTTGAATGAAGGCTAAACTTTACAGCCAATGTTGATTGTATAGAAAGCAACGTCTGTGTATGTTGAGTTCTCACAATGACAGATTATGTTGGGACGGGTTTATAAAAACTTAGCTGATGACGGATTGAGCTTTGATCGTACCGCCAACGTCGTTTTACATTCGACACAGAAGCTGCAGAGGTTGAAGAAGTATGTTGTTTCTTCTTGTTTCTTTCCACCATTTTCCTGTTGCTTTTTTTCATGGATGTAGTTAGCGAGCTAGGTAGGAAGATGGAGTACCCTCACAAAGCTGTTTGCTTTTATTTTAGTAATTTGAATTATTGAGAAAATTGTGGGTGGCACTCTATAGGCTAGACTGTTTAAAAAGTTTCTTACTGAGGCAGGTGTATATTGCAGCTAGAGCAGTTAGCACTCATATAAATGTTTGCATACATCACAAGTAACCAGTTTATTCCACACAGGACAGAGAAACTAAGCTATGGCCTTCATATACTTGTGTACTTTGGGTCTGGGGCTCTTTAGTTTCAACCCAACAAAACATCTATTTGAGATTTTCGAGCGACGCTTTCCACCACCAGCACCAAAACACCAAATAGGTAGGGAACATGTTTTGGAAGAATGGTGCTCATCCATCCTGTAGAGAATGACTGAAGCTGCTCTAGAGGCTTTGCAGGACATTTTTATTAGTTTTTCCTTTAATTTCTCCCTCATTCAGACAGCGAGGATTATGCTACAGAAGCGGTTTTATTGAGTTTCTGTGGGCATTTTTTTTCCACAATGAAAACTTGTCATCTGTGTTTCAAACTGAGCTTTAGTCTAACATTGCTTTCCCAGTAAATCTGTGGTTCTTTAAAGCTAAAACTAAACTGTAATGTATAGTATAGAATCAGTTTAACATCACATACGTGTGACTCCTTTCCCCTCCAGAGGGTCGCTGGCAGCTTCTCCATATAGGGCGTAAAGTATGATGGAGTACTGTGTGTTTGGTATCAGCTGCACCAGCTGGACGGTAGTCACATCTCCTCCAACACGCATCTGCAGAAAGATCCAGGGGGAGACCACAAGAGAAGAGAGAGAGGGGTGAGGGGGAGATAGAGGAGAAGAGGGGCCATTAAGAAAGTGTTGTGATGTCTTCAAGAGCTTTCACACAAACTCATAATAATGCTAAATATGTACACTGTAAGGAAAACATCTTCAATTTTGCAGGTTTTTTCTGTATTTTATAAATGGAAATAAGAGATCCTGTAAATTGACAATTGACACTGTATATAACAATATGATTATTAATGCCCCCTCAGCAGTTAAATCTGGTGGAAAGACCAAAACCAGATGAGTGGAGGCCAATGTTTTTTGGTGTCCACATACTTTTGGCCATGTACTTTACATTATTGTCCATTTTCCAAATCACATTAAAAACTATTAAATCATCTTAATCAGTATTTCATGTCAAATGATTAATGTTGATAAATAATCCAATGCTTCACTGATTCACAGTTCAGGCTCATATTTTCCACCTCGCTGTATATTAAATCATCCTTTACATTTTCCTCTGTTAGATAATTGCATACGAGGGTTAACAGCACAGAGGCGTTCAGTTCCACTCGTGCAGCATCTGTTCTGTTTATATCATCCTGATGACTTCACGCCATGAGCTAATCCTTCCCATTACCCAGCGTGTCTGCGGGCTCTGCTTTTTGTAGGCCTGGCCTGAGCCACGCTGCTAAAGTCCACTTCCCGTTCTGTGAAGCACTCCTCACATCGCCATCTGGAAGCAGTAAGGGGCGCGAGCAGAAGCCCGCTCTTATAAAATCAATGTGGAAATGCTGAGCACACAAATTAAGATGTGTGTGTGTGTGTGTGTGTTTATTATGTTTAATTGTTTTTTGTTTGCCTAAGTTTGCTTCGTGCATACTTAGCTGACGTCGGTTTGCCAGTAGCTAACTAAAATAACTACCTAAAACGATGAACATGTTAGCTGCGTGTCCTGTTAGCTGGTGCTGGGTTGCCAGTAGTTTAGCCCTGCTAATGTTTTGTTAGCTGAGCTACAAGGTTGTAAGTCTATGCCCTAAAGACATAGTTCAGGTATTTTAAAATGGGGTTGTATGAAAATATAAAAGTGTATTACCTACAGGAGACGGTGGTTGTCATACGTAAATATATTTTCAGTTTAAGTTTATTTTATATTTGAGAATATTTTCACTGGTTTACTTCGCTGTCAGACAGCCCTTTCTGACAGGAAACTGAAGTATTTATTTTGATCTATGCTCTCTTCAAAGACACCCAACTCCTTCGACAAAAACAGTAATTTTACATCGTAGAACACAGCCGCCTTCAAACTAACATTAGTTGCTGCGGTTTGAGGCAACTCCTGTGAAGTAAAATGACTGTTTTTGTTAAAGGAGTCTGGTGGCTTTGACAAGAAAGTTATAGACTGTTGGGAAGGGCTGTCTGACAGTAAGGCCTTTTGTCCCTGAAAGTTAGGTGAGTCTCCATAATGTGAGTGAGGGAACAGATGGAAGCCAAGCAGTTAGCAACTAGCAGTTAGCTTGTTCTTTTCTCTATAATTTGAACATGGGAAACATTACCCTTACCCTAACCTTAGCTAAGTGTCAACATAAGAACATAACGGTTTATGAGGGGGGAACCAGCATTTTGTCCCTTAGGTGAGTCCCCATTATGCAACTGAGTCCTCATAATGTGGGTTAGTGATCAAACGTAGGCCAAGCAGTTAGCAGAGCTACCACCTCCTCTGTTACCTTGGTGGTTACTTGATACAAAAGACCCTAGAATATCATAAAACTTAATCACTGGTGTCTAAGCAGATGTCTGTCAATGAACAACCTCTCGAGTTGCATTTGAAGGCTACTTTACCTCATTCTCCAGCTGGGGCTCGGTGGCGTTGATGGATTTGTATAGAAGCATGTAGCCTGTGGCACCGTCCGCCTCCTCCCATCTCACCCTCATCGTGGTTGAGGTCTCATCATAAACATTCATGTTTTTCACCGCTGACAGGGGCACTGAGAGGACAAAAACACACTTTCAGACAGCAGGAACATTTAGTTTGATATCTTAAATTCAGTTGATTAGCATTACACCAAGTAGGCTGGACAATCCTATGTATTTGCTGTTTTAGAAATGTTAATGTTTTGGTGTAATGTGAAGTATTTGAAGAAAAATAAGAGCCGCAATCTGAGATTCTTTGGACTGACTGAGAGGGTCAGCAATGATCTTTTTAGATATTTAATGTTTGTAGGAGGTTTTTTGGCACAGTAAAAGGATAATGATGCAAACAGGCAACTTCAAGGTCATATTTCAGAAAATCTCAGGAGGTCCCAAAGAGATCATAAAGTTCAGTGCTTTTGATGTGCAGAATATTTGGTATCACATGTCCCATAAGGGTTTCTGTGTTTTTTAAAGAATATTTTGAGAGGATTTGGGGTTTGTTGCCTTTATTGGGCAGCAGACACTACTGAAGTCAGTTTATTGCTCTCTGTAGTAAACCCCCAAATAAAGCTGGCAATACTCTTTACTTCTGTTCAACAAATCCCATGAAAAGACTCAAATCAACAATGAATTGATCCTTCTAACAAGTATTTTGTGTGTATCCAGACTGATATTTCTTATTCCTCTGTGCCATGAAGCTCAATTACTCCAAAAACTATTAAATAAGTAAGCCTAAATAAATCTAAATTAGTTAATTTCCACAGGTGAGTATGTGATTCATCTATAAAATATCAAATCAATACGCTACTAATGTACAAACAGTTTAGAAGAGATCCCAAACTCACCTGCTTCAATGTGCAACTGTTTTTTCCTTTATTCACATCAGAGTTTGATTAAATTGAATTAGTCTGTAACTCGACATCATTGTAAATGAGGGCAAACTCAATGATTCTTTGAGTTTAAATAAATGTTTAAATTAAATACTGTATATTAATAATACACTTAAAAACCAGTCGTGGTTTCTTGTTTGCATAAATGTGGTGAAAGAAAACGAGTGAATCTAAGTCTGGCTGCTGAAATAATTCACAGACTTTTATTGTGAAACAGGATGTACCATTTTAAGCCCCCAATAAACATTTGTTTTAACACATAAAATGTGTGATTTTCGAGTTTTAAGAGTGTGGTTTTGCACAATAAGTCCTATCTCCTGTTTGTTTTAGCACTATCAATAGAGGACCTCCACCCAAACCCGCAGCCTCCACGCTGACAGACTGCAGGGTGTTTTCTGAAGGACATCATGACCTAACTGAGTGGACGACAGCAGTTATTGTTTTATGACAGAGGGAAACGACTGGTTGTAAAAATCAGTTGCACATTTAAGAACAAATAAAGCAAACATTAAAGGACAAATGAGCAAATAAAAGCAATTAGAGCTGTGCGCTTAACACGTTGTTAAATTATATCAGTTTATTTAAGATACACGCAAAGACCGCAGCGCCTGATAAATGACTTTTTAACTGTTTTAAAGTGATTCCCACTTCGCATCAGCTCAGCATTGCATCATAGGACGCTGTTTGTGTTGAGCAGTTTTCCGCTTCAGATCAGATGCTAAATATATACGTTGAATAATAAACAGAGAGCAGATTTTCAGAGTAAACAAGTTCCATCGATGTGTGTGAGCAGAGAAATAAAGCTGTTTATGTCACGAACCATACGGACGAAACAGCAGTGAAACACTGCAGAGCCGCGATGTTAATTACGGATACAGGATACTGATTTAGTTTCAGACGATACAACAACCCAGTGGTTCCCAACATATACACAGTAGGTCTATATGTCAGCATTTAGCTCAAACTAAATGAAACTGTTATTTTTAAAGTTTATATTATTATTATATATGTATATTAGTAGAGCGTCAGTCTTTGATAAACAGCCTCATCCTGCAGTAGAAACCAACCAAAGAGCTGAAACACTGAATCTGTCAGAAAAGAAGAATATTAACTATGTATGATTGTTAAAAATATAAAAGAACGTAATACAGAAAGAAAAAGACAGAAAATGGTATAAAAATAGTTGCTAAAATATCAGGAAATCTCATCTCTAAAGGAATATTCACAGGAAATAATCTGCAGTTTTTACACAACTGATGTTAAGAAAGGCAAAGAGAGATGATTTAATGTTTCATAACTCTAATCTAATCTAACTCACAGCACTACACTGTAAAAAAGAAAAGTTGAGAAAACCCATAATTTCAAGACACGATTGAAAACCCCATTCTTCTTTATTTGGGTGCTTGAAAATTAAGTAAATTAAGTGTTTCACTTTCATCAGTTTTAACAATTTTTGAAATTCAAGTGTTTCTAAAGAACAAGTAATTTTCTCTAATTGTTACAAGTTTTATTTTAAAAAGTTTGACCTAAAACTAAATTTAATGGAGACAATTGCAGTTTAAATGATGAGTTTTCACAGTTTTTTTTTTGTTAAAACAACAAAAACAGTTCTGACTCTTCAAATATTTGTATATTTTCGATCAAAAAACATAAACTTTTGTTTTCATAGAACATAAAGGCTATCACTCGTGGCTGTAATTTAATGATCCTTATAATTCAGAAGAGTATGTATATTCCCATTATCAGCCGATATTTATTGTCTGCCACCTGACATGGGAACTGAGCACTTCTCTCACGAGGCAAAGAGCTTCTTTTGGCGAGAGGCAAAAAGAGGAAGAGGAAGGCGAAGAGGTGAAGAGGGAACACACTTACGGGTGGTCTCTGTGCCCTTCAGAGGCTCGCTGCTCTGCTCGCCAACCACGGAGTAAACGTTGACAATGTACTCGGTCAGAGGGTTCAGACCCTGCAGCACTAAGGTGGTCACCGACCCGTCGACCAGCACCTGAAACGATAGAGGGATGGTTATTATACTATAAAACTACTTTTTTAAAGGTTTAATCCAACAATTTGTTTCACACGATGTTGTAGAATAAAGACTCACACACTCTGTTAACAGTTCATCAAATTTGACAAAAAACCACTAAGACCAAGAGGTCAATGACACAGTTATGTCTTCAAGTCCAATAGAAAAATTAACCACATTGGTTAGATTTACTTCCAAAACCTGTTGTATTAATTTATAGGAAGAGAGACAATTTCAGGTCTGTTTGAACAGTGTGAACAGAACCAGAGTCTAATCATTTCTTTTGTCACACAGAAACAGGCTTCCATACAGCACAAACTACAGAACAGAGATTATTTACAGGATATTTGGTCATTTTAATCTATTTCCAAGTGTTTCCATGACTGGAAATCTACTCTCCGAATGTCTAGGTTTTCCTGGACACGTGGGAACCCTGAAATGGCAGCTTCTGCGATCTAAATATTGCACTAAACCATATTGAGATTTGGATAGTATTTCGATTATCTGCAGAGTCAGATATAGTGTATGTATTCTGTATAACTGCTGTCAGGCTGAGTCCCGAGGTACCTACTCTCATTGTTATTATGTTTTGGAAGGTTAGAAGCTGAATTTTTTTTTCTTTTCAAAAAGTGGAAAACCTCATTTAAGAAGAAACTCAAAGCGGTCTGAAATTAATTCTCTGCTGATTATTATAGAAAAGCATCAAGGTAAAGCAGGTTGGGAATAAAATGTTCTAATCATCAATCAGACGAATGCAAAAACAAATCAAAACTTCAAAGCTGAGCCTCGGAGGATTGAGAACTTTTTGTTTCAGACAACTGGTAATGAAACTTGACTTGAGTCCACCTGAAAGGACAGACGGTGGATTAGGAGCCCTGGAAACTGACTTTTCTCTCCTTTCTCGTCTGCCAGAGCGGCTGGTGGATTCAAAATACCCAAAACTTCAGACCCAAAATGAAACTGAATGAAATACTAAAGTAGAATGGAGCTTTCAGACTTTTCCCTCTCGTTAGCGAGGGCTGATTGACTATTCCAGGCATTAATCTGACTTAACTAAATTTTACATTAATGTCAAAATATGAGCACACAAGAGCGAGTCAACTAAAGATTATGTAAGCTGAAGAAGTCAAAGATTTGGATGACAAAGGCTGCTCTGATCTCTCCTGGCAATCAGCTCAACCGGGATCCATCAATCAGTGACTGGTGGCGGTCCAGGTCTCGTATTTTCACCGTTAGATGATTACAGTCTGTCAAGCCCAAACTATGCCGCTGCGTTCATGTGCTGCTGGGAAAAGTCCTCGTGTGGGGACGTCCAAGTTGGCCTCCGAACAGTGTCACATTCCTGCGCTATTCTTCTGGAAAATCAAACCCAGAGGAGGAACGACAAACAAACACCGAGCGGCTGCTGGAATGTGCAGCTCTGTGGTCTGGAAGCAGAAACGTCCCTTTTATCAAGTTATTTATGTCTGTAATTGATCGTTTTGACTTGAGCTGAACACTTCTAGAAAATTCTCAAACAAATTGATTTCTGTTGGGAAAAGGTTGAAATATTCTTTTTATTTTTCACCTGTTTTCAAGGCAAAAACTATATTTTTTTTAGGACTTTAAAGGTCCAGTGTGTAACATTTAGGAGGATCTATCGTTAGAAATGTAATATAATATTCACAGGTATGTTTTAGTGTATAATCACCTGAATATAGGAATAATTGTGTTTTCGTTACCTTAGAATGAGACATTTTTTATCTACAGATGGAGCATTTCTGCTCTTTTAGCGGAGTCCGCCATTTTAAACTGCCGTGTTTCTGCAGTAGCCCAGAACCACCGTAGTTTCTCCTACACACTTCACAGCCCGTTCTCATTCCCAGGTTGTCAAATATAGACTGTTCAGTTGGTTGCAATCTGCAACTTCGCCCCTAGATGCAACTAAATCCTACACACTGGTCCTTTAAAGGTTTAATTTAACCAAACCAGAGTTGATGATTGTTGAAAACACTAACAAAGACGGTTTTAGTGAGTTTTAAAGCGTGTTTTCGATTAACAATGTGGGAAAATCACTGGTTTTGTCAATGGAGTCTGGTCAGCTGTGGCTCCAATTGTTTTGGTCTTTTCAGTGTGACGTCTAAGCAATGAATTGTGTGTACACGAATCTGGTGATCAGTTCATGTGCTCTGCCTTCTAGCGGTGACGCCATTACTGTCGTTAAGTCCTAGTGACTCTGTGACAGCAGCATTATGGGTAGTTGGACTGACAACGTTAGGCAGTGGCCTCCTGTTACGGATGAAGGTTCCTTATATGGTTGGAGATCTTAGTGTTATTCAGACTTTACATATTAGTGAGACTGTTGTTACGACAGTAGTCAGAAATAGAGAAAAAAGAAAGTGACCGTCTGCCACATTTCAACTGATGTAATGTGTAATACGACTGTACTAGCAGGCTTAATCAATCAAGAGTGGAATTTAATCACCAAAGACCTGTTATATTAGTAAACACAATGTTTTTTTTCCATAGGTATTCAAGATTATTTGTTATTTATGTCCTGTGAACATCTCGGTCCTCTGCAGGGAATCTATGTACAGTCTCAGACATTCATCATGCAGTAAAGCCTTGTGTTTCACATTCAGTTGAAGTTAGCCACTACTGTTGGAGCAGCTGATAACTGCACAGCTTCAACCCCATTCCTGACATCTCTGTAAACGTATTGCTATATAGAATAGAATATATATAAAGTAGAAAACTGTTCACTGCTTGCATTCTGCAGTAATGGCTACTTCCCCTGGATACGTGTATATTTAACCTTTAAACCTGTAAATGCTGACAATGACACAAAAATACCAACTTCAGCTCATTGCCACATTCCGGGTGCATTTACTCTACACTGTTTCTCCCTGATGCATAGATATTCCAGGTTCACAGTAATATGTTGGCAGCGTGCCGTGGCCTCAGCCCTTCCTTCACTGCCTGTAATTTATGAATTCACTCTCTTATTGTAAATCACAGCAGATAAGAGCGGCACTAAATACGCAGCATGTAAATACCACATATCTCATGTTGTTGGGTTCATACGTGCTCTGCAGCCCGACGTAAACAGACCACAGGAGAGAGAGAGTGGGAGAGTTTCAGCCCAGTGTGAGGTCTATAACGTTAAACTAAGTGGATCCAGTGGAAACTCTGCTTGATTTCAGCCGATTATAATCACACAGGCTCCATCTGACAAGAGCCAATAAAAGCACAAAGGATGGAAAAGACCCAGCGATCTGTTTTTAAAGATGAGACTGACAGGAGGTTAAGCGTAAACTAAATGCAGGTTCCCCAAAGCAACTGGCATCCAGATTTCAGCCCCCGAGGGCGCTGAATAAAAGCCAGACCTGGGTCTTTGGAGACACACTTTCAACAGCTGCTTTTTTAACCTGTCCTGTGAGGTTTGCCACATCGGACAACACATACCAGAATATTAAACAGCATGGGGGGGTTTAAGTGTCAGTTAGTGTGTTTTTGTGTGACTGACAACTTGTCATTATCTAAATTCGCAGAAAGTAGTAAATCTCAGCTGACTGATACAAGAGAGAGTTATCTGTTAGAGTTTAAGCCAGGTCTAATGGGAAGGAATTAATGAGCAAACAAGATGCTATTTGATATTCAGGATCGTATCCAGCACTCACAGGTGGTTCACATAAAGTGTCTGAACCAGGAAGAACAGATTATCTGAGACCATCTATACCCAGAACAATGGAGTAATCAACAATTAAAGGACCAGAAACCAGCTGCACCAAACACCTTGAGTAAAGAGTCAAATCAGAGCTGCCCTAACCCTAACCCTTAAGTCTAATCCTTAAGGTTTCTTTAAGGAGGTTTTAAGTTATTTTTTTTCTTATACTGCAGGAACCTGACTCTATCTTAATTAAACATACAGTCTGTAATTTCTGCCTCTCACATCAAAACAATAACAAAAGATGAAGTTTGATGAGGTGGTGAAGCAGCGTGGGATCATGGGAGTTGTCTTCGCCACTGTTGTGAGGCTGAAGCTAACAGTTCTCAGGTTATGATATCAGCTGCTGCTAACGTTAGCTCAGCTTGTTTTCTCTGATGAACAATGTGGCTTCAGACTGGATAACTGGACTGGATCAACTACATATAGAACATAGCTCTAGAGTTTATACACTGTTTAATGGCGAAATGTTGCATATTAGAACTTTTGTATGGAAGAAAGCTGCTTCATGTTAGCTAGCTAGGTTATAACATTAGCTAATGCAGTCTAGTTTAAATGTGTAACTTAAATACTTCCTTTAATTAGTGAACTATTTTTAGCCAGAATGGACAAGTTATCGTGAGGTCTTTCCTTGGTTTTTCCCTCAGCTAAGGAGAAAACTTAAGGTGTTTTGTGGAACCGGCCTCAGTTCTTCTATCTAAACCAGGTTTAAGATGTGAGGAGTAATATAAAGTCACGCTTTTTGTTTTGGTTGATTTTAACTTCCTGTGAACGCTTTGTGATGTACCAAAGAAACATCACAGGTATGATATCATTCCTGTGGGTCTTCTATGTGAACATGAGTTCTAAAAGAAGAAGAGAAACTTTATCTGACCTCCTCCGTGGGTCCTCCAGTCGCAACCATGTAAGTGACGCGGTACTTGTCGACGGGGCTGCTGGGTGCAGTCCAGGTGGCACGGAAGGAGCGGTGGGTCACCTCCAAGGTCTCCAGCTTGGTGGGGGTCTCTGGCCCGCCTCCTGAAAAAGTAACAAACCAGAGCTGAAATACAATCCGGCACGTCAAATATTTCACAGTGTGAACCCTGCCGCTGTATATCTCGTTCCTCTGACAAAAGCTTTCTTTAAGAAATGTTTTTCTCCGGCTGTGCCGTAAACCATTTCTGAATTCCCTCTCAAAGGCTGATTTACAGACACAAAAGCACTTCCAATGTGAAAGTTTCCATTAGATCTGTGTCGCAACATCTCGTGGCGGTCTGAAATAATCTAGGTTGTCAGGCAGAATAGATTCAAATTTATCTATCTGCATTTCTCGGATCTTCTGTTTTTGTGTTTTTAAAGGCAGAATTGATTTGTGAACACTTTGTTCCCTTCTAGGGAGTACAATGACCACATCATTTTCTCCTTGTCAACAGGCATTAGCTTCATCACTCAAACAGGGTAAAAGCAGCTGTGCCGAGGAAGTGTAATTTTGCAGATATTCATGTCTTTACTTGGACTAAAGGTTTATGTTGTCCTTCGTGCGCAGAGCAACTTTCACGCCCTGGAGCACCTGTAAAACCAAATGAAAGCCTGCCGTAAAATTTCAGAAATATATGGTTGTCAGTCTTAAGCACGGTGGCTTTGTAAATTCCGGAAAAGAAGAACTTTCTGAAGTTTCCATCTGACCTCCAGCACTGGTAACCACTGAAAGGTGTAAATCTGACTGAGCAGCATTCAAAGGAAAAGCTGGAATTACAGCTGCGAGCTGACGTTAAGGTTTTGTATCTCAGATGTTGTTTATAGCGCCACCATCAGTAAAAATCACTATTATTTTTGCCAAGCACCTGCAGAAATGTTTGGATGTGTGTCTCCCTCCTGATGAAGGCAACTTTTCTGGCAAAAGAAATGATAAAATCTTAGACGTGGCAATTTTTGGGGATATATCAGTGAAGAAATGACAAAATGGCCAAAATTCCCTGATGTACTGAAGAGGACATGCAACCTTTAACGCTCTCTTGTCCTGTCTTAGGTACAGTTTACTGTGATATATTCACGTATAATGTACATTTTATTTTTATTTATTTATTTTAAGTCTTTATGAAAGAAGGACTGTGCACAAAAACTTTAACCTCAAAATGAGAAGAGGTGATTTATGTCAGATTAAGCTAACTTCCATCTGTAGTCCAGGGCAGGTACGAACACATTCAGCACCATAACATCACTTTATTGGCTTTGTATGTATGTATGTATTTTGCTTTTGAAAAATGACAACAAAAGTGAAAATGTATCCCATAAATCAGTTTGAATGCGACTCTCTTCCCACCTGGACCCTTGACGCTGTTACACAGGTTGATGGTGAGTTCGTCAACGATGTCCAGCAGGAAGCGGAAGTCGTTGACGTTGTACATGTGAATTTCGTCGGGGTCGGAGGCGATGGACCGCAACTCGTTCTCATCGGCGTTCTTCACACCTGAGAGATAAAAGGATCGTCACAACTGTGCCTGAAAAATTTGACCTAAAGACAAGGCTAACATGTTAACAAATTAACCCCCGATTGAGCTTTGAAAATCAACTTTGAGAGACTTGAAACTTTCCTGATTTGATTTTCACCCATATGAAATGTAGCTTAAGGGGCTGAATCATGCAAAAAAATGCCAAATCATGTCACATCCCCTAATTCTTATGCACTAAGTAACAGTTTCCCATGTTCACTGTTAGTTTCATGTTATTCAAAATGAGAAGGTCACTCACCGATGGCGTACAGCTCGATGCCGCTGTCTCTCAGTTTCTGTGAGTTGAAGACGATTTCGTCCTGGGATTTTCCGTCAGTGATGAGAACACCAATTCTGCGGGAGTTTTCGCGCATCCCCACGTTGGTTTTGAAGTTGTTCTGAAGGATGTAGTTCAGAGCCATTCCTGTACGACAGCAACAGAAAGTTTTACAAAGAATTAACTTTCTTCAACAAACAAAAAGCTATTTTGTCCGATTGGGGTAAAAATATTTTAACAACAATAACATTTAAATATACTAGGCGTACATAAGGGCAGTGGAGAAGTGGTTTCAGTGGATATTACTTCAAACTTTCTCAAAGAATATCTTTTTTTTTTCTTCACCTAATGGACCTAAATATGGAACATAAGTGCTGTTAAATCACCCGTCATGGTGTTGCCTCCTTTGTACGGCAGGTTGGCGACAGCATCCATCAGGGACTCCTTGGTCGGGTGGGCGTTCAGGTGCCACTCGGTCTTCGGGTCTCCACTGTACTGAGCCAGACCTGAAAAAAAAGGCACAGCAACGTTAAAAAAAAACATCAACCAAAAAAAGGACCTCACAAAATGATGGTAATTACGCAGGTTTACTGACAAAAAACTGCAAAAATTAAAGGAAAAACCTAATTAAAACCATGCAATCACCTTAATTTATACCATAACATCTGCTGGCAGCAGCAGTAACAGAAGTAGACTGAGTACAAGCTGTATTATTAGAACAGTAGCAGAAATAGTTTTCATAGCAGCATTAGTAGTACTTAAAATGGAGATAGAAGCAGTTACAGCACGATTAGTTAGAACAGAAGTAGCAGTAGTAGTAATAGTATTTATATCAGCAATAGTAGTTGCAGCAGTATTAGTAGTACACAGTGACAGTAGCAGAATGATGTGATGAGTAATAGTAGTAGTACTAAATTAGTTTACTAAGTAAGTACGTTTTACCCCACCATTGTACTTTCATTTAAAGTTTAACTACATTGTGCTAACTCCCAGCTAGTTTAAATGAGTGTGTGACTGGTTTAAATATTAAATTCTGGACTCTTACCAGTAAGTCACTAAAGTAGTTGTTAGTTACAATAATGGTAGTAGCATAAGTAACAGTATTAGTAATAGTGTAGGTAGTAATTCTGGTAGTTGCAGTGCAAATATTACCGATCTGGACTCGCTCAGGGCTGATGTCGAACACGCTGACCATGCGGCCGATGAAGTTGCGGATGGTTTTGAAGTTGATGCGACCGATGCTCCAGGAGCCGTCGACCAGCAGCACGATGTCGGCCATCGCTGAGGTCTTACACTGAGTGTCTGCAGAGAGACGGCGAGGAGGAGGAAGAGGAGGAGGAGGAAGAGGAGAATAGTGAGCGAGACAGTCGGTGCACCGCAGACACCCACCACGAGTGTCCCAACAGCTTCATATATGAACAATTTGAGATGAATGTGAGGGAGAAAGTGTGAAAAAGTGAGGAAATGTTGCGAGGGAACAGAGGAGTACATCACAAAAGTCACACAATCACAAGTGGAAGATGTTTACACAGCATTATGTAACACAAATAATTCACACTGGTAACACATTGTGTAACAGCTGTCGTTTCTGGATTAACTGCTCTCTCTCCTGGGCTGTTTTCTCTCTCGCTCTCTTCCAGCACAGCAAGTTTTACATCCAGTGGAGAATCAACCCTGTGGTCTCCTTCTGGCTGACACTGAGGCCTCCAACAAGCCGCAGTCGGCCTCTCTCACATCGTCATATATCCCAAATGTTACTGCGCATTCCTGCTCTGGACACCTGTAGGGGTGAAAAATGGCCACTCGTCCTCGTTTATAGAGGAGACGACACACCTTTAAAAAGAAAAACCTGTGTGTGCAATTGAAAACATGTTAGGAGAAAATCGATTTAGTTTTTTATTTTGTTCTTTTTCAGCAGGCTGCAGAAACAGATGCTTCACGCCAAGAGGAACCAAGTCGGATGCTCGGCCGCAGTCTGTTTGAGTTATACCACCGCCGGTAAACAACATGCTCATGTGTCCCTCCGATGTTCATTAATAAAAACAGATGTCATAAACAGAGGCAGCTTTAAGAGACATCTAATACACAGCAGACGACTGCTGGATCCAGAGAGCATAAATATCCAGCTCAGTCTGACTGGAGGATATAAATCACTGCTGTCCTGCAGTTGTTTTTGCTTTGCTCAAAAACGCAAAATCTGATGTGTTTACTGACAACACGAGGTGTGTACTGGCACTTCTTACTGTAAACCGCCACCCCCTGTCCAGGTACACGCACCTAAACACCCACGAAACGCTTGATTGTTTTTCCCCACCGGCATTCAGTGAAAGACTCGTCCTACTCTGCCTCTGATTGGCTAGTGTTCACTGCCTTTGTTAGTCTGGTTGGTCAGATTGAGGCAACGAGGAGTGAGATGATGGCCCGCATAAACGTGCCTCTCTGTAAACACGTAGCTAGTTTAACACGAAAACAGCACTGAAAATGTCCTCGTTAAAATAGATAAAAAAAACTGCAGAAGTATTGGTTAGGGGTGTGTTGTGGTTAGAATAAGGGTGACCCAATTCAGGCACTGTGATTTACCATAAAACTTCTGTTTTATTAAACAGAAATCTGTACTAATATGGAGGTCGCCTTTACTAAAACCTCTCCATCCATCCACATCCACGGATGTAAAAGGATATATTTTAATCCAACAACAACATACACGTTTAAAAAGTGAAACATCATGTTGAATTTTAACGTTTCCAGCGACGGTTAAATCCGACTTTCTTCCAGATCGTATCAAGTGATCGTGCTGGAAACAAGTAGAATTTTCTCACTTCACTGTCAAATTTTTCACACTTTGTCCAAAAGAAGGATATTTAAAAAGGAATAAAGCATTTAATGACCTGTAAAAAATAACGTTTTTGCAGTGTATGAAGGACGCCTCGCAGCAGCTCTGCCAGACCATATGGACCTGTCAGAAAGTCTGGATTAAAGCCCCCTTCACTAAGCAACCTGCTAGTTCTAGTCCTAGTGGATCCTCAGTGGAACATCCTGGCCCCGTTCCCCGACTCCGTGGGCAGTCGGTCACCGTGTCTGCTCCCCATTACGGTTGGAATTTCTGCCCAGGGTCAGCCCCTCCTCGGGGTCTTATGAGAAGCATAACATTTTCCTAACTGCATACATCCCGGCAGCAGCTAAAGCTCTAGATCATAAAAAATGTCTGTAATTGCAAGCAGAGTCCTTCTCCGCGCTTCGAGCGACACAGAAAGGGGAAATATCTACTTTTGCATGACTAAAAAAAATTTGGGCAGCAGATAGGGAGCTCAACAGTAACTCGTCTGGGAGCTAATGAAGATACGCATGTGTGGCGACGCCGTTAAAGGTCAATACATCGCCGGGGGGGCAGATACGTAGCACGTTAATGTTAGTGTGAACACTTAAGTACATGTCTGTTAAATGTCATTTTACTCCAGATCACACTCCAAATAAGATATGAGGGAGGTGAGGCAACGAGAGCCAAGCAGCTCAACATAATTTGCACTAATCATAATCATCTGCGTCAGATTTCGGCCCACGATTCCTGCAGAGACGGTGATATTAATTCCCCTCGACAACAAATAATTCAACATTCGGCGCTAACAAAATCAGACCACTCCTGTTCTGACTTGGATCAGGGAGCGTCTGGTCTGCAGGCCTGCTGTTTAAAGCACCGCTAACGGAGTGTGGAGGTGGAGCTTTGAGCTTTTACCAGAAGCGGGGAGAGGAGGCGGCTCAGGAGCGTCACTGAGGGTCGTCTTCTCCTCTCCTGCCAGGGGCATGCTCACCCCACCGTCAAACATCCCGAACACGGCGACAGAGTACTTTGTTCCCGCCCTGAGGGAAAAAGGAAAGGACATGAACCATCTTTCACAATCTCACTGGGCTGCACAATTTATCAAACATTAATGGATATTGGCGTCAGCTGTCATGTCGCTGCACGCACACCCTGATTACTTTTATTCCCGAAAAAATAACAAAAAACCAAACATTTCCTAATGCTGCAGCTTCGCATTAAGAGGCAATGTAGCTGCCAAAACATGAGTTTTATATTGAAGTGAGCAAGTTACAGGAAGTGCATTTGCTATCGTTCAACAGAAAACATTGCTGAAATCGTGATCTCAATGTTGATCAAAATAATTGGGATTATTATTATCAAGAAATGCCCTGGCATCCATGTCCTAACACCCTTCGCCCCTGTGTGCGCGTCCTGTCTCTAATGGTTGCTAGGGATGTATTAGGTGGTTGCTAGGCTGGTGCGTGCATTGACGATCACACTGCTACTGTAGATGGCTGCTAAAGTCATAATAAGTTAAAAAAAAAAATGGTACATGAGCCTTTTCTTCTTTTTAACCTCTAATATTTATTATCACATTCCTCAGAGTACTTTAATATCTAACAGTTTAAAGAGTTTACCTGAGTTCCTCTAGAACGACTGTGCTGTCATAGGGCCCGACCAGGAGTTCCCCCAGGTCTATATCATCCCCAGTGGGGTGAAAGGTCACTTTGTACCCCTTAACTTTGCCGGGTGCTGGATCCCAGGTGACTCTGAAACTGGTCTTGGTGGGCTCTGAGGTCTGGAGGTTCCTCGGGGCCTTGAAGGGCGACACTGAAATAGAAGAACCCGGGCCAGAACTTCAGGACAAACTCACGCAGAATAAAAGTTTAACACATTATTGGCAACGTTTTTTTGAAAGGTTTTTGAAGATCAGCCACACCACACTCAAGCCAGTTTCTCATTAGTCCATAATACAATACCTTGAACCCGGTGTCATTCGTTAAGAAGCCCAGTGTCATGCTGTGTGTTAGTAATGGTAGCGTGTGACTGAGCATATGTTTAACTGTGATTTTAGTGTCCTAGTGGAAAGACGCTGTGCAGCAGCACCTGTAGTGTGACAAATATTCATCTTAACAAGTCGTTTCAACTTGAAGTCAGTCCTGAAATCTTATTTTGGGTCGGACAATGGAAATAAAGCTGCAACTTGGATGACAGAATCACATTTGTTTCCAAGGCAGTATGACTTGTGTTAATGTTTCTCTTATAATAAGTGGCAAGATTGTCAAACAAACCAGTTTTATGTATTTGTTTCACAATAGTGACATTTAATATATGGGGAGCCAGTTGAGATCGAAGTCCTTATCCCGACCATAAAGGGGAATTTTTCCTACTCAACGCAGAGTCAGATACAGTCATAGATCTCCTGTTGAACAGGTTGGATAAATTAGTGGATGTTTATGGCATCAAGCAGCAGCTGTTCCTTCAATACTTTCTACATGTCGACCTCAAGTGTCGACGGTAGACTGATTGTCTGAACTACACGCTGTTTCTTTAATCTGAACTGCTTCTCATTCCCACTGACATCCAGCAAATGAGCTGTCATAAGTCCCGCCCCTTTTTGCTCTGTTGTCCAATCACACAGGAACAAGCCCCGGTCAACTTCCTCCTTTCCTGTACTGTAGTAGCTAGTTAGCAAGCATTATGCTAACATTAGCTAAGCTTGAGATGTGACTATTAAGTCTCTTTTATCTTTTAACCATCTTCAAAGTGTGGTGTGGAGGAAGCTGATTGCCAAAAAGGGGCGGGGCTTAGGAAAGGTCAACTGAACGCTGATGGACTCACCATTCAACACAGCTTCAAACTGCACTCAGAGACCAGATCCATGAGTTGTCCCACTCTGGTTAACTGCCCAAAAGCCAAAGATAACAACTCAACATGTTTACCTAAAATGTAACGTCCAGTTTTGGCGCACCAAACTCTGTGACTGGGATCCATAAAAGCAGCAGATTATTTAATTTCATTCCACCAATAATAATGTTTGAAGACTGAACTCAGGTTTAAACGTCTTTGGTTAAGATGTTCCTGCAGTGTACTGTCTGTCAGAGGGTTGAATTATGGACCAACGTACGTGTCGTTCCTACTCCTTGCCTTGCTTTTCCTTCCCCGCGCTTGTAGATGGGGTGAACTGTGATGTCGTAAGTGGTCATGGGCTGCAGGCGCTTCATGACGGTGGAGGTGGCCGTGCCGGGGACCTTGAGGACCACTTCTTTCCCTCCGCCGCTGGGAACATACTTCAGCCGGTAGTTGAGCACCTTGCCAGGGGCCGGCATCCATGTGACTTTCATGGTTCGCTCTGTCTCGTCCGAAACGGTCAACCTTTTAGCAGCAGCGGAGGCTGAAAACAAAAACAAACAGATTCATTATGAAACATGAGAAAACTCTGGATTGACCAACATGAACCTTAAGATTTAAGTTCCTAAAAATGTCTCTGATCAATCACAGGAAATAATGTGCTCAAAATTCATCCAAATCTCTGGTTTTACACAAACTTCCTGCAGTTACTGAGTTCACTGTTTGAGTTCTTCGTGCAGTTCATCAGCTGTTCTCTACTGTTACTGTTATTATTAAATATAATATGAAATATCCCTAAAAATATAGTCAGTTTACTCAATTATAAGAAAGGGCTCCTTTAAGGAACAAGGCTGATTTAAATCATCAAACCGCATTTCCTTCTTCCATCAAACCTCCATTAACCGACCATATTTGGTCAGTTTTTATGTCCTCTATGATTCCACTGTACACTAAACATGTTGTTATTTTTATCTAAACCCTAAAAACAATCATTCCTTCCCTCTCTTATTTCCAGGCCAAGTGTGGTTTCCCTTTATATTCCTTCTGTAACCATTATGTATTTATATCTGCAGGCATGAGTGTTGAGTAATACCGCCAGCTCCATGCCAAAACCAATTGGTTATGAATTAGGCATTCACCCAGAAGTGATCAATTTTGGAGGAAATGCTAACCACATTTTACTTTTCCCCCACGAAACAGCCTATAAAATAAAACAAACTTATTCCGATGATTCTGCAAGCGATTAAAACAACTTTGCAAGGGAATAATATGTATATTTAATAATCCCAAGGAATGTTTTTCAGACTACTTGATTTCACTCTGGAGGATTTTTATTGGTGGAAAAAAAACGACGTCCAACTTTTCAATGTGTTGATAGATTCAAACAAATCTGAGAAAGCTGGAGATGTTGGAAGGACGCACGGAGGAACAATATGTTCATTTATGTTTATGCTTTTGTGCGTGGCCTGCTTTGCTTTTTGATTTCCCGTGTGTGCATCTAGAGCAGTGGTTGATTTTAAGGGGAGTAAGAAAATGTTTAAAATACACACAGTAGGCCTATATCTCAACATTTGGTTCATTTCTGAAGCACCAGGAATAAGAAAACACTGAGTTTGCCAGAAAAGAAGGATATTAAGTTATAAAAAATACATAATAAAGATGGAAGATTGCCTAAACAGGAAATAATCTGCTCAAAATTCATCGTTTTAGACAAAAGTCCTGCAGTTGCTGAGTTCACTGTTTGGGTTCATTGAACAGTTTTGAATATATTATAAAATATAGTTTATTTATCGATAAAAAGGGCCTCTCCCTTAAGGAACCAGCGCTATAGAGCGAGGAATGTGTTGACATTTTTAGAGCGCTGATGAAATATGACAGCGTGCAGCTCACAGTGCGTCATTAACGGGACACACACGTCGAAGAGATATTCCCCTCGGCTCTGAGCGGGGTGTTATTAAACACAGCAAAACTGTCACCACGCCGGTGTTTCACTCCAACTCTGCAGCCTGAGTGCAGACCAGGACCAGAAGGAGACAACAGCAGTTTTAAATTCCTTTAAAACGTTGGTCAGTCTTCGCACTGTGTTTAAAATTCTGTTACTTGTTTTTAAAGCACTTCCTGGTCCTGCACCGGTGTATGTGTCACACAGTGTTTGAACCGGTCCCTCAGATCCTCTGGCACAATCCTGCTGGTAGCTCCAAATCGCAGAACAAAAACCTTTGGCGAGGCAGCGTTTAGTTTCTGGAAGAGCCTGAGGAGGATCTGAGAGCAGCTGGAAGTGCTGAGAGTTTTAAATGTGAACTCAGAACCTCTTCAGCCTGGCTTTTAACTCAGGAATAACTAACTAACTTATCTTATTTTCTTTTATACATTTTAAATATCCTTCTTATTGTTTTATTTGTTATTTCTGCTTTAGTTTTAGTTTTTAAGTATAAGTTTTATTATACCAGTTATACCTGTATTTCATTGTCATTTTTATTGTTTTTACTCCATTCTGTCTTATTATCCTCTGTAAGCACTTTGAACTGAACTAAACTGTATGAAATGTGCTTTAGAAATAAAGTTTGATTGAATCGAAAGTAAATCCGGACTAGAAAGCAGGAAGCAGAATGCCAACTGTGCTCTGAAACCACTCTGACTGTGAGATAGAAGAGATAAATATTGATGTGACACGCTGCCTTCTAATAAAAACAGAACGGGGTAAAAGCTTCCTGAACTTCTGCACACCTGGTCTCAGACTTCCTGGGCTGCAGAGGTCTAAAACAAACTGATCTCTGCAGCCTCGAGTAACATACTTTAAAGTGTGAGTGCTTCAGTAGAGCTGCTCTTCACTGAATGTGTATGTCGGGTAAATATAAACACGCAATAGACAAGCAGGGTTGAATTATGAGATAGAAACATACATTAGCGAACAGCTAAATATCTGCTAACAGTTGTTTTATTCTTGCAAATCTTTGCTTTTCACCGTCTTCTTTGTCTTTTTTTGCCTACTTTGTATTCACTCCTTTTATTTGTAACTTCACTTGTTTCCTTTTATTTGTAACTTATCAAAACCTGGGTTACAAAGTGCTTTAAAGTCTAAAATATAAATACTTTATTACTGTATTTAAGATGTTTTTTTCATTTATGTATATTTAAACTTGAGTATTTATATTTCTGACAGGTTTTTACTTTCATTCCCAACATTTTTACACAAATATCAGAACTTTCTTCTCCTAATTTTCAAAACAGGCTCTTTACTTCAGCTTGAATGCATTTGAGGGGAATTATCTGTTGTTATAATAATTTTTTGCCTGATGGCACGCAATCCCAGCATCAAGACCAGTGCACATCATGCATAAAAAACACAACAAGTCAGAACAGCCAAGACAGGGAGACTCGACAATGTTTCAGTGTTCCCACTCTCCTTAAGAAACCATCTTCGAGGGACCGTTCCAAGGAGTTTTTCTTAACAAAACAGGACAGCACTTGCTCCGAAGCGGTCATATAATTTACCGGTATGCCTTCTATTGACTCCTTGAAGTGTCTCAAGTTCATTGCAGGTGGGCGGTCAGCATTTATTGGACATGTTAGCTTGCTTTTTTGGCGCCAAAGTGTGTGCTGCATGTACAATTAACATAGCTGTGCATGTATTTAAGAATAACAGCAACAATATTATATATAATAATATAATATGTAATATAACATTTACACCACTTCTAGGCTTCTCTGAGAATTCTGGTTTACGTAGGCGATTCTAGGCAAGGAGCTAATGAACATTTTCCAGAACATAAATTATTTCCAGGTTTTTCCAAGACTGGAAAAGCAGTCTCTAAATTTCCTAGTTTAACCACAAAGACTTTCTTATTGTCAAATCTAAATTAAAAACTAGTCAGAGAGGATACTTACCATCAGTGGTTTCCTGCCCGGTGAGCGGCTCGCTGTCTTTACGATCGTAGACGGCGACCACAGAAACCTGGTAGAGCGTCTCTGGGCTCAGACCTTCCAGCACCGTGTCGGTCACGTCTCCCGGCACCGTTTTCTCTCTGGCCTCCTCGAACATCGACTTCCACTGGACCCGGTATCCGTTCACGTTCCCAGGTGCTGCCGTCCAGGACACCGCAAAGCTGGTGTCAGTCACGTCGCTGGTGACCAGGTTTTTAGGTGGGCCGACCTCTGCAAACAACAAACAAAGGTAGGAATTAATGAGGGTTTCTGTTGTTTAAATTAGCATTTTCATTCAATTAAATTACACATTAAATAATGTAGTAATGGAAACTTTGATGAAATGAACAGGTTAATTTATTTTTTATTTTTAGAATTTGAAATAAAAATTAATTAAAAAACTAAAATAAAATGTACATTCTGGAAGGAGGGATGTAAAGATCTTTTGGAGACTTTTTAGAGACACTTGACTGTCTCCTAAAAACAAAACACTTCAGGACAACAAATTAATTCAGAAATACATTTTAAATAATAGTAATTTAATTTTTATTATTATTACTTAAAATGTATTTCTGTTTTTTGTTTTTAGGAGACAGTCAAGTGTCTCCGAAAAGTCTCCAAAAGATCTTTACATCCCTCCTTCCAGAATGTACATTTTATTTTTTCTCTTACAAAACAATGGGGGGAAAGAAATCTAATAAAAACAGATCAAATGTGTATTTTTTAAAGATGCAGTCTCTGTCTTTGTGCACAATAGCGCCCCCAATCCCCAAACTTCCTCCCAGATCACAACAGATGTTTTGAAACTCAACTGTGAGCGAGTTTTATATTGTATAAAGTCATACTGGCTGGGCTGCTCAAATGTTCTTTCCACTATTTGTCAGGTTTTTTCTTTTTTTTTTTTAAATCCATCCTCCCTTTAAAACAAAGGAACCATTTGGACGTGCTGGCAGATGAGATTATTCTGCAAAATGGAAACTATTAAAAGGCCATCGAGTGGACAGAAGAATTGAACAGCTCACCGCAGCTATAAAGGGCAGAGACGACTAGAGAAACACATGATTCTTTTTCATGCTTCTGAGGATATTTTAAGACGTTCCTGCTTCATTAGCGAGTGCAGAGCGGCGCGGAGGAGACGGGAAACATGTCGGGAACCGGATGAACTCAAAAGCGTCCGCTGAGCCAGTGGGATGACAGCGAGAGGAAGAAATCTCTTCATCGTAGTTTATTGGACATCTTTACTTCATCACATCAGAGGTTCCCTCTAATGGTGGAGTGTCAGATGCTAACTTTGATTTTTAATTGTACCCTTTTACCTTTTAACTCGTCTTCAATGACGTTGCTTTCTTGTGTCTTTATGAACCGTGAGTACTCTAATGGCTCTGACTGTTCAGTTTGTATCTTATTTTTGTTGCTTCGACTGTCATTTCAAGTTACCTACCTACATTTCATCGTCTGACTGATCGTGTTTCTCACCCTGTCAGACTTATTTTGAGGAAGGTCACAGCATTCATAGATCTCAGCAATTAACTTGGTGAGTAAAATGTGCAAACTATGAAAATCCAAATGATAAGAAGAATTATCTTTTAAACATCTGTTGAATGAAGTTCTCACTGTTCATTTGTACGAGCGTCTTCTGAATCTCAATTCAATCTTAAATCCGACCTTTTACTTCTATTGATTGTTTTTGATGGTTTTGCCCAGCTGGCGTCGACATTGGTTGAACAGCTCGCTGTGTACGTTCATGGTCCCCAGACAATATCTCCAAACATTTCCCACAGCCTTACCATCAGGCCTTGTTTACACAACAAAAGTTGGTACCGAGGTGTCAAAGCCCAGCCGACTCAATGGCGAACTGCTCTCATGACATGAAATGCGCTTTTTATATCTTCAGATAACTAATTAAAACCAAACTGATGATAAAAAATAACACTTGAGGAAACATCAGCGTGATAAAAAACGACCCAAAATGACAGAAACCATCTTTTTTAGTTTGTCCCATCTGCTAACATGGAGGCTTTATGAGCTACACTGCAGTCAGCCACCAGGGGGAGATAGAGAGGGCTTGGCTTCACTTTTGGAGAGCTGTCATGTCGTCTATCTTTATATACGTCGATAAGGTGAACCCTTTTGATTTTAATGACCTTTCATCTAGTCTACACAAATAAAGTCTGATTGATTGATTGTTGTACAATACAAATATACATACTGTTGAGGTACGAGTCAATAAAGTGTTTGTATGTAAATGACTGTGTTGTTAATGAATGTGAACGACCCTTGTTAGGCTGCTGTGACTGAATGACATCAACCTACAACAATGTGCTCACTCTAAACTAGATCATACTCAGATGGTAAATCATCAAACACACACACACACACACACACACACACAAACACACACACAGTAATAAAGTGTTTTCATGACCTGAACTCAACTCTCTGCAAACAGAAGCCAAAGCTCTTATAGATCTGATTAACCAGCTGAGACCAGATCTGATTCCTGATACCATAGCGGCTCCTGTTACTGCAAGAAGACGTATGGTCACTTTCCTATACAGACAGACAAAGCTGGAAAGATCTGTGAATGATGGAAGAAGAGGAAGAGGGGCTGATATTAAATTATAATCCTTCAGTTTAGAGGAGGTGACAGAGGAGGCGCTGGAAAGACTAAGAAGCCAGGTTTTCACAACGTGATAATTATCACAAAATATCAGAACCAGCTATATAATCAAGAGCGCAGGCATGAAATAAATCACGTTTTAGCTTTTGCCAATTGATACAGATCTTAAGAGAGAGGGAAAAAAGGAAAACACCAGGCTCTCTTTAAATGTTTATAGTCGGAAAGATTGTTTCTGGTCTGGATTCAAAACAACAAAATTCAGAAACAGATTATCTGTGAGAAAGTCAAACTGTGTATATGTGATGAAAAAGTACATTTAAATAACTGAACTAACCAAAAAGACGAATGTTGTTGAGCGCAGGCCGCCAACTGATACAGGAAATGTCTTTCTGATCGTGTTTTTAAATGTGCAAAACATGTGGCCAGACGAGCAGTGTGCGGTGGAAAATGATCAAATATTAGTGAGTTAAGCTTAAAACAGATCGACAAGCATATCAGGACAGAGATACTGAGTTTGAAAAGATCCATTTGCAGTGATTATTCTAATATGCTCTAATCAGGCTTTTAATTTGACAGGCTGGATCTGAACTGAAGTATTTCTGACTTTTCCTGGCTGGACTGTACTTTGCTTCATTCATGCAGATGTACTGGTTTATTTTTGTGCCGCTCAGTTGCCGTCACTCAGTCTTCACCACTGCAGCCACCATTAGCGGGGAGCCGCTGACAATTTTTATCTGGTTCAAGGAGCGCTGTCTCTCAAAGCTGGAAGCTGGAAGAGTCTGGAGGCTTTCGAGAATAACAGCCACAGACAGCCGTCAGATGGAGTGTGGAATATCTGGCGTCTGCAGACGCTGCCTCAAACGCACTCAGCCCTGTTTTTCCACAACCCATCATGAGGCAAATCTGAACGAAACCGCAAGAAATTAAATGCACTTTTGAAGATATTTCCATTGCTCTCCACCCATCTATCTATCTATCTATCTATCTATCTATCTATCTATCTATCTATCTATTTATCTATCTATCTATTGGAATCAACCAACCAGAGAGATCTTCAAAATGCTATGCATCCATTTGGGGTATAATCTTTCCTTTGTGTCTTTTTATAAAAGTGTAGTTAAAAGTTTGGAACAAAACTGCTAAACATGTTTAGAACAACACGTTCTCACTCCCAACTCGTCAAACACTGCTGGTTGGCCAGTGGCCCTCCGCTTTAAAATATACGCTGTAGGTATCCCTCTGCACTCGCAAGTCAAGTTATAATAAATATACAACGTCCGGTTAGACTAGACTAGAGCTTGTGTGGTTAATGTTGTAAAAACCTAATCTACTCTTCCTCAGTTCCCACTGAGAGTGTTTCAGAAGTGGAGCGTCTTTCTGCCTGACATTGTTTACTTGCGTATTTTGTCATTAAAAAGGAAACAAAGCGGCGTGTTTCTCAGCCTTTAAATCTCCTCTGACTGAGCGCCACAATGTCGTTCTAGCATGAAATTCGATCCGGAGTCTGCACGGGGTATTTTATTTCGAAAATTAAAAAAAAGACATCTACAATTGGTTGATAACTGGGCGAAAGACAGTGAGATAAAATCGAAAGCCCAGCAGCAGCAGCAGAACTAGTAAAACTACTGTATGTCCGACCTATGTCACATTAGGGTTTGTGACTCTATGGGATCCCCTTTCAGAAACCAATGGAATGACTAATGTTATAATAATAATGATATAATGTCAGATCAAAGAACCAGAAGCAGTAGATTATGTGCTGAAATGCAGCTCCACCTCTGAGAAAGAGCTGAACAACCACAACCAGAGAAATGCTTATTCCTACAGCACCTGAAGGGCACATGATTGAAGTAAGTCTGCCTTCTGTTTGCTTCCTTAAAGATTTCTTATGTCGGTCTCTAAGCAGCTGGAGGAGGAGACTCAGTCTGGGACTCCCTGCTGCTGCAACCCTACAGTCGCAGTGGAAAGTCTCTCAGCTTATTGCTTTGTATAAACTTGGCTCCTCGACATGTTCCATCTACCGTCGGCAATTTAAAGCACCTTCAAGTGCAGAGAGCGGCTGCAGTTTTGCGTACGGGTGGCCCAGACGGGGGGAAAGAAAAATGACTCTGGTAGTGTTGTTGGTGCTACTCCACATAGCTCAAAGAGCAAGGCGGTAATCCTGGCAGAGCTGGTTCCGCCATTTTGCCCCAATCACTCATCTGAATGGGATCCCTGCACTGGCTCAGCAGGGCGCCGACACAGAGGGCTCATTGCCAACATACAGTCGTCCTCAAGAGAGTCCTCAAACTCATGGACCTATTTCTCAGACAGGCCTTCCTGGATCTTATTTTATTGTCTCATGAGTACCTGAAACAACACAGCAGAGTAGAGTGTTGTTTTGGTCTTAAAGTCCACCAACAGTGTTTGAAACTTCCTTTGTGACAGTTTGGACTTGTTTCTCTAGCTCTGTTTTTCATTCTTTACACAATTACTTCCGTTACCCGCATTTGTGAAGTTCATCACGTCAAACTTACAAGCTACAAAACACAGAGTTCAGTGGGTTGCTGCCAGGAGGAAGCTATGATGGCGGGGTTTTCACTCCACCTTCGACTTCAGCCCTTCAGAACAG